CTTTGCTCGGGCACGCGCCCGAGCAAAGGCTACCTACGCAGGTACGTATGGCAGGATGTCGCCAATAAAGCTGTCGCAAACGGCTGTCATTAACGATCAAGAGTCGAAAACGCCCGACGCGCTGCGATATCGATCTGGTAGTAAATCTATGTCATAACATATGAGCAATTCAGTATTGCGACACGCGTTTAAGAATTCGTAAACTGCCACGTTACAGCGGCGTTTATTAACACGTTCCACTATCTGCATCAACTGCTCACATTACAACATGGCACCGCTACTTTTACTTGTTTGTGCGCGTAACTATTTGTGGACTGTGCTCCACTCGATTCCGTCGTCTGTGCTAATCGGATCACGAATGTTGCTAATTACAATTACGAATGCCTATTTTTTTTCTAAATAGTCGTTGCGAATCTCACTTAATTTACTGAGTTTTACGTTTTATTTTCCGAATCTCCGTCTAAACGTTTTAGTTGATGAGGTTTCTTGGTCGATTTTTACGGTTTAAGTTTAGAGTACAGAGTTACTAAAGAACACGTGGCATTAAACTTAAATATCACCCATTGTTAATATGTGATATATGTATCACGCAACAGGTAGACTTGAATCGTGAATCCACTTGCGAAAAGACATCATTATTCAGTGAACAAAAAGCTAAGATTAATATGTGGTCAAGTATATTAGGATATATTTTAATAAATCCAATCTATAAAAATAAAATATCAATTGTTAAAACTATGTTTAAAATGTCTAAAGAAACAACTCAAATAAAACTAAGGTACGATTATCGTTTAGTACATAACATTGAAATATTATCAAGACGTAATAGTTAACAACCGATTAACTTGTTTGTTGAACGTGCATTAAGAAGCTCATTGATTTATTAAATTATATTTTGTAATGACATTTTTGTCTCACCACGGTCTTTTGTGCGAGTTATAACAAAATTAAGTACTGTGTTGATTTTACTTTATAGTTCGTTATTAACATCTTGGTATGCTCGTTTGTAATTTATCGTCAAACGATAATATTTCAGCGGGCAACCTTAGCCTTTTGTACATTTTCTACGTTGATTTAGTACTAGAGGTATACGGTTACAACATTCCGCCAATTACGCACCAACGGCGCATTGTTCTATGCAGTCTCCTTGAAAAGTACGACGCCTAATGAGAGTTTAGTTCCGAATGTCAGTCGCGAGTGCCAAAGCAGTATCCATTGTAAGCGCTTAGCCCTTCAGCATTGAAACAATAGAAGTTAGCTTGGGCATTTATCAAAGCTGTATTGTCGAATTGTATATACAATAAATACGAAGTACATATGACACTAGCGCGTCAAAACTGAGGCATTCAAATTACGACAATTGGTGTAATTTCTTTTTTGTTCGGCTCGATTCTATCCATGGTTAGCGAACGTAAAATGCAACTCTATAAATTCAAATTCAAATTAAAAATATCTTTATTAAAATAAACGCTTGCGAGTTCAGTTCAACTTACATAATAATAATTGATGCATAAGTTCGTAAATAAGTTACTAGCAGTTCGGAGACTATAGTCTGCCATCTCATTCCGTGTCATACGTTCTATATCATTTGTCACATCTACTTGTATATGTCGTCTATTAATAGAAGCGGAACAATTTTTAATCACCGCGCAGTATCGACACGCCTCGCCTTTATTCAAACATAGGTGTCAACGGCTTCAGGCGCGACGGCGATATCGGTTGAGCGATGGTGCAATCGCAACTGCGACCGTCGCATCGTGCGTGCGCGCGTGTCTGCACGTTTCGCAATCGCCGCGGTCCGACGACCTCGCGTCGAACAGTGCCGTGGCGAATGCGTTTACTTCCTCCTCGCCGCCTTATCTCTGTCGGCAATATCCGGCGCTGCGCCGTATTCGAGTCGAAATCGGGTCCGATGTTGTTTTGATGGCAACGCGAGTTGGCGGTTCACCTTAGGTTAACAGCCCGTGGACGTCTACAAATGCAATAGATGTTCCTAGTTGATACGTGTCAAATTTTCGCATAGTATTTTGATCAGACACCGAATGCTAATACATATAACAAATAATCTCACATCTTTCCATTTGAATACATTGTTTTTTTTTATGTGAAAAGTTGCCAAACGAGCAGACGGTTCACCTGATGTTAAGTGAATACCCTCGCCCATGGAAATCTGCTGCACCCGAGTATTTGGAGATGCGTTGACAACCTCTTTCGAAATTGGGCTCCGGCTACCTCACTCATCAGACGAAACGCGAAAGTATTTCTCTTACTTCCACTTTACGCCGGTCTTCTTTGAGGTCGTGGTATTCGGACGAGCTTGCCCATTCGTGCAACAGTGCAACAGTTAACACCATTGCTTGGCCCTACCACAGTTAGTTTTTGTCGTGACCAACATCAAATTCGATTTTATATGCGCATGCATATGCTTTGTGCCAAAAAGCACACTCGCAATTAACAGTTTGGCAATTACACTTGGGTTTTGTGAATGGGTATTTGCAATTGGAAAATGCTTAATATTTATAATATATATATGTGTATATATATATATATTATTTTGTCAAAGTAAAACTTTCCTATATAATGTAATTATAAAAAACCGTATCTAAACTATGCGTATCTAAAAATATTCGAATGATCGCCTGTCTGTCCCTCTTACAATTTGATATCATACGGGGTTTAGAAGATATAACCTTATATTAATATTCATTAATGTTTATATCAATGTGTGTCTGTGCGTATCTGTGAACGAAACGGTGAAATATTCAGACAAACTTCAGATTAGCCCAACAGATGATCCTTCGAAGTTTGCTACCCAAAGCGTTCGAGCTAGTTGTGAAATGTTTATAAACCAGAATTCTAATATTAAGACTAGGTCTATCGATCTCTTGCATGTCTAATAACGCCGATGCAGGAACTTACATGATCAGGGTTAATTTTTTTTCGTAATTATCAAACAATCATGGGTTAACTCTAACGCTTATTACGCAACATTGCGTGTCCGTAAACACGATCAGGTGTTTTTGTGTATTCATTTAATTTTTTATTTTTATTTTATTTTTTATATTATATAAGAGGGCGCGCATCACGGAAAAGCTATTGAATAAATTTCAATTCATTCTTCTAAGTTTTATTTCTTAGGCATATGATCGTTTTCTAAAATAATATTGTGCTATATTCGTTTAATGTTGAGTTATTAAAGATTTCAGAAATAACAATTTTTATAAGTTGTTATTGATAACTACAACTTGTTCTTTGTTGCTTGTCCCCGTTGCTTATTATATTAAACTAGCAAACCTCCCCGGCTTCCCACGGGTGCAATGTATTATACATATGAACCTTCCTCTTGAATCACTCTATCTAGTAAAAAAAACCGCATCAAGATCCGTTGTGTAATTTTAAAGATCTAAGCATACATAGGGACAGACAGACAGCGGGACGACTTTGTTTTATACTATGTAGTGATGCACAGCAAAGAGACGTTTACATTTCATGTGACATTTTACCACAGTCACTAACTTGTTTTGCCTTCGCGGAACCCCTCCACTAACACTTAAACTTTATGGTATGGTATTAAAGTTCAAATTGACTTTTAAATATTATTACGAATCTTTTGTACGGGAATATAGAAAAGTGTTGTTTTTAGACTTTTTCAGGCAATTTTTTAGTTTTTTTCTTTCATAACAACCTTCTGATAATAACAAACACAACAAAAAAAAAAGTGAAATCGATCCAGCCGTTCACGCGTGATGGCGTGACCAAGGGAAATAGGGATTCATTTTTATAAATATAAGATAAAATAGGCAACGCCGATGAAGTCGCGGATATCAGCTAGTTTAATATATTATTAGATATTATATAGGTTCCCTCTTGTTCCTCTTAATTGTCTTTATTGAACCTCCTTGTCTAGAAGTAATATATCTCTGTCAGCCTGGTGGTAATTGTCCAATGATTGAATACGCCGGTGGTCTTGACGTATGTTCGTCGTCATTTCAATCAAAATGAAATATATAAAAGCACCTTTTCTATATGTTTCATAACGGTGCACATTTCCGGTGTTAATTAAAATGAACTATGTAATTTGTGAATTTATGATTAAATTCGATTGCAATATGGTTTATTGGGTGAGATGATCAATGAATCTTCAAAATAAACCTAATACGTAAGCATAGGTAGCTTTCTAGAATTTTTTGTATAAAAAGTTGTTCTGTTCAGTTTTTATGACTATGATTGCATTATTATATTTAAGAATTTATATAATTTTAAAATTGAAGCGTAAACATTTCGAATAGCGTTTATTGAGAGCCATTGTGCCTTTATTTTAAATACGCAGAGACACTTATCGTCAAGGAGGTTAATTGCCGTCCACGGCGCGTTACCATGCATTATGTAATACGTTGTCATAGGTTAGTGTTAGTCATTTAAAAAAATACAAACAACAACCTTTTTTATGACAGAAAGTGGCGTTCGAGCAAGCGGTTGTCAACTGATGGTACTCTGATTATCGTTGTTCATTAATATCCACAGGGCCCTCGAAGATTGCCTCACTCACAAGCAGTAAAGCAAAAATAGGAATACTCTAACTATGAATACTTTATCTATTTTCTGTGGTATGGTGGTATAGTGTTCTGCTATGCAACAGCTACTGCTGTTGCACCAATGGGAAGTCTCGTCCGAGGAATTAGGGGCCACTGTTTTTAAAAGTTGTCATCGTATCTACAAGCGCTCGTAGATGAGTAAAGGCCCATTTACACGGTGCAAGTTTCTTGCCTGTTGTATACAAATTAAATTGAAGCAATAAATGAGTTGCATGGTCTAAACAACAAATGGTCTAAACAATTATTGCGCGCAATTTATTGCATTCAATTATTGCTCTTGTATATTCAAGAAAATGGCATCGTGTAAATGGGCCTTAAGTGATGTAGTGGCGGTAATCACTTACATGAGGTAAACCGCCTGCACGCTTGGCAACTTTTTCACATAAAAAAATGTCATGTAAGGCAATGGCCGTTCCTCAGATAAGCAGACCAAATCCGGTAACACAGAAGCTGCGGTGAGACTAGAACTGCTCATATATTTAATTTGAAGTGAATGAATTATAATACGCTCGTTTAAATTATTGTCGTTAATCAATCGCGTCATGTCTGACGCAACCTTCGTGTTGGCTTAACCCGATGCGTATGCAACGCCGAGTGCATTCTAAATCGTCCCTGTGAATTGTCCTAGTGTAGTAGCATTATTTTAGTATTGAGACAGCATTGACGCATTGAGTATGCTATGGGAGCATAAAACAGAATGGGCTATCTTAATATATTCAATTTTCTTTAGGTTTGAAATATAAAAACATTGGTTGATTAAACATTATTTGATACCATAAGTTAAATAAACAATAATTGGTGTCTCTGAGTGAAAAATTAAATATATATATATATATATATATATATAACTGAATGAAGTATAAAGTAATAATAAAATTAACTTTTTTAAAGGTAAAACAATTATACCCACTAAATTCTTTTGTATTTACCGCCCGTTATGATAATGAAAGTTTGTTAAAAAGTCATTCACTTCGTGTACCTAGTAAATTTACGATGCAAAAAATTATAGTATGTATGATATTTACATTGCATACGATTCACTGACCTTCACACAACGAGTGTGTTATTGTTTATTTCTTTACGAAAGTTGTTAATATAAATATTTAGTATTAACGTACTATTACTTGTTGTGATTTCATAAGGATAGAACAAATCGGGATCTTATTTTCCTTACCACAGTCATAAGTACCATTATTAACACAACGCCCTTTCGCAATTGTCTTATTTTACCAGTTAGGTGACAAGTGCGTAAATCAATAAAAGTGTAGTTAACTTTCGCCTTGAAGGAACTTATCATTGCTGTTGCGTCATCGTGCACCTTTTGAACGACTTGACCGGTACGAGGCGATATTCACACGAGAACATTTTTCTTCTATGAATCAAAATGTCTATATGTTGTGTAATTAAACTTTATTTAGTCATTCGTTTTTTCATTCCCATCATTGTATTCATTCTTGGTTCACTAATTTACTTACTAGTTTATGAAGTCCAGAGAAGATAAGATGTAGAGGCTTAGAAAAGAATACCGATAACCGGTGGGGAAGAACGGTTCTTGTGCCACGTATTGGCCATTGCAGTGTAAGAAAACCACTCACTGGGTGTAATCACGACTTGTGCAATTGTGCGGGTGGTCAGTGGGGGAGGCCTATGTTCAGCAGTGGACTCAAACGGATTGAAATGATGTTAATAATTATGAAAGCAATTCTTATCTTTTTTTTAAATACTAAACTTTCCATGTGTGCGCAGAACTATTCACCCAAATTTCATCACTAACGAAGACAAACATGTAAGCGTTCATTATTTATTCGACTATTATTGGGAAATACTAAGATTATTTCGAAGGGAAAACTTCAATAGATCTTTCTAGGGCACAGCTGTCGCCAATACACAATGTGAATCAACACCATGCATACAATACCACAAATGCAACATATTTTACCCTCAGTTTATTACGTTACGTACAATAACGGCCACACGCGGTGCGTGTTTGCGAATACTCGAGCACAATGCTCACGGCAGCAAGTGTCAAGGACGCCTCCGACCTCGTGTTGATAAGCCGGACCGGCTTAGTCGGCCACTTTCACATTCGCAATGCTCTTTGCCGGCTGTAAACAGCAAACGCAGGATGCGGCTCAATTGGGACTGGTTATGTCGCTTCCCATTCGGAATCCCTTCGGGGTCTCGACTTGCATGACGTGCGAACGTAATCCGCACCTTTGCACCGTTGATAGTCAACAATATATTCAGCCAACTGAGGAATGTCGTGTTTGTAAACATTTATGATTTCTTAGTTTTATTATTATAAATTTCCTTGATTTTTGTTTGTTTATTTGAATTCTGTTATATAAAATTTCTAACTGCTCTGTTGACTAATATTTCAGAAATAACCACGAGGGAGCAAGCCTATTATAAATTATTAGGATACATTATATATCGAGTTTATATTTTAAAAAAAGAAGGTAAATTTATGATGGCGATCTAAAGCCCGATAACTTCTACGCTACCGTGACTTTTCAATTTAATAATGTATACGATCTTTATTTTCACATAGCCAATATTTTAACATCGTTAGGGTCGTCGGTCTCTCCCCCTGTCAAGTATCTTTACTTTCAATCACAATGTTTGACGTTAATGTGCCCTTACACTAAAAGACACAATGGCGTGCACGAAAATTAGTTTGCTGGAAGATGTGACAGTTATTGCGAAAGCAACCTTTTGTATTTCTCCGAAGACACGGTAAATGAGATCAAAGACTTTTTTTTTTTTCAAAGTGACGATAGTTTAGTGAGCGGTTCACATGAAGTGGCTGAGGACTGCCGCCCATAGACACAACACCAGTGACGGGCAGGTTCTGTTTCCAAACACCGAGTCAAAAGCTATTATGTCAGTTGTAACTTTATAAGGTTTCAATAAAACTATGAAAAAATACTAATGATAACACTCAGCTGATGTAAACATTAAAATTGGTGGTTACTCTGGCACGAATTAACTAAGATGGTGGTCAAACTGTAGAGCGTACTTGGACGTAATGAATACTATTTTATTGCACAGTTCATTTTAACTGTAACTTTAAGAAAAGTATTTCTTATATATATTAAAACATAAAAGTATGTGGTCACTTTGACATCAGTTTTATTATATGTACATGCATTACAGATTACGTATATAGCATTTTTATCTAGGCAATAAATCTTATTTATTTTGTTAACTAGAAATTATAACTATAGAGTAATTATGCGTTATATGCATAATTACTTAAGCTACGTTTGTAACAATAAAGTTATAATTTTTTCCATTGAATATCTATACTCTATTTGATATCTCTTTCGAAGAGATGAGATTCGCGTCAAGTATCCGAGCAAATGTTGACAAGATGCTATTGTTTATGTGAAAAACGTGTTCTTTAAATTTAAAGCTTTTATCTTTGCAATGAAAGCTTTCTAAATTCATCGCCGCATTGGTAAAGTAATTAAGAAAGGGCGTACCCCGAAAGTTATGTGCCATTATTCAATATTTATTGCGAGGGCGCTCATTGCGGACACCGTTGCCACGCTACGAGCAGGCGGAGGTTTCAAATTAACATCATTATTCACAAGGAGAGCGGAGCATTGTGCTCCGTCGAGAAAGTTCTATCGCGGGCCGAATATTGCCCGTGTCTTCATCCCCATTCGCTCTGCGCATGTTCGATGTACCCTCATTTAACATTGAACCGCGTCGCACGCGGATCGATGAGGTCTTCTTTTTTTCGCCCCCGCACAAATTTTTGTTTTAATTTAATTTAATTTTTTTTTGGATTCCTCTTGTTTTGCACGTAGCTGTAATTTGTTTTGCCAGCTAAATCCATGATTTTTATGAAGGTTTTCGCATACTTACCTACGTGATTTTTTGTTTAAGTTACTACATTTCCGATCAAAGATTTTTGTTTACGTAACCAATGCGAAAACTATCATTTTGAACATCTTACTCAGACTGCTAAATGTACCGTTCTGTACCGGTACGTACGTTGCTTTTGCATCAAAATTTTTTATAGTCTTCAAGATAAAACCAAAATGGCTTGTTCTAAGAATGCACGTACAGAGTGACGGCGGCATGTGTCCGAGTAAGATGTTTTGTTGTTTGCATGCATTTGCCTGTATCTAGCTCGTTGTCTCTGTTGCATGCAGGTCTAGGCGCGCTTCGCAGCAGCTGTCGAGGAGCGCCGAGAGCATCGATCAGGCCTACAAGAGGTAACAACTTTCACTTCACCAAAACATCATAAAACCAGAAAGCGGACCTCCGCACGACAAGAACAGAACAGAACAAGCACTTAGAACCTTAGAAAGTTTTTGTTATGCCTTTGATTTGTTACGTTGCTATGCGACATTATGTCGACGTATAAATAGTGATTAGAACGTATTTTAGTTGCCTGCGTTAATTAGTTTGGGTTTCGTTTTTAATTAGTTTTGGTTTCGTTTATACTCATTATTCAACGTTACATCCACAAACACTTTTCCTATAAAAAAAGTTCCCACGTTTCTACCAATATATAAACAGCAATATAAAGCGTAATTGGCCGAAACGAGTTTTATATGTTAAACATTCTGATTACGTTCTTTTCCCTTAAAAATTTATATAATAGACACGAAATTATACATGGGCGAATCAGTGCTCTTAGAATATATAGAAATGTACATTAAACAATCAAGTTCGTTATAAGTGCTGTCACGAACAAAGGCCTCTAAAGCTATTGGAAGTTTGGAACAATACAAAGTCGACGCGACGCGCCGTTCCAGTTTCGAGAAACATCCATTATATTAAATTTTTCCGGAGTTTTCACTTGTTTTCCTTTTTTTTCCTCAATAGAACAAAATGTTCGAATAGATATTCTGCTCCAATGATGAGTGATGCTCGCGGAAAATTTTAGAGATATAACTCTCAAGCAATTCATATTATATATTGGTGTCAATTTGTACATTTATTATATATTTATCGAGACGAGATTACAATCTTGCCACCCGTCACTTGGGGAATGTTTTCATCTGCCAATGTTATTCGGGACGTTTGTTTTTAGTGTAGAGCAATTATCAGGGCGCTGACACTAAAATTGAATTTACTGCATAACGTCACCAGTGATCCCGGCTGGACAAACGACTGTTCGCAAAGCATCTGTTGACTTCTTATCTTTACATTAATTTATTCAAGCCTGCGGCTTACATTCCAAAGGGAACTTGCATATGAGCGCACTTTTGGTCCGAATCAATAAAATGATTCAGTTCATTTTCTACCTCATAGCAGAGGAATTTGGTTTAACGTGTGAAGAATGAAAAACATTAATTGTCAAAATTTCAATGCAAACTCAGACGTTAGTATAATGGATAGAATGGTATATTGAGTCAAGTTCGTATGTGAAACACGACCATATTAAATGACGACTGTAAAAGTAATTTTAAAAGTACGTGCGAGAATTCGTACCAAGGAACAATGTAATACAAACACCAAAAATTCTTTGATTTCTTTAGACATTAAACGGTAAAAAGTTAAGGGAGTTATTAATTGTTGTTATCACAGATTAAAGAAATTTTATTAACGAACAAATAAACATATAATTATTTGGTTGCGAATAGAATCTTTGCATATCAACTCTACAATTTTTCTAGGATTAAAGTTAAGATAAAATATAGAACAACGTCTGTAACAAATTCATAGTATGCTTTGTTATAGACGACCCGATTGCCGTAATGGACAGTGATCCTGTCTCTCGTACCAGAGAATGTGGGTTCAATCCCCGCTACTGGAAAAATTATCTGTAATGAATATAGTGTTTTTCTTATGCCTAGGTGTTTCTATATCTATATACCTATTTATTTACAAAATTAAAGTTTGTTTATCAGTTACCTAGTATGCATATTACAAGCTTAGTTTGGGACTAGATAACGTGGTTCATACATGTCCTGAAGATATTTATTTATATATTTTATAAAAACTAATGTCATTACGTTACAGGTCGAAGAGTCGGTCCGTGGACCATGGCTTCGCGGCGCCTTTCGACCTGGAGGCACTGCGCTCCAAGGTCGAGGGCAGGTTCGACGCTGTTCATAGAGGTGTGTATTTTTTAAAGATAAATTTAAATGTATGTAATGTGTATGTCCGTTTTTGTGTAAACCTAAAAATGTTTTTTAAAACTACTTCAACGGCCTTAAACTTGTTATAACTGAGAATATCTTAAGTTTTATGTATGTATATAATCTATTGCTGTGTGGCCGTCTACACTACGTTTCGTATTCTAGCTATTATTTTTGACCTAAATATAGACAGACTTTCAAGTATTTAATTTTAAAAATGTGCTAAAGGTTTTTTTTAATAGTCCACGTTTTAAAATCAAACTGAATATATATATATAGCGTGTCGTTACAAACGCGACAATATACAGTGTGTCGTTACCATCGCGACAATAAATGAACACACGTCTAACGCTACTTGCCAATAGTTATAAAAAAATACTAACGTTAAACAAAATCCATAATTAAAAAAAAATATTTTTCAAACAAACTAATTAAGTAAAAAAGAAACAAAATTTGTATCATCCTATACAACTTGCTTCACAGCGTCGTATTACAAGCCTTTCCTTCTAACAGTATATTTTGTCTCTTTTAAATTCATTCAACCCATTCATATGCTTTGTGACCTTTACAAATGAACTTTACGTTACGCTTTTATAGGTAAAGGTGTTCTAAAATTCTTTGTCTAAAATTTTAAAACACCCTTACGTATAAAACTGTAACGTAAAGTTCATTTGTAAACGTCACAAAGTATTTGAATTGGTTGAATGAATTTATAAGAGACAAAACATACATGTTAGAAGGCGAGGCTTGTAATGCGATGCTGTGGCAACTTATGAAAACGTCTCTGAATGTATGAATCAGTCAGTTGTAGTTGTATAGATGTTACAAATTTTGTTTCTTATTTACTTAATTAGTTTGTTTGAAAAATATTTTTTTTATTACAGATTTTTTAACGTTAATACTTTTTTATGATTATTGGCATGTAGCGTTAGACGTGTCTTCATTTATTGTCGCGGTTATAACAACACGCTGTATTTGGCTAGGTTCGTAATCTCCTACAGATTGTTCTGATATTATGTAATTGTTTGTTTTTAATAGCTATAAAATTACTTGCAATATTTAAAACGAATCGTGGAGCATTCATGCAGCAATAAAATAAAACACGTTTTCGATTTTAGCTATTTAGAAGGAAACATGGGATCTTGAAAAATCTACGCGCTTGTCTTTCTCTTTCTGGACTGACGTTGTCGCTGTCTGTAGGTAGGACATGATTTGAATCGAATATCGATGAGTTAGATTTAGCCTTATCGATCTAGCCTCGCGACTTCTTCATTTATGTCGCATATTTGTCGCACAGCTCACGTCCCACAGAAAATCACGGATAGCCAGTGGCGTCTGCCAAATAAACATGCCAGTGATAAAACAGCGTCCGTCTGTAACGTCGCGAGCTATAATTAATCCAGTAGCTATAAAACTTCAGTGTTTGTTTACATCGTGTACGGAGAGCGGTTTCTTGGCCTCTCGTTTTTATTTCCGTTTCATCGGTTTATGATTTATCGGATTAATAAATTCGTTCTAAATTAGAATGTTCCCTATGATTTATGATGTTTTGTCACAAAATACGAAGTCTAATATATAAAATTCTCGTGTTTGTAATTGAAATCTTTCGAAACGGCTCGACCGATTTTCGTGAAATTTTGTGTGCATATCGGCCAGGGTGGAGAATCGGACAACATTTTTCTATCCTATCATATTCATCATATTCATCCCCCTAAATGTTAAGGGTGGTCCACCCCAAACATTTTTTTCTACCTTACAAATAATTTATATGGCAAAACAACGTTTGCCGGGTCAGCTAGTTATCTAAATGTTTTGATACAAATAGTTCATTTTGTATTAAATCGTAACTTGTTATTAGATTGGCGAATCTTTGGGCATACCAACAATGTTTTAACGGTGGTCGGGCCACGCAACAGCTTCGGCTGTTGCACAACTGGGCAGGTCCGTCCTGGTAAGTAGCACGGCCTCACAAATGACCGATGTGAAGTGGAAGTGTTATCCTTCTGCGTTTCGTCTGGTAAATGAGGTAGCCGGGGCCTATTTTATTAAATGTGGCCACGCATCTGGAACCCTGCGGGTGTTGCAAATGTCCATGGACGGCAGTTATCACTTAACCGCCAGTTCGCTTGCCACCTTCTCACATAAAAAAGACAAACTTTACTTTCAAAACTAAATTAAAATTCGAAATAAATGTCAATATGTAGTTTTTGAAAGGCATCAAAAGTTTTATTTTCGTTAGTATAGAAAAAAAGAGGAACGTCATGTTTGAAAACGGACAACATAAATCATTAAAACTCGCGTTATTTGCAAATCATAAACGCAAACGGCGGATGTCTCGGAGATGAAAATGAGAAATGAAAATATTTATTCGCCTGTCGACGAAATAACGTTGCTCGAAGGTAAATAAATTAGAGTGCCAGTATTTACTTTCAATTGCGTTACAATAATATACTAAACGTCCGGACGTGTGAAGATTATTCGTTGGTATTGCAAAAGGAAATTATAAAATAAATGTTTTTAATTTCTTATTACAAGCCTTTACGTCATTAGTATCTGACGGGGAATATACAGTTTCCGCTTTTCATATTATCTCATGATATACCTACAACTTATATCTGATGGAAAGAGTGTTGGGAAACTCCATGCACAAATTTTATGTGAGCAGACGGTTCACCTGATGTTAAGTGAATACCGCCGCCTATAGACATCTGCTACACCCGAAGGTTTGCAGATGCGTTGACAACCTTTTTGGAAATTGGGCTCCGGCTACCTCACTCACCAGACGAAACCCGAAAGTATTTGTCATACTTCCACTTTACGCCGGTCTTCTGTGAGGTCGTGGTACTTACCCGGTAATATGAAGCAAGTGCACTTGCGTTCCATTTTACCTAATTAAACAATAAAATCATAACTTCTGCGCTAAGACTCAAACCCGCGACTTCGGGAAACTGATCACTAAGACGCCGCTAAAGTTATGTGCAAACATATGTCGTGTATCTTGTATTAACTGATGTTTGTGCTTTCAGTCTCGAGACTATTAAAGCTTCATCTGACGCAGAACCGATGGGCTAGCCAGAACCCACGGGTTTGGGACAAACATATGTGTATTTATATCACCCTCCTGCGCGACACAAAGTAAATCTATGTATGTATGTTTGTTCTTTTGTGGGCTGATTTTGACAATTATTACATCAATCGTATTCTCTCTATCTTGCAAGAGTCAAGAGAATATCAGCCTTTTCAAAAATTTTGTCTATTAGTTACGCAGGAGGCCTTTTTTTTAATTTTCGCTCCATCCTATAAATTTTTATTTTCTAGTGTTACATTGGCACTATGCAAACTAGAATTTAACTGTAGATTAAAATTTCATATGCGGTATCATTTAACTTTATGATTTCAATTAAATTTGACCATTAAAAGGGTATAAAATTTCCCCGGTCTAATCAATTTTTTCGAATTAAAAATGGATGCATTGATTCCAAGAAACATTTCTTAATCATTCTTCAGGTCATCGTCTGCGTATTTCGCGGAAATTTCAATTCTTACTACGGAATTTACACGTTTCTTTTCCTGTATGCTAATGTATGTCTCACGGTGTATTTCTTGAGATCGGAGGTTAGTGCCCAAGCTTTTCAATTTTTTCTTTTTTATATACGATTAAATTTTATACGGTATAAATGTAGGCTGAAACAAGTACGGCCTATGACCGGGGAGCGGATGCCTCTACGTGATTCAGGAGTATCGAGGGGCTGTAGTCCGCTCGATATTCATGCAAGGACTGTTTGTAATAAATGATGTTGCCTCCTAGACTACTTGATAGCCGGTCGCGGCGGACAATATTGTTATTTGAGTACCGTACAGTCATCAGCCAGAGCCTTCACTTAAATTACATTTTTAGAGATTTAGAGATTTTACAGTTTCCCAATTCAGTTTCATTATTACTACATAAAATATATTTTCTGATTGGATATAACCAAAACTGAAGTTAGGTATTTAATGGCGAATGAAATCGAGACTGTTATGCTCTCACTTAAACTTAATCACCTCCGTTATACGAAGAGAGTGATGTGTGGTATGTGTTTAATGCCCACGTTAATTTAATAGTCTATCTGCAATAAATATACAAGTGCGCCGTCATAGATGAACTCTCTCGAGCGATAGTTTATAGGCTGCTTTTACGACCTACTGGAATTCGAGCTGTCGGTGACGCTTAATATTAATCCACTTCGCAACATTCTCCGCTAATTCGTACTTCGTTTTAAAAAATCCCCCCGCCTCGACACTAGACAGTGGCCCACTAACTCGCTCGTTGTTCTGATGGGCGCTTCACCTTGAACTTTTTCAGCGAGTGTGGCACGGCACAGTTGAGGGAAAATCAAAATGTATGCAAAAATGCCTCCCATTCGTGTTAAGCGCGCTCGTCGAGATGTTTATTTCATCTCATCACCTGACCCATTTCCCCGCTCATGCGACGATTTCACAATCATACGAGTAGCTTTTATCATGTTCGACTGGTTTATGAAAAGTTATCATTTGATAGAAACACTTTAAATATATGTACCTACATTACAAAACATCGATATAGCAGATTGCGCTGTCTGTTTCTTTATTTCTATTTACGAGTTGTTTTGTCTTTGAGTTGTAAAGGCCCATTTACACGGTGCAAGTTTCTTGCCTGTAGTATACAATTAAATTGAAGCAATAAATGAGTTGCATGGTCTAAACAGCACATAACATTCTTGCCTGTTGAAAAAGACTTGCTTCAAGTTTTGTTTCAAAACTTTCCTTGGTGTAAACAGCACACACAATAATTTCTTAAGCAATTCTTGTATTCAATTGCATTCTCTCTTCCTTGGCAAAAATTTGTGCAATGAGTGAGGGTATTTAATCATTGCTGTTCTTTTGAGGATAGAAATATTGAGAAAAGGTCGTAAAAAAAGTTGGATATAAAAATAAATGAATAATAAATATTGAACACTTAAGGCCCATCATAATAAAATTTAATTGAAGCAATAAATCTGGTCAATGAAATATATTTTTATTGCATTCAATCGGCATAATCTAACTTGAACAGTTATTATTGAGCCATTTTTTTAAAAAAACAGCCATTTGTAAAACGTTCAACACTTGCATGAAAAATTTGTCAACGCAATACTTGCAATACTTGAAGCAACACGCCAATAAATTGTACACGCACATACAAGCATGTGTTTAGACAAGTCAAAACTTGAAAGCAATAATCGCCTAAACATAATTGCATTGGTGTAAACAAAAGACCTTTGCAATTATTTCCTGTCAAGACTTGCATACAATAATCGCATTCAATTTTTTTTACTATATCTGCGTGTAAACTGTTGCTTACAATTCTTGATGGTCAATTATTGCGTGCAACTTATTGCATTCAATTATTGCTCTTGTATGTACAAGAAAATGGCATCGTGTAAATGGGCCTTAAAGCTTTATCGTGTTAAACTACGCCACAGGTTTAATTATTATCAACTCAGTGCAAAACATATTTAACTGTCTATTACAAAAATTTTCCCTCATTAGGGGCTTTCAAGAATTAATTAAAGCGTATTTAAAATTAGCTATATCTCTCATATTTAAAACTGCTATTATGTTGTGAAATTCTCTGATAATATGATGTGAACATTGTAGTATGCTTTTTTATCGAACTATACCGTTTACCATCGTGTTTCCGCTTTTCGAATACTTTAATGTGATGCAGGTTCGAATCCCGCCGAAAAGTTTGTTCATTTATCAACAAAAATGTTCAATTTAAAGTTTGATCGATTATTGTTCTCAGTTTAAGTATTTCTTGGTAATAAGAACATTGTTACCCGATTGGCGTAGTGGATAGTGGAACTGTTCCCCGCGCCAGAGGTTGTGGATTCGATACCCACTACTGGCAAAATATTATGTGATGAACATAGAGTTTTTCTAGTGTCTGTTTATATATCTATACTATGTATTTATTCACAAAAGAAAAATATGTTTATCAGTTACCTCGTATACATAGTACAAGGTTTGCTTAGTTTGGGACTTGATAACGTAGTGTAAAAATATTTATGTATTTATATGTGATTAGGTACTAAACATATCAGTGAATTTATATTATTTAAAATTAACCATTTCGTTAATGTCGGTACCGGAGGTTGAACTCAGGTTGCTCGAGTATATTGAAATAAAAGCGAGCGCCCGGATAAACTTGTCTTAAAATAATGTAAACATTATCATTGAACAGTGTTTGTTTATCAACTATGACATTCTATTTTTTGGCAACTGTAGGTTCATTTAAAATTGGCTTTCTACCATACAGTTGAATAATTGCAAATTACCATTACGCTATATCTGTACGTAGATAGATACTACCTTTTGTTTAGACCCATACTAGTTGGTTAATAGGTGGATAGATTAGATAAAAGAAAACTTGGCTTTCTTACATTTTACATATTATACCTCAGAAAATTGTAATGGTGATAGCTTATTATATTGAACTATTTCATGTAGATTTTTTTTTCAAAATCCCGACGTAAAAATAATATCTTACAACCCCACTACGTCATCATCAAATCGTCATCGACCGCACAGACTGATTAAAAAAAGTATTTTACGTTAAAAACGTAAAATAGTTATAATTATCAATCTTAAGTATTCGTGTTAATAACAGAACAATCTATAAAATCCTTATTTATATTTTTTATCAAATTATATAACACATTAGTTAAGTTTTACATTACATGTTATGAGTTTGTTTGTCTTGGCAAATTAAATACCAAACATTGTTATCGATAGTTATTTTACATTGTTCTAATCTACATACATGAAGTAAGGGCGACGCCAATACCATAAGGAAATTTTAAGTAAGTTGACTATAAATCTCGTGTCCAGTCCAATCAGACCTTGTACATGAGGTCAATAATTAATTTATTACTAATACCGTACGGTACACCTTTGAAATATGCTCTTATTATTTATCTAATTGACAGTTTTGATATATACGGCGTTGTATGATGTACATAAATCATCATCATTATCTTTATACATATACAATAATTCTTCTGTACGTGAGTCATTGAAGTCCTCCTAAACGGCTGGACTAATTTTAGTGCAATTTTGTGTCTGTCTTCTGATATATTCGAGAATAGTTTAGATTCACAATTTGGTCCACATTTTTTTTATTTTTTTTTACCAAATTTGGACGTCTATTAAAATATTTGATAACGTCCTTTATAAGGAAATATCCAAGAAAACTAAAACATGCCTATTTTGAAATTATGAAATTTAATTATATATTTTCATTTGTTTCAGATGAAGACGAGCAAGTCAAAAGGCTGGCTCCCCAACCCCCCATAAAGACAATGACATATACGGTGAGTTACAAAAGGTCTTAAAGTTTCGTAGAAAATTAAAATTATATATGGACATGACAGAGCCATTTATGTTTGTGACAAATTCTACTGCTAAAAGAAAATCGTCAATGCATCAGCAAATATCTTACTTATTTGATTGTATTAAAAAGTTTTTTGTTTCATTTGACGTAAACATTTACCTTTTTGTAAATAGTTTTTCGGCAAAAATCATCTATTCGAGAAATTTTTTATTATTCATGCTCACACAGACGCATAATTAAATTAAGTTTTGAATATGGAAAGAGTCTAATTCGCTTTTCAATCTTATCTTTATATATAAGATAATTCTTCTGTACCTGTGTATGTCACTGAACTCCTCCTAAACGGCTGGACCGATTTTAATGAAATTTTTTGCGAGTTTTCAGGTCAATTCGAGAATAGTTTAGATTTACAATTCGGTTCACACTTTTTTAATTTTTTTATTTATAAGTTGTTGTCGAATGTAAGTCGTGTGTACAGGACAACGCCTGTTGGTTCCGCTAGTACTCTTATAAATTTAATACATTTTTCTAAACTATAAATTACACAAGAGAACTCAACGCAACTGAACTCTATTATTTACTTTGTTTTTTCGCAATCTAAGACTTTTTGACTTTATATCAAGTTCAATATGACGTAACATTACAAATTGAAATCGAATCATTATAATGAGCTAATGCATCGACAAGTAATTTAATTAAAACGCAAAAGCCTTATAAGAGTTCCGTGGAAGCCATTCAAGACCAGTTCATTATTAACTTCGATGCCGTTGACAAAACGCTCTGATTTTACAAAATGTTGTCGGAAAATATGTAATTAGTTTGGAAATAAATTGGAAAATTATTAATATTAATTAGGTACATTTGTAAAATCAGAGATTCAGAGAAATTTAAATTTGTCTTTTCCTTCTTGGCCTGTTTTCCTGTTGATCTTCCTCCACTTTGTTACAAACTCCATATTTTGCGCATCGTCCACTATGATATAATATTTGACAGTCATATCTTTAAAACAAAAAATTCAATATTGTATAACAATCAAAATGATGCTGGAAGAGTTAATTTTGTGCTCAAATTCGAGAATAAGGATTTCATCTACGAGTGTTGACCCTTCTCTAAAATCTCGCTGATCTGGCATAGTTAGATCTATGCCTTATCCGTTATTCACTTCCTCGCAGTACCCTTTCACCAAGTTATAATAGTTAACTCATTCCCCAATCAAATTAAACTTCTTAAATACGAAGACTGTTGTATGTTCGGTGGAATAAAATTAGGAACAGTAAAAGGCTCGTTACAATCACATCATATATCATCACATTGAGATAAACCTCTGATATATTTAAAACGATTTCTTTCTAAACTTTTCTTAAAACAAGTCCATCTCTATTAATACATAAAAACGTCATGTAAACTAAATCACTCTTAAAGAAGTGAGTGTATCCCATATAATGTTTGTTTATCTAACCTTAGTTACAACGCTTTGCTGTCTCAACCTATAACAATCTTCATGTATGATATCTTTTAAATAAAGTATTTGTTGCCAGCATTCAAATATCCACCATTCTAAATACCATTTTCCTTACTTTACGTTGTCATTATCTTCTGAGCAAAGAATTGTCTACAAAAGAATGAGGATACCATCACCGCATTCTGTTTTCTTCATATTGCTTTTCTTCTCATATTCCTCGGCAAATGCTGCTTTAATGTTCTCTCTAAGTATTTGTACAGTATCATCACGGCCCTTGTGACAACGAAGCACCACGGCGCATGATGTAAAATTTTATATGCACATTTCGCGCTAAATAGGTGTTTGGTTTGTTAAGCAAACGACGAAATGTAATGTGTCCCGTAAACATAAATCCCAAATATTTGTGTTAGAAAGTACTTCCAAAAAAATTGTATTGATGTGGTCAGCTTTACCAATTTTTATGGAATCGTATCTATATTAACAGCAACATATATATCTAGTATTAGGCAATTGGAAATTTTTTTATTGATAAAAACTATTTGGACATCGGATACAAAATTCTCATTCATAAACATGTATTAATAATACAATGAAGCCCTATATCATTCTAACCGTCCGTTTGGTTTCATAAATACTGTTTGAAATATTTAACAAACATGTTAGCACCTGGAAATTATAAATTACTTTTGGACTAATAATTCATCACTTACGTGACTCAAGTACAATAAGGGACTAAAGATTTTAAGAAAGATCAAACTCTCCCTAACTTCAAATATTCGTATGATTATTTGTAATAGATGATTCATGTTCGTTACAGTTAACAGCGTTAATTGATACGCAGTTGAGCGACAGTTGACCTGCCGATTCTGAGATCGTGCCAAATCGTTATTTATGCAAGACATAAATTAATTTATGGGTTTTTCGAGTCGATTACCGTTGGACATCGGGTCGACAATTTGCCGAATGGTAGCTGTGTGCTCTTGTCTCAAAACAATGTCAATCTCATAACGTAAAATACGGAGAGTTCACATACAAAAAAACAAAATATATAGTATGTACTAGCGGACCCGACTGACGTTGTCCTGTAGGTCCTGTACATACGAGTTTAATCAGACAATATATAATTTTTTTTTAAAAAATGTAGTGGGCCGAATTGTGAATCTAAACCATTCTCGAATGGACATGAAGACACACAAAAGATTTTATTACAATCTGTCCACCCATTTAGCGAGGAGTTCTGTGCATATACACACGCACAGAAGAATTATACATGTACGTAAATATATAAATATATAAAAATACCATTAGCTCCATAATACTTAACCTCAAAATTCTATCTCCAGCAACTAAATCTATCTGTAAATAGAATATTGAAACTGGCGGTTAATCAATAGAAAATTAGCAAATGTCATAACACGTTTTTCAGTATTACGTGGCACAAACACTCAGTGAATTACCCTACATAAGAGCGTAAAAATCGATCATTTCATCATTTATGTGTATATTTTACCATAATATTTTTCATGTTTTTACCATGAAATGTCATTTTCTCACGGCTCTTCGAGTTTTTAAACTCTTAATGAAAATGCCGTACGATGCTTTTGTTCAAAATTGGATTCAAACACAAAATCTTTCTTTCTTGTATTTACGCGATTACACAGCACAGTTTAGTTTTTTTTAGTTTCATTTACAAAAATCTGTTATGACAGCATTGTTGCGCCCGTAGGTCCGCGACCGGGACACGCTGACGTCGGTGGCGGCCCGCTTCGACACCACGCCCTCGGAGCTCACCAAGCTGAACCGGCTCGCCACGCAGTTCATCTTCCCCGGGCAGTCGCTGCTGGTGCCCGACAAGAGGAAAGGTCAGTCCACAAACTCTTCGCTGGGGTAGGGGTCACGCGACAGTCTCACCAAGCTGAACCGGCTCGCCACGCAGTTCATCTTCCCCGGGCAGTCGCTGCTGGTGCCCGACAAGAGGAAAGGTCAGTCCACAAACTCTTCGCTGTGGTGCTGGCCACGCAACAGTCTTCGCTGTTTCACATATGGCCAGGTCCGTTCAGGAAAGTTGCACGACCTCACAGAAGACCGGCGTGAAGTAGAAGTGTTACACTTCTCCGTTTCGTCTGGTGAGTGAGTTAGCCGGGGCCCACTTTATTTAAAGGTGGCAACGCTTCTGTAAGCCTACGGGTGTTGCAATGCCCATGGGCGGCGGTTAACAAACAACAAACAAACTACGCGGTAGCACCGATCGCTTGTACTGGAGGGAACTCCAAATATTGCAGTATGAATTTGATTTGTCTCAAGTTTATTCTTTAAGTTTACTTAATTCCTATTATGCGGGTACTCTACGGATATTGTAGCGTTTAATTTTAATCTTAACTAGCAACGTTGCATTATCAAGGTTAGGATTTTAGTTTGTGTTTTTGAACATGAATTCTGTAGTCATAAAGAATTTTACGCCATACATCCGTAAAGTTTTATCAGAATGTAAATCGTATTTCTTCTTTTTTTCTCATATGTTTTCATTCTATTATTATAATGAATACTACGTGACGAGTGAATTCGTAGTCGTAAGTTCGTAACATACGTATATTAAACAGACTCGAATACCACAGAAATCTTTGACCGTGTGGGCATCGAACCCAGATCTCAGTGTGCATCGGCCCTTGTACAGAAAGTATAAGATCATAGTCTACCACGCGACCCCAATGCGGATTGACGGACTTCACATATCTCCAAAATATTTTTTACGTATCATTCGGAAAATATGCAGGTTTCCTCACGAAGTTTTCCATCACCGCCGAGCACGTAATCAGTTATCACTTTAAATTGCAATTAACAATTTCATTGGTACCAGCACCGGGACTTGGTATTTTTTTTTTATCATGAGCTTACCATCTGAACATCAAAGGTATGACATATTTGATTCCTCGAGGCTGTACACAATTACAAGGGAATGATTTTCTTTTTAGGGTTCCATACCCAAATGGTAAAACGAGACCTTATTAGTAAGACTCCAGAATAAAAAAAAATATTCAAGTGGGACTCAAATACAGACATGATTTTTTTTGCCGCTTTAATAAATAATGGTACGAAACCCCTCTTGCACGAGTCCGACTCGCACTTGCCCGGTTTTTTCAAACAATTTATACTCCAAAGCATTATATTGTACAAAAATAAACCTTTGATAGATAAGTTATTAAAAAAAAACTTTTGAATTGCTAGAGTTTTTTCATAATCTTACTATTGCATTGAGCTGTCTCATTCGAAATTAAATTTTGTAAAGGTAAAGCCGCCTTGCATTCGCTTCATTGTGACAATTGAGGCAATTTAATCTACCCTCGGCCGAACACGTCCCGCGGGTGCGAGCCGGTTCCGTTATAACACGTTTAATTATTCGCTCAAGTGCCCGTGAAACGCGAGGGGAACACATTTAATTTTGGCCAAGATCACTTAACCATTTTAAAAGTGGAAACCGGTCTTTTGCGTAACAAATGCATGTTTATGTTAGTAATTAGCCTCTACGGCCAGTGTAACGCAAGGTTATAATCAAAAGGTTAATTCGGGCAGTTTGACTGCCACTAAAGGCGCCCACCATCACGCTCGTTAGATATTATTTTTAAAGGAAAGCAATTTAAACACTCTATATATGTATAAAGATACAACGCTACTATTCTTCCCAGTTACCATTACACATTAATAATATTTGCCATTTATTATCATCGTTATCGCAAACTATTAATTCCACTGTTGAACATAGACCTCATTCAATAGTCTATGAAACGTGGCCCTGAGCTGTGTATGCTTGCTCAACTTCCGATAACTTTGTACACTTATTAGATTACTTTAATAAATGATTCTTACATGATAACAGGATGAGAAATAAATAAGTATCCACAAAAAAAAATACAAAACATTGTTTATATTTCTTGACCAGGATATAAAATGAAGAAACGTACCATAAAATGAAGAAACGTACCAAACGCAGTTGTAGACTATTCATTTACATAATTGTTTTATTTTTCATTGGTAAATACCACGCAATCGTACCATCCCTTATCGTTACTTTAGACATTCCTGAATATTGGCCTCCCCATAGACTCCTATGAAGCATGATTCTGAGCCTTGCATCTATCGACTTCCCGCACACTTGCACAGGTTATCACTACTAACGTCACACAAAAGTATATGCTCCTAGAAATGATATACGAAATAATTAGTTCATTGAATTAAGCAATTCACTAAGGAAACCTGCCACGGCAGTTACTTGATCTTTGTCCGAGGCACTTAACCTGTAATAATCTAGTTACAACAGTCATGTTCATGTATGTAATTGGACGGTTTAACTGCTTGCTCGATCGATATTTATTCTTTCAATTCAATTGGACGATATTCTATCTCTATTTGAATAAGAGACTTGTAACATTTTATATTACGACCCATAAATTTGTATGCCTCAGAGCTTTCAATTAGCTGTTATATTGAATTTAATTCATTTATTTTTCCGATGAGGTCGTGTCAATTCTTTGAAAGTAAACAAACTCACAAATGATATAATTGAATTTTAGTTACGGTTATTCGAAGTATGCGTGCAACCGATGATATTATTTCTTGCCTTGCGAATGTTCACCTTCGATTTAAACGCTATTACCCATAATCGATCAATTGGTCAAACATTCAATTGGTCCATGTACATATTTTTCTTTCCATAATAAAGTTATATCGTTTAAAATTCTTCGAAATGATAACACAGATAATGCATATATGTGGAACGACCTCATAGCACGACGTGACCTACATTTTGCTCCTTCTTTTTTATTCTGAAAGGTCAGTTAGTAAAGCAGCTGCTCGCGGACAAGAATTGATCGATGTAAATTCAAAACGGAAATTTTTGTAACTATCTTTTCTTTAAGATTTTCGCATATTATTTAAGAAAATAGGTCCAGTAATGATGATGGCCAGTAATAAATAATTATATGATTGAAGGAAATTTTTAACCGATATAATCAAAATTCAATGAACAATACCGATTGTAAGACAAATCAAACGCGCATTTAGTCATTGTCTTTGTATCGTTCGCTGTATTTGTATAAGTTGCGAAAACAATCGAACAAAATTTGTTCACCGTATTGAATCTATTCAGCGTTGTTCCGGGCCGAAACAAGCGAACCGCTCGTCGAATCTCTCAGCCTTGGTGGTGTTCACTCGTGACGTGGTCTCGGAACAATTTCTTTGCAACACTATTTGCGCGGCAAACAAAAGTTACAAAAGCAGTAAGCAAGCAGTCGAGGCGGACAGCGGTCGTACACGTCGCGCGAACAGACGTCGCGTCTCTATTTAGAATATTCCGCCGGCGAATCGTATCGCATTTGTTATTGCGCCTAAACAGTGACAGTTTTGACGGCGAGGCGGCACATTGTGGCTATGGACGCGCTTTATCGTCCGAGATAAAGCGCTCGATACAGCCGTATCGTGTCAGCTGTTCAAGAATGTTCAGTTTCGAATTCCTCAAGCGTTTCTATCACGGTCCGTTCCTAATCGTGCCTCCGCGTCCCGCTAAAAAGAGCCGCGTCGGTTTTGTTCCTGTTGTCCTACTGGATGTGTCGATAAAATTATTATGCCGTTGCCTCCAGATGGCGATAAAGAGTCGGACGGGCCCTCTGAGAGCGGCGACAACACGTCCGAGTCCACTCAAGGAGCGCCCAGCGAACCCGCACAGGAAAAAGGTAATTTTCATATATATTTTATGTTCGCTTAAATTTATCGGCGTCTCGACCTCTTCGAAGGCTGAGGTGATGGAAGTTTCTTTGTGTCAATTAAGATTCAAACAACTGTTACCGGTGGTTTTGTGACATACTTTTTTCTTAAATGGCCGAATAAGTGTAAATAGCACAGCAACGAGTGCGTTACACAACTTAATTACGGTGTGAAATGTTACATTTATTACCGCGCCTTATCGCAACGTGTTACGGAAACCTCGTTATCACAAAGTCGTGCTCCAAACGGTGCACGACGTTTGGTTTCGATTTTACTTCAAGCATTTGAACCTAGGGTTAGTCTGACTACACTCTAACCTTATCGCAACCCATTGTTTGTATCATAATAAATCTAATCAAACAAAATAAACAAAAATGCCACAACAAACATTGATATCAAAGAAATAGTATGTAAAATAATAGTATGTATAATGCAGGCAACAGTAGGTTAGCTGTCGAAGACTAGCTAAGCTACTATTTGCGTCATAGAACATCTTCGCCTGATTTATAAAGCTCTGTGAAAGACTCTAATTCGAGAAAAAGCCTTGTACTGTAATTTAATAACAATGTCTTTTCTAGATATTGCACTAAATATTTTTCATGCCCAAATTCTTTTCACTTCCTCACTTTTTAATAGGTTTGTTTAGATAAATTGATATGGGCGACGATAAACATCAAACCATCAACATCAATCAATGAACCACCTGACAATCGAGTCTACTTTTTATAGAAAAAAAACTGATCAAAATACTGATACATGTTAATTTTTATTATGATTTTAGTAACTTTCAAGCCTTATATTGAACTAAGGGTTAAGTAATTAAGGGATTTGCCTTCGAAGATAGTATATTATTATGTACACTTTCGCTCTTGGTTTTAATAATCTGTGGTAGAACAATGCAACAGCTTCCCCTGTTTCATGAATGGAAAAGCTCTTCCGGGGAAGTACCATGGCCTAATAGAAGACCAGATAAGACGAAATAATAAGTTTCGCGTTTCTTTCTGGTGAGTTAAGACCGGGGTCCAATGCATCTGCGACCCTTCAGATGTTGCAGATGTCCATCTGTAACGGGCAAACCGCTGCTGGTTCGCTTTCCAACATTTCAATAGACAAATAGAATATAATTAAAAAAAACCCAACTGCGTTTAAGTGTATTTTTTTATTTTGAAATACCCAGTGTCACTCTCACAGTAAATATGAATCTAACGACATCTCTCAAGCTAAAATCCATCAAGCCGTTCAGACTGCAGAGCGTACTAAACAATTATACGTACATACTTTTCGAAAAACACAACCCTCCTTCTGGCGCCGTCGGGTAAAAGTGTATAATAATCTCGTCGTGAATTTGAACGTAACTCTTATTCAATGATTCGTTTCAGAAATTCTTGATAGTCTGCGACCGGTGTCGCCCGAGGCTCCGGCTAGCAGTAATGCCCCTCAGCGTTTCCTCAAGATCAACGTGCGCCACATCACCGATGGGCAGGTTGGTGATTTGTCCATACTACTCGTATAAGCGTCATCACTAGACGCCATCTGGTGATGACGCTTATATGAGTAATGCAAGTTTACATGTCACTTTCGCAGTGAACAGTTATACAAATGTACGTTTTACGGCAACCATTGTCGTATGACGAAATATACTAAAGCACTCAACAGACATCTGTGTATACTTAAACGTTTATTATGTAGAAATCAAAGTGTTTGTACTAGTTTTAATATAAAATTCGGTTTTTTGTAAATTTAAATGTCAAGTCGCTTCAATTTAAAACACAGAGAATCTTGTATCTAAAACAGTAATAGTAAACTAAGCAATAGTAACACGCAAACACTTACAATGAAGGAGATTTCAGAGATGTCTTTAGGGAAATTACAAGTGAATATATTAAGACAATCAAACAAATTATAGTAAGACGAGGCTTACCAGTGACAGCATTTCGATTTATAAAAACCTTCTACATTGAGTTATCAAAAGAATATATTTCGTTGATGTCAGTTCTTTTCTACTTTAACGACAGGCTTAATAGATCAATTTTTTTAAACCAAACTTCGAATTTTTGAGCCGCATGCTAGCATTAGGTATACGTCAGTATTAGGTAAGCCGGTTGTTCATTCGGCTAAATGTAGCCGAATGAACAACAAAATGTTAAGAAATGTCTTAACAACATTTTACTACAGGGCGTCGTGTCGGGCGTGCTGCTGGTCACACCGAACGCCGTGATGTTCGACCCGAACGTGTCCGACACTCTGGTGATGGAGCACGGCCCGGAGTCGTACGGTGTGATAGCGCCCATGGAGTACGTCGTAAACACGGCAATATTCTACGATATCGCGCACATGCGCACCCACGGGCCGGACCATAACGCGCACAAGTGAGTAGCCGAGCGAAGAGACTTCATGCTGTCGTTATCATCATTATCTTCGTCATTATCATCATCATTGTCATCACCATCATCATTATCATTTCATCCTGTTTGAATCCACTGCAGAACATAGGCCTTCCCCCACAGATCGCCACGAAGCACGATCCTGAACCACCAGCATCCATCGACTTCCCGCACACTTTATGCCAACACTAAAGAACTGACTAACCTGACGAATCATTCAGTTGAAGTACTTGTAACTTTGCCACTGATTTATTTATGCTTATCTCCTCGCTGAAGCATCTTTATAGTGCTTTGTAAATAAAATAAATGGGGGGGAAAATAATGAGCCTTTGTTTGTGTACGTGTTGACACATTTATCGAATTTTTCATTAGAGTACATTCGGTTTGTGAATACATCACACATACTTTAAAATACATTTATCACATGCCACCTATTTATTAAACAATGAACAAACAAAATTGAAAGTAACATTAAGTACACAAAATATAAACGAGCATTAAAAAAACAACGTTGTTCACTAACACAACATTTTATGTCCTTTGAATAGAATTTTTGGGATTTAACTTAATAGGGGAAGATATTTTGAAAATTTAAGGCCAGCACTTAAAATTGCAAATAAACATTTCATTGGTGCTGGCACCGGGATTTGAACCCGGGTTGCTCGAGTATACTGAGTTAAAAGCGAGCGCCCTGACAATGAGCTATCATGGCTTATTTCTCTAGTACACTACTGTTGTAGCGAACCACATAAATTAAATGGCAGACGAAACCGCGGCGCAAGCTAATCGCAAACTTGTTTAGTGGGGTGTATTGTACGGCGATGATTGTAAGCACTGCACTGTTATTATCGTATAAATTAATTTAACGATGGCAAATTGAAAATCGAAGTTTCCCGAGCGCGAACGTAAATCATTATTAAAACTCATATTCGTTCCGCCGAGTTACCGTTTATTGTTGAACACCTTCGATACGCGACTCGTTACGTAAACACTCTAGGCCTATTGAAATTTGAACGTAGAACACATGCATTTGTGTAAGTGCCATTCATACGCGAGTCACTGTTTATTTTCTCCGAGCCACGAATGTTTTATTTGCACCGAAGCAGCCCCTTTGTTTTTATTTGCACCGAAGCAGCGTATGGCACATTTACTGCGAAGAATAAGAGAGACGCCGGATGCCGTATGAGTTTTAATACCGATTGCTATAACGACTTCTAGAATTTACGCGAACAACACGTTTAAATAAATCCGCTGAATCATTTCTAATATATGCGCGTACACTTCACATTATTAAATAAAACTGTTTTTGTTGATTTTTTTTCTTTCTTTGATATATGCCGATTTTATTTAAAAAATAAAATAGGTCCAGTTCGACCTACTGCTATTTTCCTATATCTGTGTATCTTATACTCAAATAAAGGCCACTTCGCGATTGTATTATTTAATATAAAGTTGACAGTCAGCTCCGACTGATGACTCGGTGCCGCGATTGCAAAGGTTCTCGTCGAAGGTCGTCGGTTGATTTCCATACAGGTCATTTGCAACAAATATTGGGTTATTATTCGGTATTCAGACATTCGGCTAATTTCGTTCTATTCGGCCCAATATTTAAGTACTAAATGACCGCGTAGTGAATAATAATGTAAGATGTTTTATGTCGTCCAATAATTGGTAAAATGAAAATATTGATTTATATTATAAAATAATTTACAATTATTTTAATATTTAAAATATTGAAAGGCTCCTTAAAAGTGTTTTTCTCATACAAAATCTAATTAAAAGCAATCTTTTAGTCGAATACAATGTTTGACGATACGATTCTTTGAACAGAATTTCAATTTGCCCATCAAGTTTTTAAAATCATCAAATATTGTTCATTTCCAGAGCGGAGCAAGCGGAGATTTACTACATGAATAAATCGGAGCACTCGCCCGGCAAGGACTCCCTTCTAGTCAAAGTGAGTGTATGTCTAAAGATACCTCTTTAACTTCTTTAGTTAATTTTTAAGGTCATTCCCATGTTACGATCACTAGATGAAACTTAAAAACAAGTTATGGAGATTGTAATAATCATATAGAAATGAATTTTCATGCCGTGCTCCCGCTATGTATCGTTTCACAATTGTCCCAAATGCGGATTGCAAATCTGCGCTGCGCCAACCCTACTAAGGTGGTTGAGAAGTGAAATATGTAGCTAGTTCTGGTACAGTCAAGGCAATTCGAGAGCCGTATCGCACTTACAAATAGTATTCAATAGTATTAAAGTCCAATGTCCATTGGACAGTCCACACATATCAAACAACATTTAAAGAAAAGTAATTCTGTTAGTTTTGACTCTAATAACTGTTGTTAAAGAAAACAATTATAACATTTGGCAAAATATGTAAAGTGTACGCACACAAACACACAATTTCGTAGGCATTAAACTGGACACAATGGTGGTTAGCGGGCGGCTGTGTGTGTGTTACACTCGCGCACGTGTGTGCCATGACACTTCACAGCCGTTCATTAAGTTTATCACGTCTTATAGTATATCGAATATGACCTTGAAGGACGAAACGTTCCCGGAGCTGCAGGCGGCGGGGGGCGAGGCGGAGGAGGGGGCGGCGGGCGAGGAGAGGCCCGGCTCAGGCGAGACAGAGGACAGGGGCGGCGCAGCGTTCCCCAAGGCATTCGAGCGGGAGCTGGTCACTCCAACCGCACTGCAGGTGACTACAAGGACATTCACATAACGATTTCTCGCAGCTATGCAGGACAGTCGCTCCTTTTTTTTTTAAAGTAGGGAAATCCGTTATGGATACCTGGCCCCCCACGTAGGGATAGCCAGATTATATCGGACAAACACTGACTAAAATCTCACGGTGGTCGCCATAAGTTTTCATGAGGGGTCACGGGATATCCGTTTGGAACAGAACCCGCGGCTTGACTTGAAGACAGTCGGTCCTATGACGGACTGTAAAGTATTTGATACGTCAGTAAAGGGTATCACTTCTCAAAGGTGTTTTTTGTCAATGACTATTACTTCTCAAAACTAATGGTTATATTTAATAATGGATCATAAGATTACTACTGTGGTAGGGACACGCTTCAGCATCGGGTGTTACACGTATGGGCAAGTCCGTCCGGGTAAGTACCACAACTTCACAGAAGACCGGCGTGCAGTGGAAGTGTTATACTTTTGCGTTCCGTCTGGTGAGAGGTAGCAACTCATCCGCAACCCTTAATTAAAATTTAAAAATTAAATGTCCATGGGCGGCGGCTATCACTTAACATTAGGTGAACCGCCAGTTCTCCCCTTGTTTGTCCCTTGCCACCTTCTCACATAAAAAAAAAGATTACTACCGCTGCATTCGCTTCACAGACGACCGACATACAGTGAATTTGCTTATTCTTTTCCGTCTTAACTCTTTCACCCACCCTGGCATAGTTCTGAGCCGTCATTGCTGCAGGACTTAAGTATTTATTAAAAATCTTATAAATGTTTTTTTTACAGCAACAGACAACTGAGGAGAGGCGGAAATCATTGCTGGACCATCACTGGGCGATTCCAAGCAAGGACCGAATGTCGATCGATCAAGGCAGCGAAGTAAGAGAAACATAAAAATTATCTAATAAAGTTTTCAAATCGTCTAAAATAATTAACAATAATTAGTCACCATTAAAATGAAATCTCTATCTTCGTCATCTCGAATTGAGGACATGCGAGTTTAGAATTTATAGCTTGAATATCATTGCAGTTTCTCAGAAACGGTTAGGCTTATTTTTTGTTATATTCTGATTTTTTGTATTGGATAAGTGATAATTACTTTTGATTTTTAAAATTTTAACACCTCACATAACTTATTGTATGTGGAACACAAAATATGCATTAACAGTTGTATTGATTTTTTTTCTCCATACACAATAATTCCTGCTTATCGTTATTTATACCCATATATTAGGAATATCAAAAGCTTTATAGCCACCGATCATCGTTTTGCCTTTATAGTGTAAGCTATTCATTTGAACCCCCGTCCAGGTTTCCTCTAACGCTGACCAGGGGAAGGAGGAGAGCCTGGAGGCGTGCGCCGGCTCGAGCGATCGCGCCGAGAGCGCGGCGGGGGACGCGGCCGAGGGGGAGGGGGTCGAGAGGGGGGAGGGCGGCGACGGGCCCGAGGGGGGGGAGGAGGAGGCGCCCCGCGACGCGGCGAGGCACCTCGTCAAGCTCTCCTACCACGACTCGGGCATTGACATACGCGACCCGCTGCTGCACGTCACGCCCGTCAACTCGAAGAAGGTGAGTCCTTAATGTTACGCCTAAATAGCGCCACGGAAACAGTGGAGTGGAGTAGTAAGGAGGGCCCTTACTACTCCACTGGTAGGTACATCACCACGCAGCCGTCACACCCGTTAACTCGAACAAGGTGGGTCCTTACTTCTCAACCGGTACATCACCACGCGGCCGTTACGCCCGTCAACACGAAGAAGGTGGGTCCTCATACTGCTCCACCGCCACATCAGCACGTGGCCGTCCCCGTCAACTCGAAAGTGGAGCAGGAAGGACCTTTACTATTCCACCTTCATAGCCCCGCGTGGTCATCACGGCCACTCCAAGAAGGTGAGTCCTTACTTCTCAACCGGTACATCACCACGTGTCCGTTACGCACGTTAACTCGAAGAAGGTGGATCCTTACTACTCCTTCGGCACACCACGCCTTGGCCGGGCAGGGTGTCGTACGAACTCATAATTTTACTCCAATTTATTTTACCACTCTAAATGAAATATCTAACTCTCTAACTTTTTATTTATTTAGTATAAACTAATTTAATACTTGCAAATTATTTAAGAGTGATGTGGGGGACTTAAACTGCTCGTTTATGATTTGAGAGAATTTTAAAAGGTTGCGTTGTTTTAGGATTCTCGTTCGGTTTCCTCGATGTCGGATCACGAGGACTACTATCACGCGATCGATACAATAATCGAAGCTGCGGAGCCCGATATACCGTTGCACGCCACCACCTGCGATGCAAGTTTCGAGAAGAACTTTCTCGAACACTTCTATATCGATGATCACGATGTTGAGATGAGTTCATATCATTCACACGATGAGGTGAGGTAGTAAAAAGGGGGGAGGTCTTCCAACTTGGTTGTCGTTGTTCCTACTTTCTTTCTTTCTTAAGACCAGGCTAAGATAAAAATGTCAAGATGGAGTACAGGTCGAAGTGTCGTACTGTTGCGTTCTTGTTTCATTGGTTCTCGTTTCTTGGTTGAAGGCGTTAATTAAAAGATGAGTTTTTTTACTCTTTGTGTCGTTCTTCGTGTATTTATCTTTTAAAATTTCCTATTGTATTGATTTCATGTTTTTACGCGAATATTATATGGCTAAAAGGATAATGACGTGCTCTTTTTACAGAAACCTTTTGGAGATCTTCTATTTTCTTTTACATCGATCGTTTATGTGAAATTCATATTAGTTTTGTTTTTATTGTATTTCTTCCACTGTGGCAAAGGTTATCTTACAATAGCAACAGTTTCAATGTTTAATTATAATTTTCCATTTGCAAAGGTCTACAGCGACGCTGACATAGTACTATCGGCGGATTGGGTCCCCCCAGTGTGCTTGCCCCGCGCCGAACCCCCACTCTCGGCCCCGCCCCTTGGAGAGAACGAGAGGACTCCGCGAAAACCGGCCGCCGTCTCTTTCTCGCTCGACGGGAACAACCAAAAAGAGGATATTGGGAAACCGGACAAGAAAAATAAGGTATTGCACATAGCAATTTTTTTTATTTTTTTATCTTATCTTGTATTTTATCTTTGTTACTCTCAGATATATCTGTATAACCATACTATAGTAATGATTTATGGATATGCATCCTATGAATGTATACGTTTTACGTAGGTCTTATTTATTTATTTATGTCTTCCGTACGTAAATGAAGCGGCAACACTACACTATATTATGATTCCCTAATTAATTCATATAGACGTTATTCATTGTTAATGTCTGTACAGATGTTTAATTTTTAATAAAATATTTTTAATAACATAAAAATTTTGCGGTTACCTATAAGGCCAGTTCTTTTCTCAAACAACAGTTTACGTATGAACTATTCAGATAGGACATGCAGCTAGAATTCTTTGGAACATGCCGCGCCGGGCTTTGGTATCGTAAAATTCAGTTAGTATTTTCCAATATCGTACAGTTCATTATATATACATATAAAGCCTTCCGCCTGCCACTGTATGAGAAGAGGTTACGGACTACCTTTCCCAGATCTCGTGCACTTCATTTCATTCTTTTCCACATGCATAAAACTAACACATGCATCTCCTCACACATCACTTACCTCCTCCCTTTTTCATATAATCTGTGAAAATTATCAGCGCATGGCGCGAATGTTGACAATGATATTTTTATTAAACAACAATATATTAGGTGCAATCATTATCAGTCATTGGTCCGTTTCGATTTCTTAACGAGAACAAACACTTCCCTTCACTTCATTCTTTATCTCTTTTATCATTAGAAATGTTCATTGTTTATTTACTACTTGTAATAACAATTTATGGCTGCTTATAGTACTGTTTGTTTCACTTTAATAAACCCATATTAATTTTATTACACCTAATGAAAAAATTCTATCATAATTCCAAGCTGACATTACATTCGTCATTTTTACATAAGCGCATTAGATAAATAAATATGCATTCTAACAAATTAGCCCAAGCGGTATAGCGCCAAGAACTTAAGCTGCATTTCTTCGCTGAATGGAAATGACTGCACGAAAAGAAGCTACTCTCTTGTTACCTTTTTTATTTATGTGAGTAGGTGAAAACCGAGCTGGCAGTCCACCTGATGTTAATGTCTGTCCTGTCATAACAACTGCCCATTGACATTTGCAACACGGGTCGCAGATGCATTTCCATCTTTCAAAGGCGCTACCTCACTCACCAGACGGAACGCAGAAGTAATAACACTCCACTTCACGCCGGTCTTCTTTTAGTTCGTACCTACACGGACGGACCCACCCATTCGGTGCAAATGGCAAACCTAACAACATTTTTTAAGAAGCACGTAGGAATTGAGTCAATTTTTTTGTATGGAAGATGCTGAAGAGGCTTTCCTATCCTCTATCCTGGGTGGAGGGACTAACTGGCGAAGGGCCCGCTGTGACCACCCAGGGATCTCAGGGCGACTCGCTGCCAACCTCAGCGGACAGCCACAACACCAGCGTCTTCTCCAAAGTCTTCAACAGGTCAGTAGCTATTTCTAATCATATTGTGCGATAAAACTTTGATTACAAGTACAAAGAATTGCTTTTAAGTGAATTTGTTCAAACTTCAATGCCGCACCGGCTGAACGGATTTGAATGCAACTGAAACGCTGCAGATCGGATGTGGATGCTTTTAATGACTTAAAAATAACTGATTAATGTTAGACCGCTCAGCTTTAGCAGCAGTTAAAAGCTGATTTTGAAAATCTCTAACTCTTTGTTCATTTCATTCTTTATTGTAAATGTATTCCAAAAATACATACTTTCAACAGTAAAGATTAACGGGTAAAAAAATTCTCATCCAAACATTTCATCCTTGTTGATTATATGGCTCATGTTCAGCATTAAATTTTAGAGTTAAACGGATGACTGGACAAAATTAAGTGATTCTCTTCGACACAATATTTATACAATGAATTTAATGTTATGAAAGTCACTATACAGCGAGTGTCATATTTTTGGAATGTTAAGTAATTGTTTCATGTTTCAACTTTCGAGTTATCTAATGTTATAATAATTATATTTTCGTATAATCTCCAAATGTATTATAGTTTGGATGATAACTAAGTGTTTGTACATCCAAAAAGTAAGCTTTGTTAGACCGTGACCCCCTCAATCTTGAATTTAAATACAACTAGCCGTTCAAACATATCGATGTAAACAAATTTACGAGCTGCATATATCTTATCGAACTTGCTCGCAACGAGTACAATGTATCATTTACTTTGACTTTTATGTTTGTAAACTTCATCGTAATGTGTTGTGTTCTGGTTACATACGATAACGTTAATTAATTGCCACAGGATCAATGTTAACAATCATAAATTATTGATTATGCTTATTTGACTATTATCAATCTTTATATCAATAGGAGGTATTATCGGAACATTCTCAATAATATTATGTATATTGAAAAAAAAATGATGTACATACACAAGTTTATATTGCATTTAATTTAGTTATTTTTCGTGATATAATGAATATAGACATTTATGCATTAATAGTTTTCGAATTAAAATATTATTTTGACTCAATTGTACAATTGCATTTGTATACTACACTTACGATGATTACTGACTGTGGTATATTTTTACACTCGGTACCACCAAACCCCGCTGCATGGACGGCCTTAACAAGTATTCACCGTAGCATGATCCATCTTTAACCCTTTGATGTTTGACGTGATGTTTACATGTTTCACGATTGGTATTAACACAACGCTCCGGATTTGCCGCAAAATTATTAAAGATATGCAAAAATTTTCCCTCTGCTACCGTGGATGCTAACCGGATGCTACCGGATTGATCGCTAAACCACTGTGTCCGTTGGCGCGCTCGACCTTAGCTCGCCAATGAACCTAGTGGAGTTCGGTACTGGTTTGTTCCTGAGTAAAACCCCATCGGAGGAGGCGCCGCACGACGTGTTCTCCACATCGGGGTATGTCGGCCCTCGTTCCGCTGCCAATGCCAAGTCGATGTGCGAAATCCGTACCGGGTTGCCTTAAGGACCCGATGTTGGACCCCAACTATTAACTATTAATACCCGTTATATACGCTGAATAATATCTCTTTTCTATTGAATATTTTTGGTCGCTCGGATCGAAAAGTTATCAATATTACTTAATTAATTTATTGGTTGGTTAATACTCATTTTGAGTAATTTATACAGAAGTTTTATATCAAATGTTTCAGCGTATATATCAAATAGTGAAATTAGATACAAGATTTAATAATTTTGAAGCTAGATTTATTTGATTGTATCATTTGAAATCAACCGATTAATTGCAATATTGCAATATTGCAACCGATTAATTGTATGGTACAAGATGATTTCTTTTAAACATCTCCTTTAATTCCACGTTATAAATTTCCTTTTAATTGCACATAATCGGTCTAGCCAAATGGTGCCATTAGTAAGTTGTGGTCCAGTGTACTATCTGCCTATTCCGTAACCACTGTTTTTTGTATTTAGGACTCTTCACTGATTGTCTGTTCTTTCTAATATCGAAGCCTTTGAATTTTAGACATACGAACATCCAAAATTCAACTGTTGCTTAAGTTTGTGTATAAATTCCTGTGAACGTTTGCATGTGTTACTATTGTGTTAGGTAGGGGGAGTTTAGAATGTTGTAAGGTTTGTATCATCTACATTGGTTTCACCACCATTCGCTGTAACACCGCTAAATGTCACGCCATGTGAAATTTAATGAAAAGAAGAAGTTAAGAAAACAGTTATGATACGAAACCAGAGCTACTGAGCTTAGCTTAAATGTCAGTACCCTCTCCTAAAATTTTACAGTCATCACTACTGAATCAATATAATGTAATTTGTAATTTAAAAATAAATTACCTCTTTATTTACACGTAAATGTTCATATGACGTGAATGAAAGCCTTATGAGGAAAATAATGTGTGGAGTCAACACCACTTACCTACAATGTTTTGAACAAACTTTGAAAGACGATATAATATTGCATTTATTTGCGCGACAATTAGGATATTAAAAGATATCGTCAAATATAATAATATTATGCCCAATATTATATTATTAATGCTCAATTTTATCTTTCGTACATGCTACAGATTACAGAAGGCTTATTCGCTATGGCGTGGCTTTGGCCCATGATATGATGTTGTCGTCTTAATTTTAATTACATACATTGAACGTTATCATGTTCGAATATCGTCATCGGTAAACACCTACCATATACATCTTTCTGGCACCTTCCTGTTAATGTTACCGGTTTTGCAGCATTCAGCATGTTACTGTTTTAGACACGGCGTGGCCTTTTTTATATCACAGTTTTAATCCTGTCCTATTTTCAATTATATTCACAGGTACAGCCAATCTGGATTTTAACTTGATCACTGATAAATGTTCCAAGAGAACTATTTGTCTATTGCTTGTCCTTTCCTTTTATTTCTGCTTGACCGTACAGTGTACACAATCTCGATTTGAATGCAGACGCAGCTCTTTGGGAGGCTTTGGCCGCTCCCACACTAAGTCTACTTCGTCAAGCGGCTCGACACAACCTAGGCTGGATTATCGCAGCATGGTCTCGGTAGACGATATGCCAGATCTCTTCGCATCATTCGATAGTAAGTTCGTAGTCAAAGATGAAACCTTCTAAAAGCCATCACAAATTTTCGATCTAATTATTAAGTTGTGTTTAAATATATTAAATCTTATTGCTTTTCATTAACATCAGTTCAAGTTATTGCATAGAACAGATATCGTGTTTTTTTTAATGTGAAAAAGTAGCAAACGAGCGGTTCACCTAATGTTAAGCAATAATCGCCGCCCATGGACATTTGCAACACCCGTAGGGTTACAAATGCGTTGCCACCTTTAAATAAAGTGGGCCCCGGCTACCTCACTCACCAGATGAAACGCATAAGTGTAACACTTCTACTTTACGCTGGTTTTCTGTGAGGTCGTTATACTTACCCGGACGGACCTGCCCATTCATGCAACATTAAAAACTGTTGCGTGCCCTACCAATTATTACTAATCAATTTATCAATTATTACTAAGCCGATATCTGTTCTGTGCATGCAATAACAGTTATATAAATAACCGTTATCACGGTGTGCACTATAAATTTCTTAGATAATGTAATTTATTTAAAATTTTAAATTATATTTACATTCTTCATTCTGTTGTGTTGTTACCAAATTCAGTTAGATTAATAACGAATACATGCTTATTAATAACTTTGCATTAGATAATATTGGTTAAGACCACTAACTTAAGTTATTTAAAGGGTTTCAATTAGAGAATACCCGTTTTTGCCACAAGTTACTAATAACTTACAAGTTGCTAATAACTTGGTTCATTAAATGTTGTACTCATCAATTTGACCTAATATTATGATAATCTCCTGATATTTTAGTCTATAATGCGGCGAAATCACACAGTTTGAATGGAATGCATTTGTACCGACGACATTTGTAAGTTTACAACGGCTCCTTTTATATTGATTTATGGATCCGGTCATAAAACTTGAACAGCGCCCTACCCACAGCAGAGGGCCCAAACCCGTGGGTTCTGGCTATCCCACCGATTTTGCGTCAGATGAAGCTTTGATAGTCTCGGGATTGAAAGCACAAACAACGTTTAAAAAAAACATAAAACCATGCAGCAATAAGCTTACTTAACGGTGTTCCTCAGAGCTGATTCCACGCCCGGCGCGTCCCAGCGACGACCCGCCCCTGTACTTGCGTCTGCGCATGGGCAAACCCGCCGGACGCCCACTCCCTCGCTCCACCCAGCTCATGTCCTACGGACGCAAGCGCATGAAGCCCGAATACTGGTTCGGCATCCCCAGGAACAGGTGAGGAGATGGCACGACCGAGCGGTTGTTTGTATTGTACTTTGTGTGGAGGGGGTTGCGTAGTAGGTAACGACTACATCGATCTAGAAAGATCCATTGTAGTCTTCCCTTCGAAGACATTGCCCCCTTCATCATCATTTCAGCCTGTTTCAGTCCACTGCTGAACATAGGCCTCCCCCATAGACTGCCACGAAGTACGATCCTGAGCCAACTGCTTCCATCGACTTCCCGCACATTTGCATAGGCCGTCCACTCCATCTTGTCCCTTGTAATATCAATATCATCCCGTGTTTTAAGTTCGTTGTACATATATAAATTTCAAGTGAACAAACAATCAGATCCGAAACGATTATCTGTCAGTCACACAAATAATTGTCTTGTTTGGGAACCGGACCCAACGGCACCATGGAGTCATCTACAAGCGGTTAAATAGTTTGTTCACTCGAACAGGCAACTGTACCCCCTCACTCTATCCGCCAGGGTCGATGATCTGTACAAGTTCCTGACCCACTGGGTTCCCAGCCGTTATGGACCCCTCGGTGACGTCACCGCTCAAGGCTACGAGCTCATCGACAGTGACACCGAGTGGGATGACGAAGACACAAAACCAGGCGTTAAGGTAAGACTTACTAACTAACATTCCGATTGAAACTTTCGTGTGATTTTTAGTAATAAGTGATATTTGATTAAAATAAAAATAAGTAAATCGTTATTACACTGAAAAATAGTAATTCTGATATAATAATGTCATTAACACAATACTTTGTCCTTGTTGGCGTGATGGATAGTGAATTTGACTCTTGCGCTAGAGGCTACGGGTTCGAACCCTACTACTGGAAAATTTCGTAGCACCCATATTCGTAGAACCACACAATATACATTGTATGGTTCATAACACAAGAAATGTATGGTTAACTATATTAACCAGAACCCATTGTAAAAGCTTTGCTTAGTTTGGGACTAGATGACATTGTGTGCAAACGTGTCGTTAAATATCTCTTTCTTACTTATTTTGGTTACGAAATGTATTCTAGTATAAAAGCTATAATAACTTAAGTATTTATGCCTTATTTAACAAATATACTTTTATTTTTAAACTGGTAATTAGTACGGATGGAAATGTACGAGTAAGTTTAGATAGTTGGATAACAGATTTGAACTTGTTGCTTTTTGGGTGTTATTGTGTCATTGTTTTTTCTTAAATTTTGACCGTTACAAGAAGTAAAAGGTAATTAATTCACAATGCATTCACATTGCATCGCCATGAATAATCGCGATTGTTTGGTCGTGACGATACGAGCGCCCGATAACGTACGTAACTAAGCCGACATTCGCGGCCCGCTAGAGCTTTCTAATCCGATAAACGCACGCTAACATCAAAGGTGAATATTCAAATCGCTATCAGGGGTGTGTCTATTGCCGATAAATAATTGTCATGCAATGCAATATATTGGACTAATGCCGATTAGTGGTATTTCACATTGGCACTGTACACAACTTAACGAGTTGTTATTTTTTCGTAATGAACCATTTTGAATGTATTAACAGTGTCAGTACTTTGAAACTCTATTAATATATTCTAAAAGTTGCGTAGACCGTTTTCCGATTTTCATTGAGATCTCATAAATAGGATAAGCCCTAAAGCTAATGTTGAACTTGCACGACATGAAGTTATGAGAACTGACAAAATTGTAATTAACGTTTTCGTGTAAAGATTGTGAGATATCACACGCCAGTATGATAACACTTTATACCCTCAAAAGTTTATGGCGCGCAGTATTGATTTTCGAACCTCTTAATTTAATTAAACACTCCAATATTTCTAGTTATGTGACCAGAACTCTTTGTGCAGTTTTTTTATGTGCGAATGTGGCAAGCGAGCTTGTGGTTCACCTGATGTTAAGTGAAATCCGTCGCCCATGAGCATTTGCAACACCCGTTTCAGATTCGTTGCCACCTTTTAATAGAGTTCGAACGTTCTCACCAGACGAAATGCAGAAGTATAACTTCTAATTCACGCCGTTCTTCTCTCCGTTCGTGAGGTCGTGGAGCTTTTCTGACCTGGCCATACGTGCAACAGCCAAGAGGCGTTTTATAGAGGATTAGCATTAGCAGGATTAGCAAAATTAAATTATTTTTGTACCACGAAAGCAATGACATTAGCCTAAAAATACATCAGCTGTTATTATGACGTGAAATTTTATAATAAGTAATATTCTGTTCGTTACTATTTATTGATATTATAACATATAGATTTCCGTGAAGATAACTATTAAAATAATAGCGCAATTTGTTTTGAGTTATATAAGATGCATTTAAATCAACACCGGCCCATTGTTGATGTCGCGAACCGTCGCCTGTGCAAAGAGCATTATCTCCTCGTCACCATCACTCAAGATAAATCGGCCGTCGTTATAGTGTGAAGATTTTAATTAATTTTCCTTTTAATATAGCCAAGAGTCCATAAATTTCACGAATTGTTTTTGGCCTTAGGGCGAACGCGCCGGCAGCTCGGGCGACGTTTCAGACATCACGCGGGAGTCGTGGGAGGTGAGTTTCATCGTGCTAAGCGAAAACGCTACACGTTTCTCGAATACTGAACACACGGTTTTGTGATTAAAAACTCTTTACGTAACACCATAACGACGATAAAGCATCCGTCGCACATTCCACATTACAGTACACATGAAACATTAATGATTCAAAATTATTCAAGCGGTACAAAGGTACTTATATTTATATTGACAACATATCGATCCTTAGCTCTTATGACGTCTTCTTCCCCACAAAACTTCTTATCTTACTACTGTTACTATCCACTAACTATTTTACTGTAATACAAAATACTTATAACAACGATCTGTTACACATTTTATACAATTTGTAACTAAACGGTTGTAAACAAGACAATTAAATCACTTATTCTATTTTTAAACACCACGCAAATATTACAAGCAAAAATTAGATCGATTAGATTGTAACAGTTGGACATACATAGGCTGTTACTTTACTTATCATAAACTTTACCATCACAATTAAACTTGTCTACGTGCCTTCCCACGGAACATGTGTTACCGATCCCAAAGTGTTGCCTTGTGCACGACTGGACGTATGTGTAACTAACTGTTTGTGATGCGATCGCGCTCAGCTGCTGAAGGCGCCGTACGTGAAAATATATTCGATAATGAAGAGCCAGGCGGAGGCACTGGGCGACTCGCTCGGCGAGGAGCCACGCCCGGAGGTACCGTGCGCGTGCGTGCGTGCGTGCATGTGCGCGCGTGCGCTAGTGCGTCGCGGACGCATTTGCCTACCTCGGATCTAAGAAAGGGGCGGGGGGCGGGATTTGGGGGTCATAACCGAAAAAATAATTTATTTTCGAAAAAGTTTCAGAATCTCTGATTTTTACAACACAATACGAATGAGAGATTCCTAGAAAAAATTCAATAAATTCGACTGACAGAAGATTAGCATTCATACCTTTTAACATAATATAAAGTTTACAATAAATAATATGTATGTTTGATAATCAGAGATACTTCAGTCTCTCACGATTTAACCCAAATTTAACTGTAGATCCGCGCCTGGCGATTGCGTGCATGCGTACGTATCTGCGGATAGAAATTGGACAGCTAAGGCAATCGCAGCGGCCGTCGCATTCCGAATGTTTATCCATTTGTCTTTTTTTTATTTTATTTCGCATTGGTAAAAATCTTTCATCATTTGTGTAAAATCAATAATTGTTAGAATTTTAAAATTTCCATGTAACATTAGTATTTTAAAAGATATGGAATGAAATTATGTAACAATAATATTTTGAATAAATAAAAATAATTAATTAAACTTATACCAGGAATGCGAATGTTTGCAGGGATTTCTTTTCAAGAGAAAATGAAATTAAAATATGTAGAAAAATTCAATCTTAAATGTTCAATCTTAAGTGCAAAGATTAGCACTATAAACAATTTAAAAATTTCAGAAAATGAAATTATAAAATTAACAAGATTAATTATGAAAAACTTTTGACTTTTAGCCTAGCGAAAAGTGTTTTTCGGATTTTCTATGCGACTCGACGATTTGTATTCATTATACGTATAATTCCTTTTTGATTGTGTACAAATAATTAATATTGCGATAGCAATGGTTAATTGTCCAAATTCTATCCGCTCTCTGATTGTTCATTGTAGCGCGTACCGGCACCCTAGTGTGATGAGAAATGCACAGATTTTTATGCAACTCTATGAATGTCTTTAGTCGCTAAATAATTTAGTTGTGCCATAATGTTTACCGTTGTTTTAATAGCATACATATAGGTCACTCAATAACTTTGTACATTTCGAATGCTACATACATATTTTTATTCTGCTAAGTTAAATTAAGTGTACGATTAAGATATGCTAATACCCCGTATCCATTTTTTAAAATATTGCCCCATAAAAATTTCTCACAGATAATAACCGCACGGAATGGCTTCGTAATAAAATCGATACGAGCAATGTTTGCTCGAGGCAAATTGATATATGCCTTGTCGCCGCAATTATAATGGCAATTTGAACGCGAAGTTTCTTTTAAAAACGCGCTACTAGCAATATGAAAATTGCGAACAATGCCCGACGTACAATTGCATTTGCCTCGTCAAACCTCCTGGTAGCGGTGTTTTGTTTACCATTGAGTAACGGGAAATGGCTCGATAGTGCGCCCTCGATCGTAAAAGAACAAATGTAATTAAACACTTACGCGCCACGTGTAAGGGTGTACTGGAATATGTCACGTTATAATTTCTCTTATCGGCACTCGTAGCCACAGAATTTACAACTCTCAACTCAGTTTTTAATCAAATATCTTCATCTATTTGTATGTCCATTATTAATCATATAAACGTCTATCGCAAATCCGAAAATTGCTTAAACGTCATTTATAATATTTTATAATTCTGGCAAAATATATTGCGATAGTTTTATCTACACATTTTAAGTCTCATCATAGTATACAGACTCTGACTAGCACTAAAATTAAATCTATTTAGCAAGGGCGATATGTCTAGTTTAATATTATTTGTAAAAATATCGTTTAAGAACTTATTTTTGCTATAAGGCAGGTGCCAAGAATTGCTAAAAAAAATTCAACAAAAAAGTAGATAAGACGGCGAGAATTTTGGGCTAAAACGTGCTTAATGGCAACAAGAGTGACCGGAAAAATTTTGTGCCAGTTTTATATACACATCTTAAGTATCATGATTTTTATATAAATGTAACGGTTAAATAAATATAAAAGAATTATTTACCACTAATGTGTATTCGTTCGCGTCGATCACAGGATTAAGTACCGTTTTTATCTATTACGTATTATCTATTAAGTATCTATTACGGAAGATTTCGTAAATAAATATCGAAGCAAACTGACAGCTGATTTAAGGGCCAATCGAAATTTTACTTTTATGTGCTTATATGGACACTGTGGATTTTCATTTTCAGTCTTATCGCATAGGTCTTTCTCGAGTTGCGTATGCTCTACTTAACTTTGATTTCTAGTGGCGCACTTCAATGGGCCCTCATATGTCACGTTTTGGATTACAATAAATTAAATACTTTGGAGGCTTTTAAGTACCAGGTGGCAAATGAATCACGCGCATTACGTCTACTCTATGACTTGCTAACGACAAAATACAAAGACGAACTATGTTTGGTTTTGACGTCGTACACCGATTGCTGTAAGAGATCGATTGACGTCTGTATGTGTTATTAAATTTGTTTTGAAGTTTGTTAGTGCGGCGCTAACGAATTTCAACGTCTGCCCGGCAAAGGCTTCATTATAACTCTTAATTTTGCCGCGTAATAAAGAGTGATGAATTTGAAAGATACCACGTTTGTTTGCTCTTTATGGTGATGCACTGTCGACGTGACGTTTGACGCATGCCGATGTGGCTCATGTGGAGAGTCCACATCGACATGCGTCAAATTATCGCGTCCAGCCAGAGAATATTCTCATAACTGACATGATTTTGCTCTTTCGCAGTCATGGAATATATTTCTAAATAACATTTCTAAGATTATACAGTGATGAAAATTTCATAGTTTATATGGTTTGTCGTCTTACGTAATACACAAAACAACTAATAATAATTTTAAGTTAAAGCTAAAAATTGTACTCTTTTCAAAAGGTCTGTGTGTTTTTAAAGAATGAGTAGATTTAATTCAGGTGTGAAGACGTCGTTAATAATGTATAGAATAATTGACTGATTGTATCGAAAGTCGCTTTTAAGCATTTAAAATAATAGAAGTGAGAATTTAGGCGGAATGATTCGTCGTTTATTGCAAGTATTTAAGTTGTACGTTTTTGATTGGTTTCCAAATAAATGACGAGTGAAATGGACCCTCCATTTCACTCGTCATATTTAATTGAAGATATATGCGTTAGAACCATAAAATGTTCGAAAGTGCAATGTTATTAACAACAGTTTAAGTTGGAGTATTTTATAGAAAAAAAAATTCAAATAATTTCTAGCATAGTTTGTCAATCGCTAATGTAATAAGACGTGAAAAAACAAGTGGTTTGTTACAAAATTCTTTAAAAGTAGTTTCAAATACCATTACATTTTACCATACAATAGTTTTACCAATACATTTGTGCCATCTGCCAAAGACTTTAATGCAAAACAGAAACTTACAAACATAATATACATTTATATCGTACGAAAGTACGTGAAGGGAATTGGCATATGGCAATGTTTTATTTATCAACCTTCAAAGCGCAAGTACCTTTTCAATTTTTATTCTTCTCTTTACATACATGAGAAACACGTTTAACGTAGGAATGTAGCAAAAATAATAAAGTTGTTAGAATCATAGGTGCATCGAGCTTTATAATTTCATTCATGTCATTGGTATAACCAGTTGATATCACTTGGCCATTTAATTTGCGGTTCGCCAACAACACAGCAGCCTCTTTTACGAGAGACTTGAATCCGAAACCTTATATGTTTTAATTTCTAAATAATTAACAATATCGTATGTATGGTAAATTCGTAATTAATGCTTCTCGGTTCTTCAGTGTCCAGATTGAAATTTTTCCATCGTATGATCTGTTTCTCTTCTCTATTGCGAAGGTTGTTCGGCTCACTCTGTACAAAAATGATAGGTGCCTTAAAACAATTCTAGCACGAAAGTAGCAATTGTTTTATACTCAGATTATTTCTGGCTTGATATATCATTTTCATTACATTTGCAATCTATCCAATTGCTTGAAGTTATATCAAGCAATCTATCCAATTGCTTGAAGTTATATCAAGCAATCTATTTATTGCAACGTAGAATAATATTGAATAATTTATTGAATTGATTGTTTTAATTTCTGAGAATCATGTATCTTGCCGTCCGATAGAAGTGGTGAGAACTAATTTATTATCAAGACTACACGCAGTAACGCAGCCGTTACAAAATGAATAAGTCTTGTATTTGATCCATTTATACGACGCATAACTATTCATTGTAGACCATTTAAAATCGTAAATTTCCACGCTATCCCTCAAGATTGGCATTATGTTAACTCACTTATCCTGTCTGAATTTTTTAAATAAATAAATTCCGAATCCTAGTTGCGACTCTTTAAGTTACAATGTGTTTAAAAATTCTCCAGTATGCGCATTTGTCTAATAACTGTATCTGTGTGTAATAACTCTATCCAAAATCCTCCACTGCATACTTCCGTACCCATAATAAATAGATATTAAACAATGATATATGTAAAAAGAACTGTGAAATGTATTAGTGATATCTCTGTTTAAAATCTCAAACATTAACCTGAATCTTTGAGGCGCATTTTATACACACAAATATGGCTTGGATCTAATGGCGAAATAATAGTTTGCATGTTAAATAAAATCGAATCCACGAATCGCAATCAAATCCTTTCGCTTAGCGCCAACTGCGCCAACCGCGCTATTAACTATTCCATGAATTACCGTTATCAGCGATGAGATGTAGAAGTCATTGCTAAGTACTTTAGGTCAAGAACTTGCATTTGCACCTCTTATCGCTTTGTTGTTTACATGACACTTAATGAACTTTATATAGTTATCCGGTCTAGTGCCGGTCGGGTAAAGCTTTTAGAAGGATACCACTATTTTTATACGATGTTATTTTGCAATGGCCGGTGGCAATGTCACAAACACGTCAATGTAACCTGACACGACAACAAAAGTACGTGCAAGCACGTACTTTTGTTGTCGGATACCATGTTATGATATAAATTGAGCCAAACTGCATCCGAAACGCTATATTTCACCTTGACGATGTTCACTTGTCACCTGACCGTCCAATCGAGCCGCATCAAAGCTGATCCCACGGCACGAATAAATCACTCGTTAGAATTGTGAACGCCATTGTACCCATTTTATAACGCGCCAACTGAATATACCTGACGTTCGCCTACGGATGACGGCAATTGACTAATCATGAAGCCTCATTACTATCAACTTGTACAGTCGCGTTCGAATTAGCAGGACAATGCAACAAGAAAAAAACATAACATAGTGTACAATGTTCTAATATTAAAACGTTAAATTATCTCAAGTGTTTACCATTGGAAAAGCAGAATTTCCGCTAAAGTATAGTGAGATGGTTGGCATCAGGCTTTTTTCTAAAAATTGCCTTCCCATTCGAAATCCAACATGTTTATGTAAACATAAGTTGTAGAGTATACCGTAAATTCATCCATACTGAAGTGGATAATTTAACAATTAAGCCAATATAAATATTTGTTCATCGTTTTGATGACATTACCTTAACAATGAATTTTTTAGTGTAATGGCAATTAGTAAGAGCTGCCTTAGTCAATTGTAATTCTTAGAATTTATCTGGAAGATACTCATTGAAGTTATTATATGTTCTGAAAAAAGATAAACAAAAGTATAGATGAATAATTCATAGTTCATGTTGTTCCATGGTGATTGTTATATGATTGGATGATTTTCCAACACACAAGGGATTTTCTGTGACACATGTATTCTCGTCGTAACTTTGTGAACGTAACAATTATGCTAGTAACGTTACATCATAAAAATACCAATATCAATTCCCTGAGCGGAAAATACTTGGGGCATTATTTTTTACATTGTATTGATTTTGAACGGACAATTATATTAAATAGCATTATTTGTTATAATTACAAGATTACAAAAGTGATAACTCAAAACGAAATTTACTACGTTTATCTATCGTAATAAATGTGTTTTTAATTTGTAATTTTTTCATATTGCTTAACTTATTATAATTGTGAGTAGCCATTACCACATCGTGGCAACATTGAAGAAACTGTTAGCCTTGCCTTCTTCCGATTTCGGTAGTATTCCGTTGTTTGTTGTTGTTGTTGTATCGAGATTAAATTTGAATAATTAACGCCCTATTCTAGAATACTTTTTAAGTAAATGTATTACATATTATTGAGTTCTCAAGCTGAAAATATCTTTAACTTAGATCAGTGGCTTTTTCAAAGCCCTCTTTAAGCAAGACGAAAAAGGTCAAACTCTGTTATCTGTTATCTTATCTTATCCTTGATGAGCAATTCTTATATATATATATAATTGGAATTTCAGAAACGGCTCCAGCGATTTTCATGAAATTTGGTATGTGCGTAGATTCGGGGGCGAAAAATCGCAAAGCTCGGTCCTCCAGGTACTATTATTTATTTGATATTCATTTGACTATTCGAGTATGAACATCTTGACAGACTGTATATCTTCTCAAGAAATTATAATAATTTCAAAAACTTTCTCGTCCTTCAAGGAACGAACGTTATATAATATTTGTAATATTTCCTGCTCAGTTGTAATTGTATAGGTTATTCTTGTGGTCTAGTTGTGACCCTCGACCCCTCTGTAACTCTAGAGCCAGTATCGCTATGTATTAATGCAACAAACATGAGTTTATCTTGTTGCGAAGGTTAATTGAACGGATCTTGTTTCAAGTACCTCTCCGGTAGAACGGACTGTTTTGATGCTGGTGGAATCTTGTTATTGTTTACGTCAACATTAATATTTCGTACTCGTTAGCTACTGGCCCGTTACTTTGCGTTATATCGAAGATAGAGCCTTGATAGCTCAGTATACTGGCGCTCGCTTATAATGCAATGTACTCATGCAACCCGAGTTCAAATCCCGGGACCGACATCAATGAGATTATTAATTTTAAGCGCTGATTTATCACGTATTCAGCGGTGATGGAAAACTTTGTGATATGAGCTGCGTAATGTGGAAATAGTGACAAAAGAAATATTTCGGAGATACATGAAGTTCGCCTCCGCGGTGAATTCCCGTTGTGGACTATTCCCTAATACCCTCTGTACAAAGGAGGCCTTTGCCCATCATTGGGACAAAAAGGTTATTTACTGCAAATATTCCGTGTAGTTTCTGATTTCATTTTCTCTCTTTCTGATTCCTAATCTCTTTAATTTTATAATCGTCCATCGGAAAAGAATCTCACTAGGACCTGATGGTGACTATGAATATTTCTGTGTTACTGTAATCCATTCGTTCTGACTTCAATGAATTTTGAAGCGTTGTTTGTCGAGGTCTCCACTCAATTAAAATATTACGCTAGCGACTTCGTAATCGCTTCTTTTAGCCGCATGTTAATATACCTAATTGCTTTTAACACCAGCAGCCACTTTATATATACGTAGAGATCAATATTGTTCAAGTGTCCTTATGCACCAGTGCAAGGTTGGACCGCGTTAAGTTCGCTTATCACTCACAATCTTTGTATTGATTCGGCCCTTATACTTTTCACAGGTACGTTCCTTTGTGTATCCTTGTTTATTCCCCTTACAACTCACAATACACTTAAATGTTTAAAACAAGTAGCTTTGTTCACGAATTGAGTACGAACCGGTTATTTGTTTGCATGTGGTATCTTATTTGTTGTAATTTAAATTCGGAACCTTTTGTTATCCATTTCTATTTGCTCGAGATTTTTTATACTTATTTCTATATATCTTATTTCTCAAAGATTTTTTGTCGGTACGCTATAAATTTCACAATTCTGCATCAAATTGTATGATTCACAATCAACAATTCAACATTATTTAATAGCTTATGTAGATCGGTAGAATAAAATTAATGTTCTCATAAAAAAATTATTATAACGAATGTATGATAATGCCATCTATTGACAATTTGTTTAAATTAAATATAACAACTGATCACGGTACTACTATGTGGAAATTTCACATATATCTAAACATAAACCAAAAATTTCATTCATTATCTTATTTCATCATCTTCAATCAAGTTTCTCTCTAATGTTCAATAGTCACACCTCTTCTCATACATATTTAATATCTCCATAAATAACAAACCTTTTACTTAGTTCACACAATTTCGAGACGCTTTTTTCAGATAAATCTTTTTTTTTGTAATATAATTATAAAATACCTCGTATCATTTCGTTGTATTTGATACGCATTGGTAAATCAAATAAAGAATTCATAATTTTTTTTTTATGTGAGAAGGTGGCAAGCGTGCCGGGGGTTCACCTGATGTTTAACGATGAAAGATGTGGTAACTTAAAAGGTGGCAAAGCAGATGATTTGCCACCTTTTAATACAGTGGGCCACGGCAGTCGGCTAATGGTACTAAGATAGGAGCTAGAGACGAGTGTTAAACAAAAATTTTAGGCTTATTTTCAGGGCAGTGAAAAGTTAGTGCGTATGTAACCGACCGCCTACGTGATTTGCTGTAAGCTTAATTTAATGGACATGACGAACGTTCGTCGTTAATGTAATTCTTAATTTCATTACGCGATAAATAGGCTTAATGTATAGATCAATTATGCTCAAGAGCTATCTCATAAAAAATTTCCAGCCACGCTTCGAATTTTTCTGCTCGTTAATTAAGTACCCAGACGCCGCCGGACGAGAGTGCGTTCGGACCCTACCTCAATCCAATGTCATCAGTTCACTTTTTGAATACTTTATATTTTAATTTTAATTTAAACTTATTTGTGCCAAATTAACGTAGGCAACTCTTACATACTTAATAGTACATGAGTAAAGTGAGACTAATTGATAAAGCTGAACTGAATAGAGCTGTTTAATTATTTATAAGCGCACGATGAACCACAACGCGTAGTCAACCGTGCATTTTTTTCGTCGAAACTACGTTGACGGTGGTGGGGCTTAGTCTCCGAGGCGTTATTCGTTTTTTTTTTCGGTCTCCATCGCTCCTCGTCTCCAGTACAACGTCGGCAGGGCCTGAGGCCGCGCGCGTTTCCTTCTCAAATTCGAAAGAGTACGTCGCAATAGAGTCGTTCCGACGAGCGTTGCTGCGTCTGTTGCACGGCTATATTAAACCGCTCCGTAACGCATCGGCACGCATAAGAGGGTCTTGTTTATAAGCGACGCTCGGCGCGTAGTGCTCCGCGCTAAGCCGCCTCGGGCACACGTAAACGTGCGGGCGGACGTCTGGGGAGTGAAATAGAAATAAAAAATAAACATCTGGCGAACGCGCACGTGCCTACGTGGGATTCCGAAGCCGTGGGACACGTGCTACCGCGTACCGATGCGCCTTAAGCAGTCGCCGTACCAATGCAGACTATGAAATGGATAGAGATGGTGCGACTCGGGCCCCCTTCGCCCGAGAGGTCTTCAACTTTCGACGGTGATAAGGTGAGGTCGAATTCTTGCGTCACGGCGCGGTCGACGTCGACACCGTAACGGTATCGTCGACTTTTGGCGATTCCGCTCGTTTTGTAAAACTGTTATCGGGAGTTAATTAGCCGATTCATTTCAGCGAAACAAAACGATCGACATATGCGTATATGAAAGTATGCCACGGTAGCAACGATTATAACCTACTCTAATTTTTACAAGTTAGTTTTAAAATACTTAACGCAACGTAATGAGCAACTTATATTAGCGCAGCGCAGTTTTCTAAATATATACATATACATAGATACAAATATAAATAGCTTTTTTATGCAGCGCGACTGCTGTGCGCACCACGCAATTTGTATTACGCTGGGGTTTAATTAAAAATAGAGTTATTACGAAGAACATTGTATGCTGTTGATTGGCATTGTAATTAATTATAATATGCGTAATAATTACCGTATCCGTTATTTAAAAAAAATGTGGAAAATTAACTTCTGTTCTTCACATTCACTTAATTTAACGCTTTACCAAAGAACGTCACTTGTACACACGGGACACCGACAGCTCTTACTCTCCATTTACCGGAAATTATTAATTTCAAAACGTGAACGATCGCATGTTACCATACACCAGTCAACACATCGACTTTTTATACAATAAACAATCCGACGAAGGGAGACTTCATGGTTCAGGTTTCGTTCCCACAGTCATTGCTCGCAAGATTAATAAACAATACAATTGTTTTACATTTTAAATGAAACTAGATTACGAATTTTATTGCGTTTTTATTTTGCAACCAAAATAAAAACGCGATGAAATCCGTAAACTAGTTAATTTAATTTGTATATAATATTCGCGTAAAATCAAGAAGTCAATACAATTATATTTTAATATATATTATTTTATTATCTATGGCAAGTATATTTTCTTACAAATCTCTTTTGAATAGCGCCGTTTTCTGTCCGTTCTGAATTGTCAGCGACGCCACATGAAAGTAGACTCCGGAACAAAGTCTTATAGAGTAAGGCGATTGACCCTTGATATTTTTCTGTATGTGGTAGCCCTTTCATTATTGTAATAAGGGCTAGTTGGGTTAATACCTGAATTAACACTGCAAGGTGATATTGAAACGTGTATGACGCAATAAATTTCTCAATCAAAACCAATCGCAGATTTCATATGGATTTAATGTTTACGCACCGAAACGTGCGCTATCGTGTCCACGCGATCGTTGGCCAGATATCCGGTCTTTGTCAGCTTTCTTATTATCCGCTTATTCTTATGAAAAGTCCGGTTCATTCATTACTCGTATGAGTTATTTCAGTATTTACGGCTTAGTAAGATAGCATAAGTGCACCATTTCTTTGATTGGAATATTGATGTATAATATACAATATATATAATAATTGCATTCTGATTAGTATATATTGAGGCGTTGTTAACGTATGTAATTAATCCTCTTCGTTGTTTTTTGTTATACTAACACGAAACCAAGGATAAAAAACGAATGATATCAGCACGTAGGTACCTATGGGAGAGTTTTTGTTTTGCATCAAAAATATAATAATACACTAACCTTTAAATCGTTTTCCGTATAATACCGTTTATGTTTTCCGATTAATATTAAAACAAATTTCGTGCGAAATTGAAGTAAAACCTTTTTAATATCATTCATAAATATCCCGACACGATTCTCGCAACAGACAATCAACATTAACACGCCGTGAACAAATAAGAAGTAGCCAGTATATTAGAGCAGTATTGATTAAAAACTTTCAGATAAGTTCGATAGCTTATCGGCAATGCTTTGTTCAATACGTCGCCGGTTATTGCGGTTTCCAACGCTTGCTTTATCAGTGGACCATAACACAAAGCAGCTTGTGTGGAGTTGAAAGTATTAGTATTAGTAGTAGTACTGGACACTGTCGATTCTCTGCAGGCCCCTTGTTATCCACGGCGACGCATGGAACGCCTGCGTTTGTTACAGCATAAAAACAGAATGCACTAGATGACACTCGAACCTTAGATATGATCTTTTTAACCGATCAAACCGGGCAGAGAACGTACATAACAACGCAGCGCATGTATCCTTGATGTGATGTACCCTTCGTGGGTGAGATATAATACTCGTAGTCTGTAGTCATAAGACAATAACGAGCGTTAAAACTAAACCGGAGTCTGAACTGCAACATTCATTTTCATAACGGACCCCATAGATTAAAGCAGAAAGATGCCGTCAACAAATAACTTTTTTTGTTTATCACAATCTAACAAGTTTGTAATTCTATCAATTGTTATTTTTTACGATTTTCTAGTCCCATGTTTTTAGAACTTATCGTAACTTTAATGTTTAAAAGAAATCTCTTTTATGTTTATTACACGTTTTGTATTTTTTATTTTTAATGTCCGACGAGATATTTCGCGATACGACTGGCACATACAAGCTATCAAGATATTTATTGGCCTACTCGGTTCATAAATTTCAGTAATCCCCAAATAATCCTTGGATGGTTCCACTTGTGGGTACATGTATTAAGATAAGCGGCGGTCAGATTATGGCGAGTTTACTTTTTCAATCGAGCGGCAGAACGGAGATCAGTCAAATTTGCGTATCCGAGCCCAAATGACGCGAGCACCTTGCCGACGCGCAAAAGAAATGTTCTGGAAATAAACCGAGACACAGACGGCCGAGATGGCCATCGTCGGTATCCAGCCGTGACTCCCACGACTCTCGGTTTTGATGGAGAGCAAAATCTCCAGCTCTTGAACAAGAAGTGTTACTGCACCGATAAGAGGAGTATCAGCGTTTTTCTTCCACGATAGGAACGAGAACCATGAAAATGTTACGATTTATGCGTAAATTGGCCGCGAGGATCATGGAGAAGATACGGAGAGTCGAAATGTTTGCTCTCGACGTGACTCTGATGCGCGGGAGGCGGGGCACGGTGCGGTCCATTTGCCGTAGAGCAACTATTCACTCAATATGTGAGGTAATCCAGTCGAGGATTAACGAACCAGACAGTTCCAGAGAATTATTCTAATTGCCTCCATCTTCATTACGATCCTGCCCCATTAGCGTCATTATACGGCGAACTCTAAAAACCGCCGTCCACTACACGGCCAATTACTTAATAAGACGTTTGTTAAGTGACCGACGTTTTAGCGGACGCATGTTATAGCGAGGCCGCATCCATATTGGAGTCTTCTTTATTTAGTTTTTCGATCGTAGATTGCCTTAAGTCACAACCGCTGCCGATTTGCAATAGTTTCCCTGAACTTGATTTTCACTTACCATCATTGGCTAGTTTCTTACCCCGGTGTTTGGATACGTCTGCATAATCACTCCAGAAGACGAATAGTGTCATTAATTATCGTAGTGCACAAAGCCGCCCATCGCAATGAATGTTGAATGTGAACTGTAGTGCTCGGGAATGCATTGTTTCATTGCATTTGCATTGCACATTTTCGTACATCATTTAGTTACGAAATTAATAATTTTAAGTCATGATTCACCTCACGCCCAGTACATTTTTGTCTAAGCATGTTATTGCACAATAAAAAATACGTCATGAATGATTATTGAGTTAATTGTTTTCGTATTTTCAGTTTCAAATACAACAACAGCCAGGTTCAACGTAATTGAAATAGCTCTCAGAATTACGTAGGACAGTTGTCAAATTTGTAAACCATTTAAATATATAATTTTAGTTTTAAATGTAACCCGGTGCACATGCCAATTACTTATCGCTCACGGTTAGAATGAGTGTATTTTTAAATAGAAACCGGTCCGAAAACAGAGAAAAGTACAGGTATAGGATTTAAATGCCTACCTTAATCAACTTTTCTTCATCTTTTTATTCTTATCTACAATTTTTCCTAATTCATTCTTAATATATTTAAAAAATATTACTAAGTTATGGATCTCCGCTATTTGTTTTTTATTAAATTTCTCATCATAATGAGCACCTGGTAAGATTTCCATGATTATTTACAGACATCGCTCATAAAGATTTATGTTGAGACTGGCTGTTTGTTGTACATCGCGTTCTGTAAAAAATAAACATTAACGTAAGATGGCCGCGTGCGTAGGTGCTGTCGATGAGCGATGAGCTGCGACGCGCGCTTTACTCGTCGGGCGCGTCTGTCGACATGGAGTTTTCGCCACCGGACCTCATCGGCACCTCGGAAATATTCACCATGGAGCACAGGTAAATTTACCATTTAACTATGTATCCTTTACTTATATAAATATCAAATCATTCCAAATTGATAAGAAAATCTGTTTCTTTACAACAACATTCCTTTTAAATATTATATGTATAAAATGTGTAATCTAATTCCTTACTTATATTATATCTTATTTGCAAATGACACCACTATGAAAACACCAAAAAAAATGTTAAATAAACATCCTCATATTTGCGAACATATACAATTTCAGTTTGGTTCGGAAAGTTTAAAGTTTACCTACGTTCATCTTACAACAACCTTTGGCCTTATAAAAAGTTGTTTATTTGAATAATGCGCTACTTTAGGGCATTGTTATCTTAATTAGCGTTGGTTTGACCCTAGATTAAATACCGCAGAACTTCTGATATAATTACGGAAACATAGTGCAACTAATAATACATCTATTGTCTTTTGTTACACCACAATTTGACCGCTTGCGGCGGCCTGAGTAGCTTAACACAGACAGAACCTAGAACTCTGAGTGTAGCATTAAGCTTCCACGGGGCATTCGATTGACTATAATACAGCGCAGATGTTTGTACTATAACATATTTGACAGTTCGAAAGCGACACATTATTGTGAAATCGTTAGCCTGCCCATGCGGACCATCACTCTAGCGGTACCTTAAAAATAAGGGCTTGATGTTCGGCCTTTTAGCGCTAAGTGACAGTTTATTTTTTGTGAGCACAAACGTATAATTTGTCAATTTTGATATTATTTCATCATACTTTATTTCTGCAGTTAAAGTTTTATGAAAAGAAATAAACATTTAAATTTGTAATATCAGCTATAAACATTTTTTTACACTCTATTATTGTCTATTTTCGTGTGTTAAAACTTAAAATACGATGTACTGATTAGAAATCTGTCGCCTGTCTATTGGTGAAAATGGTTTTAGTTGACGGACTGATTTAAGCAATCCTTTAGGCCAGGGCACCCTTAGTAAGGGAGCGTTAGAGGTTACAATGGTGAAAACGGGAGAAACAAGACTAGTCAGTCTTGTTTCCTTGTAAGATAACCACATTTTTCAATAGTACTGTCATTTTGTGCACATTTTTCTTTTTTATTCTCTTGAACCCGTCCAAATAAAAGCTGCTAGACGATCGTCACTCTAGCTATGATAGCAGTAAAGGCTGGTCGATCCTTCCGTTGTGCCAATGCTAACGTTGCGCCCACCGTAGGGAGAAGCTGTGCGGGGTGCTGCCGGCCCGCGCCCAGGGCTACATGTGGTCGCTGGCGTTCAGCACCAGCCAGCACGGGTTCTCGCTCGCCTCCATGTACCGCAAGATGCAGCGCGTCGACAGCCCTGTTCTCCTCGTCATACAGGACACCGACAACAACGTGAGTATCCACCTACCGCGCACGCTACGCCTCGTTTCTAGAACAATCGGAAGCGTCGCCGTGTACGATTACTGTGGTAGGGCCACGCGGCAGCCTAGGCTGTTGCACGAATGGGCGGGCTCGTCCGGGTAAGTAAGAACAGCGTGAAGTGGAAGTGTAATAAATACTTTCGCGTTTCGTATAGTGAGTGAGGCAGCCGGAGCCTAATTTTCAAAACGGTTTTCAAATGTCCCTGGGCGGCGGTATTCACTTACTCATCACGTGAACCGCCTGCTCGCTTAACAAATTTCACTGTTAAAAAAATTGGACGTTTACATGTGTGCCTGTTGCCAGGTGCAAGAGCTAAGCGGAGAAATTTCCTCTTTGAGCTTGACGATCGCTTTCAATTCTGTTGGGAGTGTTTGTCTTTTCCAGCGATAATCTCTCTAGCTCGTCTCATGGAAGCAAAATTTACAATGCGATAAGAATAGTATTAAGGAGGACCTTTTACATCGTGAGAGTTGTTTCAACGGCTTATTAGAAAAAGAATATGTGTTCATTTGTGGTTCTTTTCCGATATTTTTAATATATTTCACATTCCTGTTAATTCGTCAATTGAAGAAATGTTGGGCTCCGACAAATTTTCGTTTCGTAAGTTATAACAAAGTTGTTTTCCTATTAGATTATATTAATAGGAAAATAATGTCTGTTCATCACGAAAGGTTGACAACATGTTCTCCCGTTCCCTAGCGACTCCACTGAGTATAACGATAATTTTGCATAATCGTCTCTGACGTGAAAGATTTAGAGAATCCGTTTGCAATAATAACTAGTTAGTCCAATTTAATTTTCGTTTGCGTAAAACATTTCGCAAACCAGAAACGAACGATAGTCGGTCGTCAATATACACCCACCCTTTGCATTTTGCCTAAACAATCACGTCGCTACTCCAAAATTTTCTTATCTATATTAATTCCTAGTAATCTCAATAGCAATTTTTATTATAATGATCCGATGACTAATTCGATTCGCCGTATTTCACAGATTTTTGTATTCGAAATTCGATTCATCAGAAGTCTTCAAATTTTATGAAAACCATTGATTATTAATAATTAGTCATACATTATTTTTATTCAATGCCGGTATAGTCAATAAATAAAAATACGAGTATGTACACATATAGTTATTGAAGTGAACCGTAATAGTAATAGAAATAATAAAATAATTACTTTAAACTTTATACCAACCTATAGTAATTTCCTTTGAGTTATGCGTTTAAAGTAAGTTCCGTCAGTGATTATTATCATAAGGGTCAACCGATATACCAATACTTATAAAAATAAACATTTTTTTTTAATATTAGCATTTTAAAAGCCCACCGCTTCCGCGATTTAAAAGATTGTTATTCGATTATTTCTCACCCATATCGATAATTATAGCACAATGAATTGAATGATTAACTTTAAAAAAAAACACATTGACGCATCATCATAACATTTTTATTCTATCATTTTATATTCATTAAAAACTGTTGTCGTATACCTGTTTTAAATTGTTATAAGAGAACAGACAGTTCGCCTAATAAGCGAATGAGGCTTCTCTCGCTTAACTCACTCACCAGAGGCAAAACTATAATACGTTCACTGCATTGATCTTCTCGTGCAAATAGCAAAAATTTCGTGGCTCCAAAAACAATATCAAGTAGAATGGACTTTATACACAAACGATGTAGACTCGTTATAAAAACGGTTGGTATGGCGACTTTGAATGGTAAACGCGGCTCACCCGTACAACCTGGGAAACTTGATTATAATTCACAAAGCAGAACAATCGATTCGAGCGCATCAAGGCTACTCGGGGATTATTAAATGGCTTAAAGTGAAAACAACACCGCTTGCACGACGTTGGCGTTTTGTTACAAAAGTTTTTTCACCTATAAGTTTGAGGGAAGCTCGTATTTATATAGTATAAAATAATTACATTAATTACAGAACGTTAGCTTTTACCTAAATTAAATTTGTGTAAGCCATTTCAATTAAGTTACTAAAAGTATTAAACTTTTATAGATGCACTAGTAATTATAACTGAATTGACAGTTTCATGTTACCACTATACAATATATAATTACGTGGTTGATAAGAAGGTAAAGAAAGTAACATAGTAACTACTTCAATTTATGATTTTTAAAAAGATTTTATGGCCTGGTAACAAGACCTTTAAGGTAATTATGTTCTTTGATAACACTTAAGAAGTATACATTCTTATGTGCCTACACACGGTTTTGTTTTTAGTGCAAGTCTTAGCACTATGGCTCAATTGGCGCCGTGGATAGTGAAGGTGTGGATTCGATTCCAACAACTGAAAAATATTGTGTGATAAACAATGTTTGTCTAACTTCTTGGTGTTTACATTTCTACGTTAAGTATTGACTTACCCAAAAAAAATATGTTTATCAATTACACACAGTACAAAAACGCTTTTACTGGTTTAGTGCTGTATAAGGTTTTATAAAAATAAGTCCTGAAAACATCTTACTATTGTATGGCGAGAAAACGCTTTTACTGGTTTAGTGCTGTATAAGGTTTTATAAAAATAAGTCCTGAAAACATGTTACATACATCTGTATGGCGAGAAAATTTTACCAGTCACCGTATTTGCAAGTAACGTTGTTAGAGTTTTTTTTTTAAGTTTTATTACCTTTAATAATAGCAACGCATGCAGTGTGTGCTGTGTTGCTTCTATAGATAACGATGGTATAGGTCAAACTTGATTACACGCACAAAAAAGAATAATAAAAGACCCGATTATATCAAGAATGATACTTTTAGTCACTTAACGCCATAAATAATGAATAGTGTCCTTTTTTTAGTGATGTTCGTTTAAGTAATATACAAGTCCATTTTTATTAACGAAAAACAAAACCGACTTCAAATATCTCGCCTGTATTCATTTTATAATTGATTTTCAGGAGTTCCCTAAGTATCTCCGAAGCCCAAGATCCAATACCAATGAAATTAATAAGGGACCAGATAGGAAGCACCAGCTTTCAAATAAAAAAAGAATCATCAAAATCGGTTAAGTCAGTCGAAAGTTCTGAGGTAACAAACATAAAAAAAATACAGTCGAATTGAGAACCTTTTTGGAGTCGGTTGAAAATTAAAATCATTCGAAATAATGTTCGATGAAGTCATAGCAAAACCTGAAATGTATGTGTCATCATTCCACGACAGCGCTAAAACGATTGTTGTTTAAACAGGTTTATTTTCTTAGCAACATTTTCTTTGTCAAGTGAAGTCCTATTAGACCTATGATCCAAACGAACGGCTGCAATACTAGTCAAGTGGTAAACCTTGAAGGATTTAGTATTACAAAAAGCACGATAGCTAGCTAAGCAACCTTCAGCATATATTATATTATAAATGATTTGACGACCCGAGAGTTGGATAGCCTGTCTCCTTCGCCAGAGGGTGGGGGTAGATCCCCATTACTGGAAAAATATTGTGATGAATAGACGTAGTCTTTGGATTTAGATTTATTTATCTAAAAGATGTCTATTTATTTACAAAAGAGATGTTTGTTTTACAAATATATTTATGTATTATTTTATATTTATGTATTATTACAGCTACCTAGTATCCATAGTAAACGCCTTGTTTAGTTTGTGACTAGATTACGTTGTGAAAATAATGTCCCGAAATTAAAAAAAAAAAAAAATATATATATATATATATATATATATATATATAAGCAAAATACGGGGGCGACGTATTTCTGTCTCTTTTGCGAGACATTTTAACGATAAGCACATTTCTACTCCATAGGTGTTCGGCGCCCTGACTTCGTGCGCTCTCCGGCCCTCGGAACACTTCTACGGGACCGGAGAGTCTCTGCTGTTCTCGTTCCAGCGCGTGAAAGAGGACGCGAGGCGGCACTCCCACCCGGCGGCGGAGGACATCAAAGATAAGGACGCCACAAAGGAAGAAGACAAGGACGGTGGGTGTAATTCTCCCTCTCGTTGCTACTTTCTTTGGATTTGAATTCCGTAAGCCGTAAAAGTCCGTTTCTGTCTGAATACTTCTTATCTATTCGTTTAATTTTATTTTTTTTGGGTGGATCTCTCAACGATTTTATTTTATTTTCCGTGAGCAGATCAAAGTTAAGGACGCGACAAAGTAAGAAGAGGATGATAGGTTCTATTCACCCTAAAAATTAAAACAAATAACTTAAGTTGAATTACATTAAATCAAACTAAATTGCCTCCCAAACGTAACATGTCCTTTATGTATTTTAATTTATTCATCAGATCAAGCGGCGCCGGTGAAAACCAAATTCAAGTACTGGGGCTGGACCGGCGACAACATGTACTTTATCCGCGGCAGCAACGATAACATATCCATTGGCGCCGGCGAGTAAGTGCCAACTGCTATCATTGCAAACGTGATGCGAAATGAAAGACAAACCAATTTTTCCAACGGCGTTAAAACCAAAATGGAGTCTAGGTCTTTGATTTGTATTTTGATGTTAAGTGAATACCGCCGCTCATGGACATCTGCTACACCCGAGGGTTGCAAGTGCGTTTGAAAATTGGGCTCCGGCTACCTCACTCACCAGACGAAACGCGAAAGTAATATACTTCCACTTTACGCCGGTCTTCTGTGAGGTCGTAGTACTTACCCCGGACGAGACTGTCCATTAGTGCAGCAGCGTGCTGCGTGGCCCCCTACCACCGTAAACAAATTTTTACGGTGGTAAGGCTAATGAGTATGGGTTTGTTGGTTTTATGGTATGGTTTGAGCATGTTAAGAGGAGAGATGACAATCTGTTCGAAATATAGTTCGATAGAGTTTTGAGAAATAAAATTAAGTAATATTTTACAGTTAGTTCGAGTCCATTGCATTGGATCAAAAACATCAATTGACCATAATATCTTTTCTTGATTGGATTTTGTTTAAAGATGATCACTGATAACGAAACCTTTATAACCAGCAGGCCCCCTCAGCTGATTTATTACGAGCCATAGTGTAACGAGTGCAATGTATGTACTTGACATTAAACCACTAACCTTAACGAATGCTAATGATAACAGTGGTAAATTCGGCATCTGGCTGGACGGCGACCTGTACCTGGGGCGCACGCAGCGCTGCACCACGTACGGCAACGAGCCGCTCACCACTCGCGAGGACTTCGTCGTCAAGATAATGGAGTGCTGGACCTTCATCTGAACGGGCGGCGGCGGCGGCTCGGCCACACACCTCGCTTCACACCCGTACAAGCTTTAGGGCCGGTCTTATGAACGTTTGCTACGATATATATTTGACACTTTTACACGAGCCGGGGGAATACCACCAGCGCGGACCACTTCCGCGCCGTTTAGGCCCGGAGACTAATGTTTCTCTTTTTTTTTTTGTATACGCAATCGCATCGCACCCGGCGGGCGCGCGCCTTTCTAGTCAAACGTACTGATTGATACCACGACCAATGTTTCCGTTCGCTCCGGCCTTGAGCGCACGGAGCGGGCGCCGCCCGGCGTTGCTAACCGCGCAGCGAGTAAGTGCATTAATCCTAGTCAATTGTCGTTCGTAAGTTGGGGTGGGGTCGATGCGGGGCGGGGTCGGGGGGAGGGGGAGGGGGCGTGGTGTCGACGGGGCCGTTCGCCGTTCGCGTTCGTCGGTACAGCGAATGCGAATCGAATTCGCGTCGAACCGAATTCGCGGCGAACGATATACATTCGTTCGCACACGTTCGAGTGCGAACGCGTACGCCCGCGCCGTCGACGTTCGCCACGTACCCCGAGTAATTACGTGTCAATTCATACAATTAATACTGTGGGATGTTAAGAGTTCTAGGAGCGTATTTGTAACGATTAATGTCTCATTGTATAACGTTGCGTAGAGGTTTATCGTGAGATCAATCGTTATTTAGTTTGCATCGATCGAGTGTTGGCCGCTCGCGTGTCTCACTTTTGCGACACCGAGCACTGGGCGACTTTCTTGCCCGTGATAAATTAACGATCGGCCGAAACCTTCGATTTGAAATATAATAAATAAACATGTTTCAGCATTTTCAATTGGTGACGACGCCCTAAGAAAATATATATTTGTACTAGTTATTATCTTTAGTCTGCAATGGTACGGTTGTTTTTTATATCGTTTAGCCTGTATGCGTCGAGCCGTATTGTTAAGTTAGTGAGCATGATGTCTTACATTTTCACTGTGATTTCATTAATGTGGTTGCATAGTAATATTTATACATGATGCGTAATCAGAATATAACAGTAGCTGCTGTTTCTATTTCCATCTGAGTTATGTTTCCCAATTATTCCTCAGCGAAGGATACTATGTCGAGTTTGTTAGGTTATAAATGAAACTAAAGTCGGGCATATTAGTAATATTTTTCGATGTAACGCTTCAGTACAGATATAGTAGCCGATGTGTTATTGTAACGTTAATTATATACATAGTTTATATTAGTGAGCTTGATGAATGTAATCGTCATTGTGCTTAGTAATTGTGTCACTTAGCATGATGTTACTCAGATCTATCTGGTCGTACGAAATTATTTATTTAGCTGTGTAAGGACGACGCTTGTAACGGCAACCAGGGGCTACGCGCTGTGTGTAAACCTACGCTGGCAGCCGAAGAAACAGTATTGTTCGAGGGCGCGATTCTGGTTGGATCGGTGGCTTGGTGCTGGAGTATGGGTAGAGTTATTAACGTTGTGAAATAAATTGAATGATCATCGAATATACAATGAATTTCGGCAGGGGTTCGAAGTTTAGGAACCCCCAAGCTGCTCATCGTTTTGTAGGGCTAAGTCCTCGGTCCGCGACGAATGCAATGTAGATTTTTGGTATTATCGTGCAGTTACTAATACCTATTGATTCATATCACAGCATATACTGCGCCCTATATATAAAAATAATCTTTGTAGATCTTTAACATTTTTGCAATTACTTTATCAAACGTGACGGCACTTGAACTATATTAAAGTGCAGTCAGTTTACATTTTAAAGGACCCTAACATTATATGAAAGCTTGCTGATTTTGCAACTGGACAGTTAAAAATAGCAGATCAGTACTCATGGCTGTAATCATTGCGTGAGAATAATCTTTGTTTGAGATTAATATTAATTTATAAACTGTGTAAACGTCGCTACATATTTAAATAGAAGAATATTATTGACGGTAGTTACTATGATTATTTAGTAAAGATTAAAATGCAGTTGCTATTAGGTTTTCAGCGAAATTAGCGCAGTCTTGTTATAAATATTTCAAGTCCATGCAAAGTAACTATTCTATTAATGTTGTTGTTTGTCACCAAGAATGTAATAGAAACAAAAACTAGGATTATACAGCGTGTCGTTACCATCGCGACAATAAATGAACACACGTCTAACGCTACTTGCCAATAATCATAAAAAAATATTAACGTTAAACAAAATCCATAATTAAAAAAAAAATTTTTTCAACCAAACTAATTAAATAAAAAAAAACAAAATTTGTAGCATCCTATAAAATTCGCGCCACAGCGTCGCATTACAAGCCTCTCCTTCTAACAGTATGTTTTGTCTCTTTTAAATTCATTCAACCCATTCATATGCTTTGTGACCTTTACAAATGAACTTTACGTTACGCTTTTGTAGGTAAGGTGTTCTAAAATTCTTTGTTTTGGAAAATTTAATAACTCTGTAAATATTGATGTTTAAAGAATTTAAATGTTTAATACAACTTTAAAAAGTTATCCCCTATATGTGTGTTCATTTATTGTCGCAATGGTAACGACACGTTGTATAATAAAAAAAATATCGGCATAATTATTGTTAAAAGTTTATAATGATTAAATTGTTGAGTAGCAGTGAGATATAAAATATTTATTTATTCTGTTATTATTTTCAGTTTAAGATTCTGTAGCTGTATTATTATTCTGGTGATCTATTGTGTAACTTCTAAGTTGTTAAAATGTAAATCAAGCCATAATAACTGAGAATATATTCTTTTGAAAAAAAAAAATTGTTTTATTTATTCAATTCATATGTCAGTTTTTAAATTAACCTACTGTCTTGGAGGTCTTTTCGGGTAGTTTGGGTATCCAGTTTCTTGGTACCCTCTTTCTTCATAACTTCTGTCACAATACCCGCGGTCTTGGTAACCTCTTTCTTGATATTCTCTGTCCTGGTCACCTCGGCCGTGATAGCTTCTGTCCCGGTAGCCTCGATCTCGGTTACTTCTGTGTCTATTACTTGAACGTGCATATCTTCTGTTATCATTACGACGGCCGTAGTTTTGAGACGCCCTCCAATTCTCAACTATCGGTGGGTCCATTGTTTCTGCATTAAACACCTTCATGAAGTCTTCGTCGTTTTCAGTGTATCGATCCTTAAACTCTTCTTCACATTGCGCTAAGAAGCACTTATCTTCGGCAGAGAGGTTTTCCATAGCAATAAGGTAGAAGTAGAAACTAGGGATAGAATTCACTGCTGTAAAAAAGATAATGTTTGCTTATATTTATGCGAACAGAACACATTTCCAAGTTGCACGTATTTTTTCGGACTATTCAATTTATTCTGTTTATATTTTTTAACCCCGATCATTCTTAATTAATTTAAAGTCGGGGAAATACGTACGTATTTTTATCTAACAATTTAATAAAGATGTGAAAAAATACTTAGAACATTAAATCTACATTGACGACATTAATAAGAAACATAACGACTACCGGCAACTGGGAGATGTGTGAGAGCTACTTCTTGGATAAATACAGACAATACTATAAAATCTTTACGGATGCGTCAATAAAAGACAATGAAATTGGTGCCGCTTTTTATGACCCGATCACTAATGTATCTATGAAATTCAAAATAACTCGCAGGATTTCAATAATGCATGCTGAACTGATAGCGCTTTTAGAAGCCTTGCATTACATAGATTCCATAACACAAACTAATTTCTTAATAGTAACGGATTCTCGTAGTGCCTTACAGCTACTCAAACGTTGTACATCTACTATACGTAGTGTACCTATTGCATACAATATAATAGAAACAATTTGTAAACTTAAAACAATCAATAAAAATGTTGTACTGCAGTGTGTCCCGTCCCTTGTTGGTATAATATGCAATGAAATCGTCGATCAGTTGGACAAAGAAGCATCAAATAGCGGAGAAACCTACTCATGTGATTATTTTATAAAGAAATGTACTATAAAATTAAACAGAATTGTTTTAGCACTTGGCAAGAATATTTCAATGAACGTAGTCGCAGTAAAGGAATATGGTATGCTACGATTCAACCCAACATTTTAAAACATACGTGGATAGACAATATCAACATGGGACGACAAACAATCATAACTGCTCTCCGACTTCGCTCTGGGCACATCCCTTTGAACACATTCGGTTTTTTGATGGGACAAGCACAATCCCAGAACTGTACAATCTGCAATACAAGTGAAGATGTATACCATGCAATAATGGAATGCTCCCGTAGCGAACCGATGAGAGATCTTTGTAATTTAGTTCATAATTTTTTCGAAACTGGAGTATGTAATACGGTCCTTGCAAATCCAACATCGGATTCTGCTAGGTTACTTTATAGAATTGTTAACTTAGGAATGAGACGCAGAGGGGGTTTAAATTGATCTATGTAAATCCTAATCTATTGTTGTTTTTTGTAATCTTGTTAACACAATGAGGGTGGCATAATCTTAAACCCTTTTTAAAAATAAAGAGAAAAAATAAAAAAACATTAAATCTAACTAAATCGTGTTAATCAAATAAACCTAGTCTATGCGGAATCGTCCCAAGAATGCTAGCTGCATTTGCTCGTTTGATAGTTATGCCTAAGCTTTGCGTGAGACAAGAACTAGGCCTCTTGTCACCACTGCGTGACTGCCGTGGCGATAAGTCTTAAGACAAGATGTTGAATAAAATTCATAGTTATTTATTTAATGGGAATTTAACACCAAATAATAAATATAGAAGTGTTGTTTTTAGACTTTTTCAGGCAATTTTTTAAATTTTTCTCCGTAAGAACCATCTTCCTACTTCAAGGAATATTATAAAAAAAGAATTAGCGAAATCGATCCAGCCGTTCACACGTGATAGCGTGACCAAGGGAAATAGGGATTCATTTTTATATATATATAGATAATATTCTCAATTTGAAGTTACAGATGAAAATATAAATTTAACATTCATTAAATGTTTAAACTTAACAGGACATTTAAATTCAATATTCATCAACCTTTCATCATTACACACATATATATGTTAATAATTTTGAGTTTTTTGGTCATTAAATAAATAAAATTAACTGGGCCCTGAGTTGACAAGAAAAAAAATTCTATTGCTAGTTAGAAGATATTCAAATTTGTTCCTTAATGCAAACTTAAATTTCATTTCAAATAGTCATTATCATAGCATATTGAAATAATTCCTATAGTACTGGATGAACATAAATAGCTATTCTGTTAGAAGTTATGATTCATTGGAATATTTTAGGATAACTTTCCCATGACAATGTTTTTACAACGTTTAACAACAGGGAATAAGCGAATAAGAAAAACAAATGGAAGAAAAAGGATGGAACAAAGCAATAACTATTTTAATCATGAATTGTAAACAAAAATACTGTTTTTTTCTTAGTAAAGAGTATATATTTAACTATTTAGTATGCATATATATTTATAATGTATAAGTGTTATCTAATTTTCCTTATTCATCACCCAGAAACTGGAAAAACACTATGTTCATTACACAATCTTTTTCCAGTAGCGGGGATCAAAACCCCAACCCTCTGGCACAAGAGGCAGGTTCACTACTACCCATTTACGTGTTTGCTGTAAAAAAAAAAAACAGTTTTCTCAGATATTTGTGTATCATATATTACCTATTAAAACTACAGTCACTAGAATCATACAGTAGGTAGTATCGAAAAGTAAACTTTTGCAGCAGTCTCAGAAATGTTGGTTGATTAAAAAATCTTTGCCAGGTTGATTAAAAAATCTCTAGTGGTGGAGTACTTTGTTGTTCTACTATATTGCCACTAGTGGTAGAATACCAATATTTCTTATTCTACAAGTAACATAATAACATTATATCTTATCTTACCACTCCCACTACCATACCCAAAGAGTAAAACTGAACCCTATTACTAAGACTTTGCAGCCGGTCAGACCAACAGTAATGTGTCTGTCTGTATGTATGTCACCAGACTTTATCTCATGAACTGTGATAATAAGACAGTTGAAATTTTCACAGATGATGTATTTCTGTTGCAGCTACAACAACAAATACTAAAAAACAGAATAAAAAATATTTAACTGATGCTCCCATACAAAAGATATGATTGCCATTTTTATACATAATAGTATGGAACCCTTCGTCCGCGATTTCTACTAGTTATTAAATGGCAACTGGCAGCAGAACAGACACATTCTACGTTTTAGATTGTTTTTAAAGTTATATTTTCGAGTAAGGTAATAGAAAATATAATCCGATTTTCATTCTCTGTAAATTCAATAACAATAAAAGTTATCAAAGAAATAATATGTTTTACTTTGTCTTAAGCTGCTGTAAGATAAAGTGAATGATTGTTTCCAAAATCTAAATTATATAAATTTGGTAAAATATCTTGTATGCAATTTACATACAATCAACAACAAAATTTTGACTAAAATTACCTTAGAAGCCACCTAGTACATGACTGTAAACTCAATACTATGAGAGAACTCAAAGAATATAATAGATTCAGAATTGTTCAAATGAAAAATGTTTAAAATGTATAGACTCAGCTGCGACTTACTGGAACAATAGAAGAAGATAGAAGTACCTACTCATTCAATAGCATCGTTTTCCCTTTTACGGCTAAATTAATAATAATGCATTGTGTTCAACTACAAAAATTAATCAATTAATAAAATATGGTTTTGAAATTTTAAGCAAAGAATTTTACTTACATTTTTTTGTACGACCCTTCTTCTTCTTCTAAGGCAGTTGGCGGTCCTTATGAAATCGCCAATGACACAATAATGGTAAAGAAATAAATGTTTTCAAATATCTAAGAATATCTTTGTACGACCCTTATTTTACTACATTTCATAGTTCATGATTCATGAGTTCAATAAAATTAAAACTTAGAACTTAGAACTTAGAAATATTTTGTAATGAAATGAGTAGGGATGTCGAAAAAACCATCGACATATCGATATTTTATTAAATATATTGATATTTATATAGGCACAGGTCTATGAGAGTTGCATTTTGACCGTTTATTATCTTCGTTTTAAACAATTCTTTGTTCTTTTAGAAAGTAAAATATATTTCATAAATGTACAGAGATGGTAGTGGCAATATATCAAGGGAAGAACAGTTTACAGGACTCATCTCCTCATTTTCACATTTATTCTGTGTCATAAAATATTGCTGTTTTTGTATTAGTTATGTTCATGATTCGATTCAGGGCATAAAGAAACTGTTTTATTTCTAACTACATAAGCTGTTTGTTTCTTTTTCCAATTAAGGTCGATAATTATACATAGAAATTTAGATTAATACAAGATGATAATTAATTAATAATACCTAACTTTATTTATGATTTCTCAAACATTAAAATAATGTGAATGTGGTATGAAAATAACTATTACCTATTATTGAATCTGGCTGAAATAAATACATTATTTTTTAAAACGAAAATTTTACCAGTATATCGATAGTTTTTTTCGAAATATCGAGGCAGATATTTATTTTATAAATATCGNAAATACTTCTTCGATTTCGACATTCATAGTAAAGTTATTACATGACGACTGACATTTGACGTCTATAAAAAATGAATGTTTGATACTCACTTCACTAGGTCACTAGGCATATACCTTATATGCTAAAACGTAGCTGAAAACTGTGACACAGAAACACGTAATGTATTAACTATATAACTAACTGTAACGCTCCATAACCAAAACTAAGCAAAACGTTTCAGTGTTGTTGCAACTTTTTCTTCGTTATTATATCACTTAGTCACTTCTAATTTATGGTTACTATAGCAGTGAAAAGCGATGAAGCGACTATAATACCGTTAGGTTTGTTTCGGCGATCATAATTTCATACTGATTACAAACTATAAGGAGGAACATAAGATTTAGTTTTTTAATTATTTATTTTAATTAACGACTTAATAAATGACTTACAATGTTCCGCAACCAAGAGAAAAAATTCAGTGAATTTATAAATATAACATACAGTAAATTTTGCGGGATATAAATACGTATTGATAATTATTTTTCATAATAGGAATAAGATCTAGTTTTATTGTTTTATTTTGAATATCTCGGCTTCAAGTTGGGAAGAATATCAATCTCATAGTACAGAATTAAGCAGATTCACATACTGCTAACGTCTACTCCAATAACCTGATACACTACCAATCTGGTCTGATTTCCCCTGTCCACAGACAACCGAGAATCTCTGTTATTGGTGCCGAGGCTCATCTCAGCTTGATCTGTGACTACCATCCGCGAACGTTCCGACCGGAAAGAATGTTGCTGACTTGCAACATGTCATAGATATGCAGAAAAAACAGAATAGCAGACAGTACGTAGCCTTGTGAAACACCAGCATTGACAAATTTAGGATCAGTGCATGCACCATCGACGACGACCTTGATGCTCCAATCTACCAAAAAACTGGCGATCCAGTTGCACAAGTTCTCGGAAAGACCATAGGAAGGAAGCGTCAAAAGAAGCATTCAGTGCCATACCTGATCAAAGGCCTTTGCTATGTTCAGACTGGCTGCAAGCGCCTCCCCCTTGCTCTCAACTACTTCTGCCCACCTATTTGTCAGGTAAACTAGGCTGGACGTCCCCGACGAAAACCGTACTGGCGATCACTAATCAGCTGGTGCTCCTCTAGGTATTGCAGGAGCTGTCAGTTTTATTAAGAGAATCCATTATCTTGGAGAATAACGAGGTGATGGCTATACGCCTGTAGTAGGACGGTTCGGAGCGGTTGCCTTTCTCAGGGATCGGGTGCACAGTGGCCAGGATTTTGGGACTACGCCTAAGGTACAGGAATGCCGCAAAAGACGCGTCGAAACCAGTGCCAACTCTGGAGCACATGTCAGCAACACGATCGGAGGGATGCCATCGGGCCCACTCGACTTTACGGTGGTAGGGCCACGCAGCAGCCTCGGCTGTTGCACGAATGGGCAGGCTCGTCCGGTTAAGTACCACGACCTCGTGGAAGTATAATACTTTCACGTTTCGTCTGGTGAGTGAGGTGGCCGGAGCCCAATTTTCAAAAGGTTGTCAACGCATCTGGAACCCTCAGGTGTAGCAGATGTCTATGGGCGGCGGTATTCACTTAACATCAGGTGAACCGTCTGCTCCCGTGACAACTTTTCACATAAAAAAAAAATTTATGGATGTCCAACGAAAGAAGTGCTTTGAGAACTTCACTTTGCCGCAATTTAATCCCTGGCATCTTAGCATCGCACCGCGAGATTGTCGGTGGTAATTCGCCTTGGTCATCCAATTTCAAGTTAGACGCGAAGAGAGAGACCAGAACATCGGCTTTCTCCTTCACGGCATGGATTATACATGATACAGATACAGACACCCGTAGATTCGCGGTTGGTCTTCGTAGTCTACGCGAAGCCAGATGTTGGGTAGGTCCCTTTCTTGAAGAGTGTCGAGGCGAAGAGAGCAGATATCCTCTCTAACGTACACGCACAACCCAACTCACGCCACATAGGAATGTTTCGGTTTCACGTTGAGGAAAAGCAGGGCCCAAATTTCGCACTGACATTATAATGGGGGAGGAATGGGGAGTGGGCCTCAGGGACTCGCACAGACAGAAAGAAACGCAGCAGCATAGCTGCCACTTGACGTCGGTTTCCAGTGAGAGAGTGGTTCTACCCCGGGCGTGCTAGCCCAACTCATCATGTGCACATCATGGCAATAGCACTAGTTGGGTTGACTGACTTCACTGGTGGAATAATCTCTATCACAATATTATCCCACCAACGGGCGTTGGGTTAGTCACGTTATACACTCCAAAATTTATCGATATTCTTGTTTGCTAAACCCCTTTTCAAGGGGTAACGGCTAACGTCTTGTTATTTTTTTGTCGTTTGCTCGTTACACAATTAATTATGAGTTTTTGAAATTATTCGTAGTCGTTTGGAAAAAAATATGAGCCTAAAAAAGCTACATGATTGAAGTTAGTGAAGTTCGCTAAAAAGTCTAACTTCTTAACGTCTTACGTACATACATAAGAACACACATTCTTTTTTTATAATTGTTTATAAATAAAACTAATAAATTTTTGTAGTAATAATAAAAATTGTACAGTTATTTAGTTATAAAATTGTTAAATCACAATAGATTTTTGTTATCCAAGCTAAATTTGATATCGATACATATCATATATTCATGAAAAATTCGATTGAAATCAATGTTGAGGGCGTATCACTAGTGTCGGTTCGCGCGCGTTTTAATACTGTCATAAATTGTTTATCTATAGGTTAATTATTTTCACATTTATAGTGTATAAAGTAGTAGAACACATATATTTACAATGTTAAATGTTATTTACGTTACGTGTTAAAAATGATCTTTTCCATTTTTATTTAATAAACCAACTTGATTTCATTTTAAATCTGTCAAAAATTATGCGAATATTTTAAAAGCACTGGATTTTGCATAATGTCTGCACAATGTATGAAAATGAATACATAACTTCCACTCCGAAGCGATGTGCTCTTACAGAAGTAACAAATGCTAGCTATGTCTCACCTACAGCTAATCTGAAGCTGTTGACTAATGTCGCATTACAATATCCCACGCCTCCACCCAGTACAGTACATCGAAAAGAAAAATCTTTACAAATACTATGCGATAAGTAAGAAGTATATAAAATTTCATTTAAGCAGTCTTTAATTTTATTAATGCGTAATACTAAATATTTATATATATTTTTTTTATAGATTTCTTAACCTATTTCCTCTGCAATGCAGTGGTACGATGAAAATACAATTGGACAGTACTGCAGCTAGACTAGGTGTAGAGAAACGCAGAATGTATGACATTATTAATATATTAGAAGCAATGAAATATGCAGTTCATGAAAAGAAAAATACTTACCTTTGGCATGGAGAATCCGGCCTAAGTTCTTTTTTAAAACTGCTCAAGAAACAAGGGGAAAATCTACGCTTGTCCGAGGCGTTAAGGGGCAAAGCTCCTAAACCGCCTCCTCCTAAACATAAGACCCTTGGAGTATTGGCTAAAAGGTTTTTGATGCTTTTTTTAGTAGAACCACCAGTAAGTACTTATATTGTTTAATTGACACTAACATATTATATTACAAATTGGTAATGTTGAATGTGGGGTAACAATACACATGACTATGAAAATTAATTTTACTGTTATTGGCAAAGGGTACAGACCTCAAGTTACTCCATGATGAGCCCTTATCAATGAATGCCTTACTGATAGTACTTTGATATATTCCATCCTCATAAGTAACCTCATAGTTGGGTCAGATACTTCTTTGTTAGGGTTTGGTAGTTCAAGTATGATCCACACCTGTAATTTATCAGATATTCCCCATAATTTATCTTTCTGTAAAAATGTTTTAATACAGATTGAAAATAAACAATACAGCCAAATATGTGATTGAACTTTTAGCTCTTTAATTTATTGATACTAGTTGCACAGCTGACTAAAATTTCTGTAAAAAGCAACTTTTCAGTTGATTTTTCCCTAAGTAGTATTTTTTATAATAAAGAATGCAAGTTTAATTATTAGGCTCTAGAGTTACCATGATGGCAAGACAAATACTAATGATAATTAGGTATAATGTAAATGCTATATGACAATGACTTTCCAGAGAGAACACAAATGTATATCATGATACTATTTAGACTTATTATATAATAATGAAATAGTATTTAAAATATTAATATTTAGCAGTTTGTTCTTTCATAATTATTCTTTTTTTCCAGAATACTCTCATAAATTTAGAGATGGCTGTGAAAGTACTTATAGACACATCTAACAGAAATAAAACTGATCTCTCACCAGAGCAGCTTGACCGTCAACATAAATCTAAAGTGCGGAGGCTATATGATATTGCTAATGTATTTATATCAATTGGTCTCATTGAAAAAGTTTCTGGTAGTTTAATATTAAAGAAACCAGTGTTCAAATATGTAGGACGATATAAAATTAATAAAACCAATGAGGCTGCATTCTTGACTTCCTCACCAATAACACCACTTACAGCTTTAGATACTCAGCAGAAACTAACCCCATGCCATGTATATGCTGGTCGATCTAAGCGAAAATTGGAATTTACTACACCCAGTTATGAAGCTAAGCTAGGTGTCACGACCCCTCCACACACACCATCCCACAAGTGGGATGAAATTTTGCTTGTAGCTGACATGGAACTGAATAGAATTAACAAAGGATTTGTGTTGTGATGTTATTTTTTACCCATTAAATATATTATTCTTCTGTAGTTCTTTGCAAACAGATTTGATATGACATACAACAAGTACTGTAGAGTCATGCAATAAAGTGCTTGCTGTGCCTACTATTGCCAGCGTTAGTTAAGATTTTCAATGACTGTATTAAATAGTGAATGTGACTGAAAATAATTTTAGGCAAATAGATACCTTTGTCAAATATCAACACACAAGCTTAGTCTTCCTGAGATACATTATATGAATGTTAGACAATTCTATCACTTGCAATATTTATGCCTTTGTGATGTAAAATATGAAATGTTATTAAGAACAGATTTTATGTGAGTCACAGACATAGTGCAATTATTTAATATATTTATTTACAGACACATGCTAATCATTAATTTTGATTGTAATTGAAATAACTTATTAATGTAATGTAAACAACATTTACATACATCAGAAAATATTTTATTACAAGATTAAAATAACTATTGTTTGTATATGAAAATATAATGAGTTTAGTACATAAAAATTATGTAATTAATGGACTGTCATGTAGATAATACATCTTTCTGCCCTAGGGAGTCTCAGAACTGACTTAATAATAATTCAATTTACTTCCTACGTAACAGTTATATAATATTGGATAATTATGTGTGTTATGAAAGTTCTTATACCTGTTTATTTAATAAAAGTAAGAGATGTATGCATTTAAAGTATGTCCATATTTTAGGTAGATATTATGATGAATTTTATGTAAAGTCACTTGATATGTTCTATATCTTTAAGTTACTTTTATATTAAATATATTTAAAAGTACCTTTCGCATGCTTGATTTATCCACCTACACCATTACAGTAAAAAGTTTATTTGCCATAGAGAAATATAGGTTTTTTTTAATCTATCATAATATGTAAAGAACATATGCAAAGGACAAATAAAATTTTATTTCCACCTATATAAACATCAGCATAGTTGTAAGCACACAAAAAGGTTTTGATAAATGTTGCTGTATTGTGTAAAAGCTCTGCCATATAATGCAGCAACATCTATCAATATTAGTTATGTATATGTCCCACTTACTCTATGCAGAAGGCAATAGTACGTAGGTCCATATTGCGAATAGTTCTCCACACTTACATGGTTTACTTTTTGAAAATACACAGTTTTAGTAGCAAGGACATGAATTGGCGATAAAAAGTTCACTAATTCGAATAAGAGTGCATCAATTCGTTTTTATTGTTTCGAACTTCTTACATGTAAAATACACTTCCTGTCATCGGTGTCCACAGAATGGTTTTGTCATTGGTGTCCACAGAATGGTTTTGTCATCGGTGTCCACAGAAAGGTTTTGTCATTGGTGTCCACAGAATGGTTTCAGACTTAAAGTAAGCAGTCGATCAACCCTGTTATGGTTTAAAGTTTATTACCCTTCCACAACATACACAATCTAGTGTGCTCTAGTTGTAATTAGGCTTGTTTTCAATAAAGTTTATATCATAACATAAAATTTTAGGAAATTGATACCTTCAACATACTTTATGTATATACAAATATATATTGATGTGATTGCAAGCATAAAGTTACTGATTCTTAATTGTATGGTTAAATGAAACTATTTTACGGATTTTATCGCGTTTTATTTTGTATCACTTTCAGTGTTTGTGGGACAGACCGGGAATTTAAAAAGTTAAGCTTTAAAATTATATAAATATATAAGATTATAGCTCATAATAGGTTGTAGTTTAAAATTTTTAGTAAGCAATAATAATACTTGTATATTGAACAGCTATAAATATTGCAAAAGTTGCATATTATACTTTATAAAACTCCCATCATTTAAAAATAAATTAAATTATCTGTGAGCCTTTTAACTATATCAAACATAATGCATCAAGTTGTTAAACTTTAGAAGCTTGCATTGACTCACAATCTCTGTGAATGCCATGGCAGGAAAATAATCTTTTATTATACTAGGAATGTTGTATATATACAAGATTTTACAGTAGAATTAAAGTAATCTAAGTGTTTTAAGTTACATACAATTTAATTTCAATTACATTCCCATTTTCATCTCGACAATGGTCGTTGGGTAGGCGATGTGCGTCCAGGTCGTGAAAAAAAGAGGGGCAACTGGTTCTGTCAAACTTGCTCAATCATAGGAAACTGTTCGGGGTCGTCTGATGGAGGCAGCACCTCAGCGTCGAAGAAGCTCGCATGTAGAGCAACAACTGTGACTGTTGCACCTTGAATAATATAACTAGCATGAGTAAAATATCTGTTAATCTTTTCTGGATTTTTTTGTCATTATTTCTGGAATTTACTTAGAAAAAAGATTTGCACAATAGCATTCGCAATATATGTAAGGTATGCCTAATTCAAAAACTAAAAAACAACAGGCTGTGTCTCTGTGTAATTTTTTATTACCCAGTGTCACTCTCACAGAAATACGAATCTAACGTCAACTTTCAAGTTAAAATCCATCAAGCGGTTCAGGCTGCAGAGCATTCCAAACAATTATACATAACCCTCCTTCTGGCGCAGTCGGTTAAAAATGCTTAATCATTTAGTTTGTTTCTTAATAGTTTTTTTTAATCCGTATAAGAAAATTTTCATGTTTATTGGCAATGGATTCAGAAAACTATTGTGAAAAAAGAAAGGTATGGGATATCCCAGAAAATTATTAAGTGGTGATCTATCTCACTTTAAGGAAGCAAAATCTCATGCATGTATGCAATAGCAAATTATTATTATAAAGCTAAATTAAAAACCATACCTAATACCCAAAACAATACTGCTCCAGCACCAGCTAACCAACATAATACCATTGATGCACCGGCACAAATTGCATATTGTTGAGTTTTAGTAAGTTCCCAACTACCAATCTGCAATTATATAATATTATGTTGTACTATGGATTGACGAAAAACATAAATTTTAGCACAAAAACAACAATCTCATCATTCATGCCCCTTATTATTAATAACCTCTAATATCCTTTAGGTTGACATAGCTTACCTTGATCTGAAAATGTTGAGAATATTGCTTAAAAATTAAATATTAATTTCATTGTACAAAACAGGAAAAAATAACAATACCTTCCATGTGTTAGGACCGGATGTTAATTTTCTGTATCCAAAAAAGCTTGCCACTATGGCAATCAGGAGTAAGGGAGAAGTGATTCTGTAAATTTATATGAAAGGTAAGCACAATTTTTCATTACATAAAAGATAATATTTAAATGTGTGTTACTAACAGGCAGTAAGCAAAAAGCCCTAAAAATACCATTAGGTAATTGGCTTGGAAGTATTCAACATTTCGGTAGAACCGTCTGGAAAGCCTAGGGATAGACGCAGGTGCCTGTAAGAACAATACATATATACAGGTGCATTACTACCATCTTCAGGATGTGACATCTTGGAAACAAGTTAAAATAAACAACTTTTCTAAAGTATTCTATAACCATTGATCTAGAAATTTAAAACAATTGTTGAATAATTATACATATGATCATACAAACAAAACCAGTGGAATGTATATTTATTTAGATAAATGGTTAAAAACTTTCGGCGATGCGGGAATGGAACACGTGTCTTCCAGGTAATACACACAGCTATTTAAGATTAGTGGCTGATGGCCACTCAACACAACTCTATCAATCATCTTTCTACTTTATTGCATTTTTAGCAATGTTTGGTGCTCTTTCCACTTATTTTATTTAATTTTTAGCAATGTTTGGTGCAATTTAGAGTTATTTAAAGAATTAATCAATTCACTATGAATCTTTTAAAAAAGAGATTCTTTTGCTAAGTGCATATAAGTCGAGATTTTGCAATAAAGATGAATCCAAAAATATTAATTTAATATTCATACCTTGAAATTTTCAGTAGCAATGAACTGGGTCCAAGGTCTTCTGCTGGATAGCAGTCCCAATACAAGGGCAGGAGCCGCACCACTTCTCACATGTTGCAATAATCTATATGGTAAATTATGAATAAATTAAGTTTTTGTCCAAAAATAGATTTACCTATAAAAATAGTTTAAAAATAAAGGTAATAATGAGAAGGTCACTTATATACAGCGTGTCGTTACCATCGCGACAATAAATGAACACACATATAGGAGATAACTTTTTAAAGTTGTAATAAACATTTAAATTCTTTAAACATCAATATTTACAGAGTTATTAAATTTTCCAAAACAAAGAATTTTAGAACACCCTTACCTATAAAAGCGTAACGTAAAGTTCATTTGTAAAGGTCACAAAGCACATGAATGCACATGGTTGAATGAATTTAATAGACAAAACATACGGTTAGAAGGAGAGGCTTGTAATGCGACGCTGTGGCGCGTGTTGTATAGGAAGTTACAAATTTTGTTTCTTTTTTACTTAATTAGTTTGTTTGAAAAATATTTTTTTTAATTATGGATTTTGTTTGACGTTAACATTTTTTTGATTGTTAGCAAGTAGCGTTAGACGTATGTTCATTTATTGTCGCGATGGTAACGACACGCTGTAGATACATGTATATAGGAGGTTAGGGGGAATACCAATAAGGGAGGGAACTTCGTCGGAAATGCATAGTTTTTTTGTAATGATTTTTTTAAAAGGGAAATATTTGTTATTATATTTTTTATTGGGTTATTCAAATAAAAGCTTTAAAATTGGTAATTTTATACATATTTCCTTATTAGGGAGCGGAGGGGTAGAGTTATACCGCCCCCCTTTAGTTTCAGTGGGAGTCACCATTTTTTTCTTAAATTGTATCCTTACTTTTATGTCCCCATTTCTCAGCAGACAAAGAGTAGGCGAGTAAGAACCAGGACCTCTGCCTTATGGTTATGCGGGATTAGCAGCCGCTTCGCCTTTGCGCTACCAATCTGCTCCCCTCCGCACATTGAGTGATGCCTGTGCCTTTGTCACGGCATTGAGTGTTTTCGAAGATGCCAATAATATAAAAAAAATTAAACGATAGAGAAAAATAACTAATGAATTAATCAACAAGCAGAAGTCACCGGTTGCATTCAGTTTACGAGAAAAAAAAATTTAAACTTGTTATTTTCCCTAAGAATGTATGCACATTTTATTAATTTTAATAAAACTGCATACACAGTACTGCCAACATAGTAAATATATGAAGTGAGAGACTTCATTTGTTCAATTAAATTTTTTTTAAAATTAAATGAGTTGCTGATCTGACACAGAGCAATCCAACTCTTTTTGACTCTTATTTTTTTATAACCACCTATTAGCGCTAATGTCGTTAAGTGTGGTTAAGAACAACAGGCAGAAGGGGAACCGTCCCATTCTTATTATGTCTTGACATTCTTATTAGATTCTATTAAATAAATAAAATTAAAAATTGTATAATAAAAAACTATGCGTCTCCGGCGGGGGGGACAAATGGGGGGGTGACTCACCACACCCCTCACCACCCCTTCCCCCACCCACCCCCGGACCCCTATGAAGGCGACTCGTTTTAAAAATTTACCCAATATCTCCGAAGCTATTAATTTCCGACGATTGAAATTTGACATATCGTTTTCTTATATTAGTAGGAATCTATAATAAAAATAACAACATCCGAGCGCAATTCACAGATAAAGTGACTAGCCTAATAATGTAAGAATTTCTATATATTATTTCTCAAAGGTGTTTTTTCGTCAGAATGCCGCTGCTTCCATAATTCTTCATCAAACTCAAAACTCCAAACACCATTTTAAAGCTTATGTTTGCCGTCTATTGACCAAAAATAGACAAGAGAAATAAAGTTTATGTTTTCATTAAAAAAAAGCTCGATTAAAAACTTAATAATAATACCATCTACTGACAATCTGTTTACCATTCTTCAAAATAAGATAAGAAAACCTTTTGATGATCTTACACAGTGCGAAAATTTCGCACAGATCAACTAGTAAGTAATAATTTTGTAACCTAGGCACGAATACGTCAAATATATTATTGTTTGATTAAGTAAATAAAATTGGGCGGAATATGGATAATGATTGTTTTTTTAAAGGATATAGTACATAAATCGAAACAATGAGAAATGAAAATGCTATTAGCAAGTCATATATGAAATGCCCATTTCATTTTGTTAGTATAACTTACAATTCCACTTCAGTCACATACTTTTGAAAACCTTTTTTTTCAGTGGTAGAGGCATTAATTTCTCCCGAAAGATCAATATTCACGTTATCTGCCATTTTCTACAGTTTATCGATCGCAATCACAGAACACTAATACTCTGACGAGCAATTATGGTCGCAATTAACAGTATAAACCCGCTGAGTTGCGTTATAGGATATTCACATCACAACATTCAACGTTTACATTTACAATATCAAATGACATAATGAGTTAATGACAACAAAGCTATAGATGGTGCGTATTTACCTTACCAGGTATTGATACCAGGTATTTCCTTGCAAGTATACTAGCCCTTCAAAGTAAGTATTACTACGTCAATTGAACTCGAACGTCCAACGAATCGAATCACGAATGCATTTTTCTCGGAACTCGTCTCCCTCGTCGTTCGATGCTATTCGGCTGGGCTCGGGGCGTGCAATGGCGAAGCAATGTATATCGGTCTCACCTGGGTATCTCTCTCACCTGATTAGATAACTTATGGTCATGCACATAAGGTTCAGATTGTGCTTATATGTGAAATAAAATACTTTCAAAGTATTTTACGTCTTGATTGGAATATTTTGAATCTTATTTGTATAGCAACAAGGTTTAAACTTGCAACAAGTATTCGACTCGTTGCGTTGGACAGAACATACTTTGAAAGTATTTTGATACTTGGTTTGTGTACCTGGTATGAGAAGGTGGACGTACTTTTAAAACCTGGTACGTGATTTAGCAAGTATAACCCATCCCTAGAGCAATCATTAACACTGACGGCTCAGGGCTGCATTTAGGTAAGTACGATAAAAAAGATAGTACACAAGGTAGTATTGTTAGGCTTATTAGATAGTATGTAATTTTACATAGATTTAATCTTGTAAATATTAGATAAATGATTATTTTTATAATTGAATAAAAAACGTACAAAAAAAATCACAAAACATCAAACCTAGCATCACTTTGCATTTTTGAAGCACAATAAATGATTTATTTTGTATAATAACTCGTAGGCTTGTAGAATAGCATGGCCATATAAGAATAATAAAGTATTTCAGAAACGGCCACCACTTTTTTGACATGAGAGTTGTCTCCACGAACTTAACTACGTAATATTTAAGTATCTAGTACAATTATACATTGATACCATAAGAGCGTTGATGTGGTTAATAAATCGGTGCTTTTAGAAAGATTCTTACAGCAATGCGCAAACTTTCACAATCTAATTTTCAATTAAAGACTTCAATTCAGTGTTGTGACGAGTTGGATTTTTTTTGACTCGAGTTACTCGAGTTGATTTGGCTACTGACTCGAATCGCAACTCGAGTTGACTTGCATCGAAGTCTCAGGTAGGGACATAGGGGGGGGGGGACGACTCGGCCAACTCGGAGAGCACGAGTCAGATCGACTCGAGGCTAATTAGGTAGGAAGTAATAATGATGTTGAATCGTGATGTTATGTGGCTACTCGAGTCGATTCACAACTTCGATTGTGGTCTGAACTAGAAGTGGGCGATACATATCGTATCAGATATGAAAACTAGATATTAGTACAATATCCCAATATCGCTTACTGGCTCGTTCAATATCTATGTATTTTACAATATCTGATATTTCCGAAATCTGATGTACCGTGCTCACTCGCTATACCGACACGAATCGCGATATCATACGCGTTTGCCACAATATCTGATTTTTAAACAGATTTCGAGAGACAAAGCGCGTGAGATACAAATACTCATATAATCAGATATTATGAATAAGTTAAGTAATTTTGAATCTTAACACCATGCAAATAAGATCCGTTTTAATTAAATACTAATCATGGTATCAAAGATTACTACAACGATATTATTATATATATTGTTTTATTTAGCCTTGAGCCGTAACGGGCGACAAAGCGCGCAGTTAAGTAATTTTGAATCTTAACAGCATGGAAAAAAATCTCTGTTGCAAATACGAATTACGGTATTAACGATGTCTTTAAATTTTGTTTAATCTTGAGCTGGATTGCATTGGTACCAAGCACGTAATAGTAAGGGATACCAACTTACTACTTAAGAATTTTCTGCCTAAATTAAGGAAGAAAAATATAAATGGAAATTTTTTAGGAGGTAAATTTTTTGTGAATATTTTTATTAGTTAAATTTTATTCATATTTTTGGAAAAAAATAAAAGTACACAAAAAGAAAAATATAATTTAATAGTGCTGTGCTACTTGGGTGGAAATCAGACCAAGGCTTATGTGCTTTGTGTGTATATTTTAAATTCTTCCGCCCTAAGTTATAATACTGAATGTATTATTTCTTACACAAATTATAAAGATATTGTCACTCATGATTGCGTGTTTTAAAAATATGTTAAACTCAATTATTAAGCGGTATATAAGATGTTAAAATAAATCATTTTTATATTACTTCAATTTCTATTTTTAATGAAATTTTTAATTTTATCAGGTAATGTTTTAATTTTACCTTTTAGTATAGACAAAATCGTGATTTTAAATTCGAACAAGTTTTTTGAATTTAAAGTCAAGAGCTTAGTGGGTTTTCGAATTTATTTGAAGTATTCTTTTAACAGTTGGTATCACTGGTACATAATTATGTAAGCTAGAATGATCGTCAAACAAGACTTTCGACTATTAATGTAAAACAGCTTACGTTCGTAAACGTGAATTTTAAATACCCCTGGAGGAATTTAAATAATAAGTAACCCACACATCCTAATTGTAAAAAGTATGAGTTAAGTTTTAAATCATCAGGAAATTACTACATAAATGAATCAATTTTTTTTTTTTTTTTTTTTTTTTTTTTAAAGTGGATACGGGACCCTAAAATATCTAGATATTAAAATACATAGTTTCGAAATCTGATATTTGAAATCGAAATCTGATTCAGATACGGTACTCAAAAAAAGCGATACGACCCATCTCTATCTGAACTAATCCTCTCCTTTTTATACACCTCGACCTCGAACAGTGTCCGACGGTTGGGATTTCAAAGACAAAATTTATAATCAATTAGTACTAGTGTGCATTTTATTTCGAAAATCAATCAACAAAGGTGTATATTATTCCAGCGCAGATCTCAACATAGTGCTTAAGAAAATACGACAAAAAAATACCGCCATCTATCGCCTCAAAGTCGTACTTATAAAATGTAATTGTACATAGTCGATTGCTTATCGAAAATAAAGTTAAAAAAAGTTTCTGTTTTATAGCAAAGAATTCCCACGCCACACTTCTGTTATTTGACGTCGTTACAAACAAAACAAAACAGATCACTAACAAATCAAAAATGTCAGTTCGCACGCGGATCGCCTACGGCCAACTAATAAAATCAAATAATAAAATGTCAACCAAAAAACAAAATAAACTTTTACAGCGGTTTTTCATTTGCGCAATTCCGTTTCCGATCCTAGCCGAACGAGCCCGACTCAACCCGAGTTCTATTCGAGTTGATGCGAGTAAGATGCAATACCATACGAACGGCGCGCGCGCGTGAAACGTAACTTTACATTTCACTCAACTCGAGTTGATGCGAGTTGCAACAACTAACGAACCGCGCGCGCGAGCCGCGTGTGTAACTCGGAACAACTCGTGAGGCCGCCGCTTAGAACGTCCGGCTTGCGTTCGGACGACCGAGTTGATTCGAGTTGCTTAAAACTGAACTCGAGTTGACTCGTTTAAGGTTTGACTCGAGTTACTCGAGTCAAACAACTCGAGTCGCACATCGCTACTTCAATTTAATTTTATTAAACCGTAAAGTCCATAATACGGTGCTTATAAGGTGAACAAACCAATTCAATAGAAATCACTTTAATCTAAAGATTCGAATAAGATGTACTTATACTCTTTGCACCAAAGAGCATCTCACTGTTTTGTTTTGTGATCTAAATTGTGGTTAGAATATTGTTAAAGTGATTATTTATGCCTCGTTTGAAATTACTTAGTCGAGACCGATGTACATAAATTGGCCAACGGCAGAATCTATATCATAAAATAAATTAGCCTTTTGACTTAAAACAAATGTTAAATTTAACCGTCTCTAAAAATATACATAATGCTACCGTTTTTAAGTATATTATTTGATGGGATAATATAATTATAATAAGTGTATTAAAAATTAAATAATTTTTTCGTGCTATAACCGGATGATGGTTCATCATTTATCGATGGATTCGCGTATAACCGGAAAGGAAATGTTTGCGTCATGTCATGGCTGGCATGAAGCTAAATCTTGATTACTTTTCTTGCAAAAGAGAGTTTGATTTTCTTTGCAAGTAGTGATTCCCGTCACTTTTATTTACATTTGAAACCAGTGCGATGATTTAAAAATGATGTGGTGTTTTAAATGTAAAGTATGATTCTTTTTTAAAATTAGGACTGGGATTTCATAATGAACGACGGAGATTGGATTTGTAGCGATCCAAATTGTGGAAATATCAATTTCGCACGTCGAGTCTCATGTTATCGATGCAACAAAGAAAGACCTGATGGAGGCAAAACTTCTAAAAAGAAGCTTGGTACAGAGATCGGTAAATCTGCAGCTGAGAAATCTCGTGGTTTGTTTAACGCCGATGATTGGCAATGTAATAAATGCGCGAATGTCAACTGGGCCCGGCGACAAACGTGCAATGTTTGTAACGCTCCAAAATTCGGCGAAGTACGCTGCTTTGTGTAATTTAATTATAATGATATGACATTGACTTTTTGGACTTATATTTAAACAAACATTTTGTATTGTAGGTAGAAGCTCGTACCGGTTACGGCGGAGGTTACAATGAACGCGGTGTTGTGGAGTACCGGCGTCGTGAGCCATCTTCTGACGACGAATATGACGAGTTTGGAAGAAAGAAACGCAAGCGCAAGTCAGATACGCAAGACAAAGTAAGTTTATTTTATTTTATTAAATTTATTAACACTAGCTAAAATATTTTTATAAAAAATGCTTGTTAAATCAAGCATTATACAAGATTTAGCGCTACTCCTTTTAAGTTATTCCTCATAACTTAAAGTTGCACTTGAAGCACAGATCTATTTAAGGTTGCAGGGGTTATTTTGAGTATACATTTCAAAGTCAAGGAAATAGTGGATTTTGAAGCTAAGAAGAATTGATGTTAAGTTCTAAATGTGTGAAATATTTTTGAAGCACATCATTATTAAAGTGGAGATAATTTTTCCTGCCTTCAGGTTGGCATCACTGAAGGACCAGTTAACAAAAAGTTGCCACCCACTGTGCTGCAGAAGGAAATAAAGATGGATAATGTAATGCAAGTGCCAGCTTCAAATATGTCCTTACATCAAAGTAGAGGAAGAGATAAAGTTAATGGCAGCTTGAGTGATAGTTCTGTTTGTGATCTCCCTCCACTTACTAAGGTTTCATTTCGCAGAAACCAAATTCAAAACCAAACTAACTACCACAGACAGGATCACATGTTGCCAAGTTTCAAGACTAATGGATCACGGAAAAGATTTTCAAGTGTTGGTGATAGGGATCAAACAGGATCATCTGGATATGAGACTGGCTCAAAGAAAATTAATGAGTCACCAGTTATCAAAACATACAATCCAGTTATGGAAAATAGAGTGTCTTCTACAAACAATGATGTTATTTATAAGTTTACAGGTACTACTCCAGCAGAAGACTTCCAGGTTACATATACTATTGAAGAAAGAGTTAAAGCTGCGGCATTTGCTATTGTTTACAACAACTGTAAAATAAGTACAACAAAATTTGAGTCCCTGTATGATAAACCTGCTCCAGATTTCAAAACAATTTTTGCTTGGCGGCAACGCCTATTATTAACAGGCTGCTTGGTGGATTCTCATGTAGAGACAAGTAAAAATGACAGTCATAATGAAAAATTGGCTAGTCAAAGTCCGAATTTACCAAATGAGGGTACTTTAAGAAAAAATAATGTTCAGATGCTGCCAAATCCAGATGAAATTCCAATTATAAGTGACAGTGATGAAGAGGGTGCGAAAAATTCGGAAGCAAATAAGTCATTGCCTAATTTGCGGCAAAGAAGTTTAAGTGCTGAAACTTTGCTTCTTGGTGGTATTGATGGTAATATTAGAGCTGGTGGTTCAATAAGTACTGAAGAAAGGGAATCACAGGCCAGAAGTCATTCTACTTCCACTCGGCATAGAACCCGATCTAGTTCGCGTGACAGTCAAGATTCTAATTATCCTGATACAGATTCTGAAAATATGGGACCTAAAAGTACAAAATCACGACCAAGAAAAACTAAAACTGTGAGGTCATCTATTCGTGACTCTGACTCAGATTCAGTGTCTTATAACAGTGATGATGGTGACTTTCTGTCTAGAGTATTTGAAGATGGGAGGAAAATCAGACGTAAACCTAAGAGAGGGTCAACACCTATTGCAAAATTGAGTAATTATGTACCGAACGAAATTAGCAATAGTTTCCCAGGATATAGTACAGTTAAGCCGTCAGAGCAGTCCCCATTAGTTAGTGGAAATATTTATACAACTAATTTGCATAATATGAATGTAAAAGTACAAGAGAGCATTGTTTTAGATACTGATGGCTGTTCAAGTGAATATGTGCCAACCAGATTGGGCTCTACAGCTAAAAGAAATTATCAAGTATTCAGGGATAATGTTAAAAAGAAAGGTTACTGGGCAAAAGGAAATGGTACATCTATAGGAACAAACAAATCTACAGTAACTTCAGTTTCACTTCATACAACAAGGAATACACAAAAACCTGCAACGGACACATATTTTACAGAAACACTTGGTTATGTAACAGCACCAATGGTAAATCGTTCAGAAGACTTCACAAAAGATGAATTTGATAATTTTTTGTCTGTTAACCACTATACATCATTTGATAAACCAACAAAACCCACTTCTAGAATAGAAAATACTGTTGAAAATACTTCAAGAGTTTTCGATGTAGTCCAATCCAATTCAGCCTCAAAAAATCGAAGTATAATGGACATATTTAATCCTAGTGATATAGTAAATCATAGTCCTGAAAGAGACAATGATTTGGAGAAATATGCTAATGCTCACAAGATATACGAAACTGAATGGGACGATGATGATGATGCCCTCTATAAAAATACTGATTCTATTGAAACATCTTTTAGACAAACCCCATCACCCCCAAGTATTGTTTCTATTGCAGCTCAAAGCCCAATGTCTAAAATGTTGTATAATGCAGAATCAGATACATTGCAGTCTGGAAGTAAAATAAATAAAGTTAGCATTGACTTCATCAAGGATAAGCGTGGTATGTTGTTGGATTTATTGAAAGAGTTTCAAAAAGGTAATGAAGTAAATAATTGTGAAAATAATATAAATGTACAGACATCCTTTATAGAACAAAGCAAATCAATTAAAGAGCCTAAAAATATTTATGAGCAATCATTAAACAGTCAAAATCATGTGAAAATATTACAAACAGAAAACTCAACACCAAAAGTATTGTCAAAGGAACTAGTAAACCCATCAATTGAAGTAGCAATTACAGCACAAAGACAAGAATTCACCAAAATAATAAGCCCAGCAAAGCGTGTACAAGTGCTTGAAACAATTACAATTCACCCAAACAACAATGAAAACTTTGCACCTATTTTACCACAGAGTCCACTGTCAAACAATTCTAATAAGCAGCAAATGCTCAATGACAGTAGTGGTGCACTCACAAAACCTACTCCAGATCCTCATGTGTTGTGTAAGAGTCCAAATTTACCAGAACAAACTGTTTCGAAAATTGGTGAAATGAACCTATCAAGCTTGTTATCTGGTATAAATACTAATTCCCTACTGCTTGCACTTCAGAATTTGCAGCAATTACAAGCAAACAATAATGCAGATAGTAGTAAACAAGATGATAATATTGGTGCAGAGCTAAAAAATATATGCGATAATGATGTACAGCATGTGGAAACAATTAATTTAACTAATGACGAAGATTGGGAAAAAGAGTCAAATAGGGATGGGAGCATTGAAAGGCAATTAGAAAAATTAGATGGTAGTACAGGTGATACACCTTTTTTAAGTGACATTTTTGATCCTGGCCCAGTTGTTATGCCAAGTAATGTAGCCAAGAAGTTAAACATTAATTTAAAATTACCTGAAGAAAGTAAAAATCAGGAGCAAACACCTCATGTTAATGAAAATGCCCCAGTCATTGGTAACTTTAAGAGTTTTGCCCTACCTAAACCCATATTATTAAATAGACTTAAACTAGCTGTAAAACCTTCTGAGAAATATTTAAAAAAATCTGGTGAGGGCAAGAAAAGAAAGAGAAAAAAACAGGTTTGTATTTAAACATCTTATTTTGTTCTTAATTTAACAATGTACATTTATTAAGTATGTTTTGCTTCAGGGTAAAGCTGGTGCATCACATGATGAAGAGGGTGCAGAAGACGAGGACGAAGAGGAATCTGGTGATGAGGCAGACCTTTCTAAGTATGATCTGTGGGGCAGTGATGGGGAACAGGGAAACTCTTCAAATTTGGGTTAGCATGAAGTAGTTCAATAGTCATTTCATGATACACCACTATTATTATATTTATAGAATAAGCTATGATATCTTAGTGTCTGGGTAAGCAATATTCTCACATTGGTGAAGGAAAATATTTTGAGGAACCCTGCATATTTTTGAAATAATACTAAAAAATACTTCGAAGTAATGTGATGTTTGACAATCCACTAACAGAACTATTGGCTTTAGATACAGTTTGACTATTATTTCTTTTCATATAGGTTTTACAATGTTTATCTTACAGTGTTATTTATTCTTTAAAATGTACTTTAAATAAATTTTAATATGATAATAAATAAAAAATAAAACATTTTTTTCCACCCTAGTTCCAGAAGATTCGGAGAAGTCCAAAGAGAACGCAAATTCAAAAGAAGCGGAGAGTTCAGAACAGACAGTGAAAAATGGAAAATCTAGTACACCTGACACAAAGACCAGCAGTAGTAGTAGTAAGAGACGGTATGTATTTGATTTAATTAAAAAAATGTTATTCAGTTATAATAGTGGTATGTTTTGTCATTCATGTTTCTATCATGGCTCGACCACCATAAATATAATTTTTTTTTATGGGCAAAAATCGGCTCAATTTTTGTATGATGTAAAAATAAATTTATTATAATTTTCGTATTATTTTTGTTAACAATAACCAATATGAATCATCATTTATTAATTAATGCTTATGGTTCGCGTTGAAGGAAAATATAGGGCGAAGGGACAAGTGGACTATCTGAACAAACTAATACCAAAAATATATTGAGTTGTTTGCTCTCTGTTTGGGGTAGGCCTTTGTGTATATATTATTTTTTATTTTTAATTTCAATTTTATTACATTTCAGATCTTGCAGTTCCTCATCATCATCAAGCTCCACTTCAAGTTCCAGTTCTAGTCACAGTTCGACACAGGCGCCTAAAAATAAGTATGATAATTACTTTTGTTTTTATTGCACTGAAATTTCAGCTTATCTAGTTGTTATAGGACAAATAATAATAATAATAAAATGATTTATTTAATACCAAAACTAAAATATTTAAATTTAATGATAACAATTTTTCTGAAAAATATTGAACCATGCTTTATTGTGGATCGCTGGTGTCAACAGTAGGTATTAAAATAATAAATAAATATTTAGGACACATTTTTTACACAATATTCTCTAGTCCCAAACTAAGCAACGCTTGTACTATGAGTTCTAGATAATTAAACATACTTTTCTTTTGTAAATAAACACATATTATACATTTATATAAACATCTCGACACTAGAAAAATACTATGTTCATCACTCAATATTTTTCCAGTAGTGGGGATCGAACCTACACCCTCTGGCGCAGGAGGCGGGTACACTACCCACTATGCCATTCGTCGTGTAAAACCCATAAAACATAGTTCACCAGGTCAACATCGTTTGGATGCTTGTAATACACAATTAAATATTATATTGTATTGTATTATTAATGAAAAGAAATTATCACACAAAATTCAATCTAAACACACAAATTTAATAAAAAACTAACATTCTACTAACACTAAAACTAACTATGTAATGCGCGCCCTCATGCGTGTGACGATAATTTGTGTGTGTGTGTGTGTGTACGTGTGCGTGTGTTTAGAGTTAATTTTTAAAACAATTACATCCTAACTTCCAACAGTAAAGACTGTTGCCATATCTGCCCCATCAAACAATAGAACAGACTACATCGGTAGCCCCTTGTAGTAAAAAGCTGAACCGAGGCCACAACAATTCAGCCAGTAACAAAGATGACTCCGTGGCGCAGTTGCCAAGGTATTGGCTTCGGCGCCGGGGGTCGTGGGTTTGATTCCAACACAGAACACCTATTTGTGTGACCCACAGATAGTTGTTTCGCATCTGGATGTTTGTCCTGGATGTAAAACGTCCTCACAACACAGGACAATGTTATCCTAAGGTGAGGGCAATGTATGTTTCTAATAAAACACCATCAAAAAAAAAAAAATACGAGCTCCGTTGCCATTGCAGACGTCTGATACCCGGTGTATCAGCCCGTTCGAACATTTACGACCGGCTCGTTTAACAGATTCGACGACTTCAACTTGAACAGTGAGCGCGAGGTGTCGCCCAAGCGGCGCAAGTCGAGGTCCCGGTCGCGCTCACCGCGGCCCCGGTCCGCCGCATCCGGCGCGAGGCGCAAGTCGAGGGACAGCAGATCTGCAGGCGAGTCGAGGTGGGTTTAATCACGCAACCTGACAGTCTCACCACTCGCCAGTGTGTGCCTGCTACTGAGCTGTTGATGCCCTCATTAACCCGCTTAAGGCCCCCTTACCATAGCAAACGCTTGGTAGTGAATCCGCAAGATTCATGATATAACCTTGGATCCTTTCCTTGGATCGTTTTTCGCGCTCGTCCTAAAGTACTTGCTCTTGCACGGTTCCATGTACCTCGAGACTCGTGTAAACCACTGTGGGAAAGTTCGAAAAAAAAGGAAAAGGAAAGACCAAACATTGAGGATAACTTTAAATTAAACAAAAAGCTGGACTATAATGTATACAGTATCTCACTACCACAACTGAAATGTATGTAAGCTTAGGCTGTAGACCATACAAACGAATTAGACATACATACAAATGTTCGAAAAACATTACTCACTTTCAGTCTGGTAAAAAGTACATTTAATTACAGACATGGCGACCAATATAGAAAATATCTGAAAAAATCAGGAAGCGTCTAAGATGGGGCATGACAGTCACGGCATACGTTTTCATTTTTTGCACTGCCATAACGGTATCACTTTTTTTGTATTCAGGGGCCACGAATCGTCCCGTGACAAAGAATGGACCAGGGATCGAGACCGCAGGGACAGATCGCGAGGCAGTCGTGACGACAGAAAGGAACGTCGCTACAGTCGCGACGGGCCGAGCAACCACTACGGTGCACGAGGAAGACACCGCTAGACATTAGTTGTGAAGCTTAGAATAACATTTGTATATTAAATCTTACTTCACCTGAATTTTTTACACCTTTAATTGGACTCGAGCTGTAAATTTGATATCACTGATATAAATAATTTTATATAATTTACAGATCTTTCTTAATAACAGATGTTTTAAGTGATTTGTTGGATATAATAATTAAATTTGTTATTTGATAATCAGAGCCTTCCGCAGAACTAAACTTTATCGAATTTAAAATGCTTTCTGCACATCAAGACTAACAAACAAAGTTCCCGCATTTATCCTTTCTGCTTGAAAAAATATCATTTCAATTTAAGTTTAAGTTTTTTCTTTTTTTTTTTCTTCAAATATCCTGACATAATGTTGCTGTTGATTTCAACAACTGTATAGCTTGAATATGGCAATCTGTTAGGTAGTTATTGTCATAGGAACAAGCATATGATTTACACTTTTCCCTTGTGTGGACTTATGCTGAAGCAGCATTAAAATGCGAAAGGCGAATGTTAGTAATTTTCTTATGCTCTATGTTTCTGTATGGTTGGTATGTTTTATTAAGTATGGTTTGTTGAGATGTAGCTAACATTTTTAAAATTGTTTTTACATAAATTTTAGTTCCAATTATAGCCTGGTTGCACAATCATATTTGTAAGGTAAAAGAAAAGCGTAGTTTGTTGTAAAAATTGCGAGTAAATGTTTAAATTTCTATTAATAAACATTAAATATAAGCATTTTGTTCCTGTACATAAATAATGTTGCATGAAATTAAGCCTTAGATCTAAGTAGATCATAGTAGTATATATAAATTGCATTATACTACAATACTCAAATGAGTATTGTAGTATAATGCAATTTATGTACAGAAACACTATTCATTGATGACATTTCACAAAATACACAAACATGTTTTTATCACACAACTTTTCTATTACTTTTCTATAGTGCATCATGCATTTAAATGTTATACTTGGGAAAATAAAATCTCTGCAAAATGCGCAAGACCTTTCAGCATATAATTATTTTGTAAATATTAGATTATTATTATGGCTTAATGTGTTCTATGGATGTGGTTTATTTTTCTTTTCCTCATCAAAGTACTTGAATGTAAAAGACGATTTTGTTATTTGTTTAGTCTTAAAAAGTCTAAGTGATACTTATTGTGTAAGGTAAAACTGTATGGTAATTGATTTACCAATAAAATCGAATGAAAAAACAAAAGCATGTGTTTAATTGGGCATATATGGATCTATAATAAAACTGTAGTTTAATATAAAGTTTCAAAACATAAACTCTCACAAATCAAAGAATTACAATTTGATTACATATTTACCCTCAAGAATTCAATAAATTAGCGTCTATATAAAACATAAATTTAAAAAGCTTAATTGTAATAAAATATAAAATGGGAGAATTTATTATTAAGAGTTATTTAAAATTAACAAATGGAAAATTCGAAAATAAAAATAAAAAAACATTCACTCATTCATTGCTTACTCATTTCTAATATTCTATTGGTTTTGTTGCAGTCGTCTTACCATCTTCCAAGCACCGGCATTCCTATAAAAAATACAGTAATGAGAAATAAATTGATAAAATTATAACAAAATTTTTTTAAGCGGCGTAAATATCGATTATATAAATACCGACATTTAGCCAAAATTTTTCGCTATCTGAATTGATCAGAATGATCGGAATGATCAATTCAGTTTAACCATCCTTTTGGCAACTCAAATTACATTTGAAATTGAAAAGCCATTTGACAGCTGATTAGTTAACTTCTACGAAGATCAGTGTTTTAGAAATCTGGCGTTAGTACAGCAATAATCGTGTATCAATTAATTGCACATGCGCGCACATGCGCGGCCCTACCCACAGCGGAGGACCCAAACCCGTGGGTTCTGGCTAGCCCACCGGTTCTGCGTCAGATGAAGCCTTAATAGTCTCGGGACTGAAAGCAAAAACATCAGTTAATACTAGATTACGGTTAAGATACAAGAAGTATCAATTAATACTTACTGCGTTTACGATGCTCGTTCTCTTTTCCGGCAATTTCGCATAATCACCTTTTTTGGTTGGCAATTTAATAGTACAAGCAGTTTCAACAGCCCCACCTTGAAAAATTATGGAATAAGTTATACTTAGATGTTAAATCAACATAAAAACAATATTCCATAATATCAAAATATGCTTCAACGAATAGTATATGTACTACTAAAAAACAATAATACTTTTAAGATTAATAAAAGTGATTAATTAAGTAAAATTTTAAAGACCATAATACGTTTTCTGTAATATGTATTAAAGAAAACGTAATAATATATATCTAATATCCCTCAATATTTGAAGACAAAAAATCTTCAATCAATGTGTTGCCAGGGATGGTCTTCGGAACCGAGACGTGGTCCTTCAGTGCTGGCCGTATGAGGAAGCCCAAAGTCGCTCAGCGAGCTATGGAGTGGGCTATGCTCGGTATTTCTCTGCGTGATAGATACAACCGACATAGCTCAGAAGATTAGTAAGCTGAAGTGGCGATGGGCCGGCCATATAGCTCGTAGAACCAATAACTGTTGGGGAAGAAAGTTTCTCGAGTGGCAGTCTCGTACTAGCCATCACAGTGTAGGATGACTAGATGGAGTGACGACCTGTGCTAATGTGCGGGAAGTCGATGGATGCAGGTGGCTCAGGATCGTATGTCGTGGCATTCTATGGGGGAGGCCTATGTTCAGCAGTGGACGAAGAAATGATAATGATGAATATGTATTAAACTTGGGGTCGAAGTTGGTTGGAATCATTTTTGAAGAAAACTTATCGTGGCTGTTCGTTTTAGTGCATCGTGCTTATTTTAACATTATTTAAGTTTCATACCCGTGTCGGTGCCTTCAGATGGGCTAATTTTGTACATCTGAAAGTATTAAAAAATAGGTTAAACTTGCAATGTATACATACTTAAAAACGAAGAATATTTCAAGATTGCTTGTGACCGTTATGCTATAGACATTAATTCTAAAAGTATGTTAAAATTGAAGTTTACTATAAAGGGTATTACTATACATAAAACTAGCGACACGCCCCGGCTTCGCACGGGTGCAATGCTAAATGTTTGTTTTCGACATCTCGCATTAAAAAAGCCATAGTTCGTTATCGTTAATAATTATTGTTAATATATACTAATAGTAGTATTTACTAATTAGTACGTAGTGTATTCACAAGTAAATAAACGGAATAAATTGTAAAATAGTATGTAATAAAAAATAAGTATATACATAGATTTCTCGGCTATAGATAATTATTTGTTTTCAATGATTTTTATGAAGTTTCTTAGGTATCCCAGCCTAAAGTTTCGAATCGGTAACTCAAAATCCTGGGGTCGGCATGGCCCACCCGACCGCCTGCTATATACGCCTATGCTCTTGAATCACTATCTATTAAAGAAAACCGCACCAAGATCCGGTGCGTATTTGAAAGATCTAAGCATATATAGGGACAGACAGACAGCGCGTACGACTTTGTTTGAAACTGTGTGATTATGGTATTTAATATTATGTATATGTAAATGTATACCCGTCCGTCCTCGCCGGTCGTATATCCAGACGACAGAGGTAACACGTCAGGGCCCCACTGTTTGATGAAATGTCCTAAACGCGCCACGCGTTGCGCCGGTGTCGTCATTGTGTGGGAGCCACCGCAGTAACGGTTACACAAATGTTTATCAGTTTCAGACCTTTAAGCAATAAAATCACATATATATATATATATATATATATATATATATATATATATATATATATATATATATATATATATATGTAGCCGTGATAGCACAGTGTCTCGGTGAAGGAAAACATCGTGAGGAAACCTGCATATTTTCGAAATAAAAATAAAAAAAAAATTCGAACATATGTGATGTCCGCCAATCTGCAGTGGGGCCACGTGGTGGAGTATGCCCTGATACCCTCTGTACAGATGAGGCCTTTGCCCAGTTGTGGGACATGTATAGGCTGATACTTTACTTTATAATTATAAACATACATTACCATTAAACTGTGCTAGGGTAACGCAACAGTCTTCTCTGTTGCATGAAGGGGTAGGTCCGTACCGGTAAGTACCACGACCTCACAGAAGACCGGCGTGAAGTGGAAGTGTGTTACTTCTGCGTTTCGTCTGGTGAGTGTGGTAGCCGGGGCCCACTTTATTTAAAGGTAGCAAAGCATTTGAAACCCTATGAGTGTTGCAATTGTCCATGGTCGGCGGTTATCACTTAACATCAGGTGAAACGCCAGTTCGTTTGCCTCCTCACATAAAAAAACATGTAATGCCTTAAAATGGTTTCATTCTAATATTTAAACATTTTAATTTTATTAAAATATAATTCTTTTTATTATTGACCATTGCAATGTAGTGGAAAAGGTGAAAAAGTAAATTATGAAATGCTTTCGCAATAGTGAAAATGTAATTTACTAACCGAACTTTTTGTTGCGTTTTCGATGGCTGCGCTTGTTTATCGATATGCTCCCAATCATGCAGATTTCTTTGAGGGATATTGCTCGCCTGAGTTTTTCGGATTGTATCTGGAGATGTATGGAGAAAGACACTGTTGATATTATATTTTTACATGATGAAATTACTTGATTCTTTTAGATATAAAAAATATCGAATGCATATCATAGAAAATGAACAATCTATTAGAATAATCTAATCATACTACAGACTGTTACTATTTACGGATTTTCTTCCTTTCATTTCACTTTAAACTCCCGTCTGCCCCTTTGCCATATATGCTGTAAAGTGTGTTACAGCTCTTGTTGTTTGAGTGCCGACGTAAGTTAAGTAATACTATGCTGAAATGTTCTTTCAAAGAAGATTATCAACACAACACCAACTACGCCGGGATATCTATGGGGGCTGATCACTGAACATCTCGTTTGCCATCTATATAAATCTCTGATAAAAATCTCGTTTCATAAATAAAAAAGTTATTTTATCACTAGCTGTACCCGCGGCGTCTGTGTTACTTATTATATTAACAACTACAACGATTGCCCCACATCTCTACGGCAAGGAAGCACATATCACTGAACACGTAGTACCTACTAAGAAATAAAGTGTCTAAGAATTAAAACAGTCGAATTAATTTAAATATATACAGTAGGTTTTTCGTAATTCGGGCGTAGCGGCAGATATGCATATATATATATTATAGAACTAATACTTGTACCTGGGAAAAATATAATTATAGTAGCATTACAACAGAACATAAGTAGGTATTTGAATTAGTAATTGTAAAAGTAAGGGTCATGAATAAATAAAGGATTTAAGCAAATGATTCATTTGCTTAAATCGTTTATTTACGTAGTTACATTATTCACTTTGTTGCATCTCACGAAAGTGCTTGGAAATGGATATGCTTCTTCCACGTGATTTGTGAATAATTAATTACAAGTTAAGTCGGAGTATGGACTGAAGTTCGCAGTAACAATGGCGAATTAGGTCACAGAATCTCATGTTGTTTCGAACAAAGAAACTTAATTCCGAGGATTGCGCAAACATTTCATGCTACATTGAATAGTGTAGTTGGATTATACATAAAGTTGAGCATATAAGTGAAAAGTTTAAAAATAATCGGTAAAGAACAATTGTCCTAGGTGTGTTATGTATTATAGCAGGTTATTAAAGAATTAGTGATTTTTCACAGTTGTCTGAGATCATAAATAACTTTTGCTTTAACACTTTATTGTGTAAGAGATCGCGTCGTGTCGTAGAGAGACAAAGACGCGAGTGCGTGCCTGAATCTCTCACACCGGACGAAACCGATATGCGTTTTCATAATGACATTAACAATTCCTGTATAATTCCGCACGCACCATGTTAGCAGGCAAGTTGAAAAAATCACCGTGATCTAATTATGTATACGATGCCCGAGAGTTGTAGTCTATAATTAACCTTCACGGACACAGGAATCCGTGAAACGCTATTATTGAAAGTAAATAACTAAGACGTTTCAATAACTAACTTGTCTGTTATCTAATTAAAACGCAAAGTGGTGACGGCTTTGAGTTCTCGATACATGAATTCGGCTGCTACATGGGACAAGTTTGTATGGATTTAAGGTACATTTCCAGGTCTAGTGTTTACTAAAGTGGTCAGAACTAAAAGTCCAAAGGCTATTTTCGTATGTAGTACGTATAACACAGAATAATGTTTCCATTTTTTATCGTTTACAAAGACAGAAATATTCTATACATACCCAATTCGTAGCTGAGATAAGGTTTCATGGAGAGATTTGCCGGTAACGGTTTGGAGATTGGTATAGTCGATTCCGCTTCCATCTGCATCACAACTTTAGCGTCGCACGACAAGCAGTTCAAATCTCTGTTAATCCAGAAATGTATTATAAATTTTAGTAATTACTTCGGACTATCCCGTAATTATTAGGAATACGGTTGAGAAGAAACGGTGCCCGAACTGAACTATTTATTACAGAGAATTTTGCTTCTGAATTGAATTCAAGTATGGTAGGCTCTTTTAAAAACGTTTACAGTTGCATATTGTTGTAACCTTCCACTTAGATCTTTAGAAGTTAGCCTACATATTCTAACAAACGTATAAAAAACAACGTATTTTTTGACGCTTTTTACAGACGAACTCGGGAACGCAGCCTTTAACGCGGTTGATTTGAAGCAGGCGATCAATAATAAACTACTATGGAATACGTCATTAGCGAAAGGAAATTCTTAATATTTGTTTTGCGTTAAAACTCCACGGTAAAATCGTAACAAACGATTGCCCAAAGACCGAGTAGTTAGCCGTACTCCTGCATTTTGATCTCTATTAAGTAATGGGTACAACGAAACGCAAAAGGAGCAAAATCATGTACCTATACATACACACATACTATGTGTGTATGTATAGGTACATGACACATACCTAGTTACTTTCACGAATCAATTCAGGCAATTTTTTTATTTGGGAAAAGTTGTCATGCGAACAGGCGGTTCAGTAGTTGTTAATGATTCCCGCCGATGGAGTTTACAAAACGTGCAGATGCGTCGACAACCTTTAAAAAGTGGGTACCGATTACCTCATTTATCAGACCAAATAAAAAATACTTCCACTTAATAATGGTATTCTGTGAGACCATGCCGCTTCCCCGGAAGCTCATCCCATTCGTGTAAAAGCAAAAGAAGTTGCTGCGTGGCTATAACTACCACAGTAAGCACGGGAAACGTAGTTATTATCTTTATATAAAATTACATACACAGCGTGTCGTTACCATCGCGACAATAAATGAACAAACGTCTAACGCTACTTTTCAATAAGCATAAAAAATATTAACGTTAAACAAAATCCATAATTAAAAAAAAATATTTTTCAAACAAACTAACTAACTAAAAAAGAAACAAAATCTTTAACATCCTATACAACTCGCGCCACAGCGTCGCATTACAAGCCTCTCCTTCTAACAGTATGTTATGTCTCTTTTAAATTCATTCAACTCATTCATATGCTTTGTGACCTTGACAAATGAACATTACGATACAGTTTTATACGTAAGTGTGTTCTAAAATTGTTTGTTTTGGAAAATTTAATAACTCGGTAAATATTGATGTTTAAAGAATGTAAATGTTTAATACAATTTTAAAAAGTTATCCTCTACATGTGCGTTCATTTATTGTCGCGGTGGTAACGACACGCTGTATATATATATATATATATGTAACTCTTCTGTACGTGTGTGAAGTCCTCCTAAAGGACTGGACCGATTTTAATGAAATTTTTTGTCTTTAGGTCGATTTGAGAATGGTTTAGATTCACAATTCGTTTTTTTTTTTTGTTATTTATTTATAAGTTGTTGGATTTAAGTCGCGTGTACAGGACGTCTGTTGGGTACGTTAAGTTTGATGTAAAATATTTATCGTCAAGGTCGATATTGGTAAACAATGTAGGTACCTCATGAGTTTCTTCTTAGCACCAGCCGCTTCCACCTCGCGTCGGAGCGACGCTATTTGCTTCAGATTCTCTTGCAACTGTTTCAACTTGTTGTTGAAGAATTCCTTCACGGGCGACAGCTCCATCTTGTCGAGTTTCGTTTCGATTTCGCGCTGAATGTCGTCAAGGGCTTGTTGCCAAAGGGCTTCCTGGATTTTTTTTATTAAATGTCGATTGAGTAATTTATAACTATACACATGGTCAAATCTTTAAGGTTTGAAGAAACAATAACTTATTACACCTCCCAGCTGGATAAAGGCCTCATCTGTCTGGATTTCAAACAAAATGTTCTTTTTTCCTTCTGGCTACACTTTAATACGCCTCCAAGCGTGCGATTATCAGTAATTTAATATTCATTAAGTCTGCACTATGCACGCGAGTATATCAAATTGAAATGCGAGTTGGCGGGCTAGATGTTAAAATAAATATGTCACCTTTGAGACGGAATAAGGAGAATGATTTCATAATTATGTACCTAACATGATCGTAACAAGTAAATGTATAGTAAAATAAGGCAAAATGTCTTGATAGAATTCCAACACTGTTATCTTTACATCATGGTAAATGGTGCGTGAAAATAGAAAAAAACCGGCCAAGTGCGAGTTGGACTCGCGAACGAAGGGTTCCGTACCATTATCACTAAAAACGGCAATAAAAACAAATGTCTGTTGTATGGGAGCCCAAATTAAATATTTTTAAATTCTGTTGTTTAGTATTTGTTCTTATAGCGGCAACAGAAATACATCATCAATGTCAACTGTCCAACTATCACGGTTCATGAGATACAGCCTGGTGACAGACGGACAGACAGACAGACAGCGGATTCTTGGGTCCCGTTCTACCCTTTGGGTATGGAAGCCCAAAAAGAAGATCTTATTTCGTCATAATTTTTTCTATACGAACTTGCATGTTAAGCTTCCCGAGCGCGTGGTCCAGTCCCCTGGACAAGTCGTCACACGCCAGCTCGAACTGATCGTGTGACACCTTACGAGCCAACATGCGCAGATCAGCCTTCTCAGCCATGGCCTCTGCCATATCTTCACGGTCCAGTTTTATGTTCTTCAGAACTTCGATTTGCTCAATAATTGCCTGCATAGAGATTAAAATTCTTTGATGGCTCTCCACAACATACATTGACTATAAGAAATATATTAACTAAAAAGAGAAAAAAAGATAATCAGTTTCAAACAAAGAAAGAAAACTAGAGTTCATCACACAGGCAATTAATTTTCTTTATCGCAAAGAGTTTTCATGAACCATAATGATTTGTTTGCCTGACGCAACAATGTTGTCCGAGGTGCCAGAATTTTCAGAAAATTTTCAAATTCTTTTCTGCAGCTGAATTCTCTTTTCAAAAAAGGTAGAAAGTTCCATTGCAAGTGCCAGCATATTGCTTCTGGCGTTGTCGGCGCGCGGATGTCATTAGAAAACTAAAAGCGCTCGAGCTCCCTGTCGTAAAACCATCCTTTTTTTAAATGACTTTTGATAAAGGTTTGGTTCGTCTAAAGTTTGTGAAAATACTTTAATACGCCACGGCTAAAAGTCCTTTTTTTACTTTATTCTATAAAATAAGTTGTTCGCATCAAAATGTTGTCTAAATTAGTCTGCCAAAATTGACTTTTACTGTTTTTTGTAAAGAATAGCTGAACTCAGCCACGCTTCGCTGTAGCGTTTTTCGTTTTTGTTGGAACTTCAAAATAAAAAAAAGTAAAATTTCTCTCCTGTTCAACAGTCATGTTGTAAACAAATATTAAGTCAATCAATAAGCAAATTTTTGAGTTTTGTGAAGAAATATGTAAGCTAAAAATTTTTATGTCTAAACATGTGGTCTCTCTACTCTACTCTCTAAGTTTGATAGTCCGTGGCATATTAGCATTTGATAGTCAGCAGGTTTCGCGACGTTTTACGATTTTACGAGACTAAATGTACTCTACGACACAAAATCTTATTAAAAACAAACTGCTAATTTCCTTTAATGGTGTGAAGATAGTACAAATGTACTTGTAAACATATTCACAATATGATATATTATGTTTGCAAATTTTAGCGCTACTTTATATTGTAATTGATGTAAAATTATTTATATACGTTTATACGGTCCTGACGATCTTCCTTTTCAGCAGCCAACTGCAACGCTGCTTCGTGGACTTGTTTTAGTTCCTCCTGCATGCTTTGTACTGTCTGGAATAACTTCATCAGCCCTATTTGTAAGTGTACATTTAAATTAAAAATAGTGACTTAAAATTAATATGACCTATACGCAATATGACTGTACACATACCAGTATTTATTGTTCAAGGAAATAAATAATGGACCTATAAGACACGAACCATCTACATTAACTTGTCTCATACAAAGAACTAAATGACTATAAAATGCCGACAGGCTTTACTAAAGCATCAAATAGCATAAGCTAGCTAGTTATCACGAATTTCCGGCACTTATTGTCTTGGACATAAAAAGAGAAGGTTGAATAACGACATAAACTTTAGAACGGACGCATTCCGCACTTAATATTCGTGTGGATTAAAAGAAGAAAACAATTTGTCTAAAAAATTTCGTTCGGAAAGTTAGCATCATTAGAATTCTCTATAGTGCTCTTAGATAAAAATTACATAATGGATTTGATATCTCCGACATCGGTCGTTCATGCTTGCAGGCAAATTGTGTGCCGTGAGAGTGCGCTGCAGTTACGGTAAAGCCATGTCAAGGCGTGTCCAAGATGTGTTATTTAGATATGTTACAGTTATGATGTAGAAGCACTCCGTTTCATTATGTCTGGATACTCTGCAACGTAATGATCGACTACAAACAGGGTAGAGAAGTGATGAATTTGAGATAGTGAACGTCTATAAGAAATTTGAATGCTTAAAATATATTTAAATATACTTTTTGTGTTATTGATTGTGTCAAATAGTGTCAATGCGACATCAAAAAGAATAGCAAAGGTTTAAAAGGAAAGCGGACGGTATAATATTTTCTAACAAATAAATTATATTTACATTCCTTTCTTTATGTTCAATAATAATGGCCAGTTGTTCGACTATTCGCCGTAAGGAATGGCGATTAATCGGTATTTCACAATTCGTTACAACTATTCGCTGCGTCACTAGTATAAAGAATCAAAATTAACTTGCAACTGTGTTGCAAGTTATGCCGACAATTCATAATGCAATTCGCAAAAATAAAATGTATTTAGGTACCTTAATAAGTTAAACATTTTTCTTTTAAGATTTTTAATCTACTTTCAGAGTATAATGGATAATAGTCACCTAATGGTCTGTTTTAAAATCATGTCTTGGACGAAATGAACTCATGATTATTTCTAACATACCAGGTAGGTCTTTCACAGCGTCTTGTGTCATTTTGCTACCAGTAAATTCTTGAGTAGAAGCAACTTGCCTTGATAGATATTCTAATTGATCTTGGAATGAATTAATCTGAAAAGGAAATAATTTATAATCTTTTTCGAACAGAAGAGTTTTTAATATGAGCTAACTTAGAACTGCAGGTGGCTTAAGCTTTTTCCTAACCAGCTATTATCGTTAGAACATCATTCATGTGTTGCGGGAAGTTTTACAAACATGAAAATCATGGACATAGACAATGTCGTCTTAGGCCATATCGGGGCCCTAAGGTACACAACAATTACGATACCTGATGGAAAGTTTAAAAGGTGAATGACAAAAACATTCTTCTGCTATTACTCTATCTCATATTTTTTATTTATTCTATAAACTTATGTCGGAATATACCAACCCAAATTAGAGAACAAATTGAATAGTATAAGGGAATTCGTAGGCCATACGGGGCCCACGGGCCCCGGGCACGGGCCCCGTGTGCCCTCATGGTAAAGACGGTACTGCACATAGAGTAGAGTAAGACATGGAAAAAAAATTCAAGTCATACTTATTTTTCTGAATTTGTCATTATAAGGATCGATTCCACAACATAGGTCGCAATAACAATTGGCAAGGTGACGCCTAAACATGCAATGAAGGCCTAAATTATTCTATTCTTTTTGCAGGCAGCATTTTAGCTACTTCTCGTAGACAGATGACGAGTTGATATTTCTAGATGTTTGATATTTCTACCAGTTATCGTTGTGAAGAAATTCAAAACCTATGCATGGTAATATTTTCAAACAATCCTGTATTAACGTAATAAATACTTCAGTTAACAACTCTCAATACATTGCTGTCATAATAGAGAAAATAGAATGTTGGCAAGTACTCAAAATGTGTATGTAAATAGAATGGAAATTAAGTGTCTCACGTGATCATGAACAACGCCGTCTTGTTTGTTTACTGTTTCACAGCATTCCTTAAGTTTCCTCTCGAGAGCGTTCAGTCTCTTCGCGATATCAGCTGTAGAAATCGATTTGTCGGCCTCTGGGGTTAGTAATGGGCAAGTCTTACAGAAAATATGTACATCCGTGCTTACTATATTGATAACTGACGCGTTGGAATATTGGAGATCTGTCTTTAAACTAGTCTTAGTACTGTTTATGAAATAAAATTTAGAAGCGCTTTTTGTGTTTTAGGTATTATAGCACTTTTTGCCGGAGCACAAACATCAGTTGTTCTTGTACATATGTTATCCAAAAACGAAAAATTCGGAAGTTTCCTCATTACCTGCGCCCAGCCATTGGTTAACTTTAAATATCAAAATTATGTTTAGTGCCCTGCCGAATATTTATGCCACTCCATTGAGATATCTCTATAATAATACTTCTAAAAACCTACGAGAGACTAACAATAACATAATATTATACCTAGCATAAAACTGAATCTATACTACTTATGTACACTAAAGAAAACACTACATAAAACGAAATAACCACCTAACATAACTTTTCTCCCAATTTTTTCTATTGGTTCCAATCCCGGAGTGGTTTCGGTTTCGGTTTCGGTTTCCTCCGTCTCTTTAGTGGTTTCAAAAGCGGTCGGCGTTTCCGGAATAGCTGCCGAGAATGTTGGCAACGGTTGCCTCGGAGGTCGCTCTGGACGTTCTATTCAATGACAATTGCGGTTTAGTTGCTTTTAGAAACGTTTTTATATAAATATTACAATATATAGTGTGAAAGGTACACACGTAACACATAAAATATTAAAAGTGCTTGTGTTTTAAAGGCATAAAGGCACAAATTACACTGTTGATCTATGTCTTTAAAAATTACCCGGTAATAATAATAAAATACTGACAGTATTTTCGCATTTCAATTGCGCTATACATGAAATTCCATACTCAACATACGTGTCATGTTATGCATCACGTCATTTCTATAGATAAATTGTCCAAACATTATGAGTGTTGAGGCTTTCAATGTTGAACGTCTTCTGGATAACGCGCACACAGGCAGATTCGAATTTTATTTATATATTACACTCACCCATAAACAACTCTTATGTTTATTATCTTTTGTGAATAATTTTCCGATGACTTTTTGCTTTAGAAAAATAGCTTTTGTAGCATTATCCAGTCGTATTTTTATGTCTATTGAAGTTCTGGATGAAATTAACTATAATACGTCTAATATTTCTAAAAAACATTTAGCCTTTAATTCAAAATACTCGAGCTACCCGAGTTCAAATCCAATGAAATTGTTAATTTTAAGTGCTGACTTATCTCGTGCTCAACGGTGAAGGAAAACATCGTGAAGAAATTGAATTTTTTTGAAATAATAACATAATAAAAATATTTCGAAGATATGTGAAGTCCGCCAATCTGCAATGTGGCTACGTTGTAGATTATGCCCCAATACCCTCTGCATATAGAAGGCCTTGGTCCAGCAGTGGGACGCGTATAGGCTGTTTCTAGGATTGGGCTCCTACGAGAAAGCAATGCGAAGGCTGGCTAGAACAGTCTATGTTTCTGCCTTTCATCATACAGTCACCAACCGAAATGTAGACGAATATATAATTATTATATGGTTTATACGTCTATATTATAATATATTCCTATATTTCATCTGGGGTTTAACCAGGGCCCATCCTGTTAAATTTTGGGAACGGTACAGCAATCCCACGGGTTTTATGGACTCTCATAAAGCGACAGTAATTACTTACCATCAGGTTGCCCTCATACTATGATGTTTTATCTTATCCGAGAAAAAAAAATTACTTACCCATGTCCGGCTTCAATTCCGCCATGGCATCGTAAAAGTCCCCGGTCAGTTTGTCGACATCGGCTTGCAATTGCTCTAGGAACGGTAGCACTGCAGCCAATTCATGGGAAACGTGTACAGGCGTGTGTGCACCCGTTGGTGTTGGCGCAACGAATGCTGAAGGGCTCGCAACAGTCTGTTGCTCCGCCGTCCGTGAAATCGACCGTTCCGCAGGGCCCGCACGCGGCTTTGCGGTTTTGTGTGCGGCTGTTGCCACTGACTGTTCTATTGGGCCTGCAAGTGGCTCAGCCCCTTGGCGTGTCACCGATTGCTCTACGGACCCCACTAGCGACTCTGCAGTTTCATATGTTGCAGAATCAGCTGGCGCTTTTTGCTCTGGATGCTGGGTTACTTCCATGTCGAATCTAAAATAATAAAAGAAGGAAACTTATGGGCTATTAAATAATTTGAAAGTAAAGCAGTACATCCGAACAACTGTGGTATGGTCACGCATTAGATTCGGCAGTTTCGAAGTACCATATAGAAGACCGAATGTGAACGCAACATACTTTCGCGTTTCGTCTGGTGAGTGAGGTAGCCGGAGCCCAATTTTCAAAAGGTTGTCAACATATCTGCAACCCTCGGGTGTAGCAGATGTTCATGGGTGGCGGTATTCACTTAACATCAGGTGAACCAACTGCTCACTTGTCAAATTTTCACATAAAAACATCCCAATTATAGTGTTCTGAGTATGTTATGCCGTTTAGTCGTTAACTTTCACTAGAATGAGGTTAGTAGTATTCTGCAGTAAACTTAAGTTTGTCACTCTTTGTTGAATCTCTTGGAAACTGTTTGATAAATACCGAAAGCATAGGAATATCTAAATACAATATAATGTAATTACGTCCTTGATAATTTAGATAATTACCAACATACAATAATTGCAGGTGAAAGATACGCAAATTTTGACCATATACTAACACTTTAGAGCCGTACTCTTTGAACGCGTCTTGTAGACCGCCAGTATCAGAGATGAGATCTTGAACAAGTGAGCTGAGTTTAGCAATTCCAGTTTCAGCCGCTTCCAGTCTTGAAGATACATTGAGTGAAGTCCACATGTCTGTAATTGCTTTAAGGTTTGTCTGAGATCTGCAGAAAAAAATTATTTAGGTTCACTCAAAGCATTATGAATCATGTTATAGTTGTTATGTTAAGAACTGAGTTACACTACATTGTGCTAAGTACAAAGGACGAGAGTATAATATTATATCTACCGAATCAAAAAAAGTTAAAGGCAGAATAAAATAACTGTAATCCATTGTGGAATAAAGTTAAAAATATTAAAAAAATTATAAATAAAAAAAAAAAGTATAAAACAAGTATACACTAAAGTACAATAATTTATGATTCGTTATCATACACAATATTTGAATCAAACTTCTAACCATAGAATGCCCACAGTCTAAGGACAACCCAAAGACAGTGTGTAAGTTTGTTAAGGAACGATGATGTGTGCATCATTATCTCCCGAATTATAGCACGTAGATGTGCTACCTAGTTTTTAGTAAGTCAAGTAATTCAAACCGATTTATATAATCATTTGATACCTGCAACGTTTCCGTTAGTTCAATTTATAAAAGAAAAGGAGACAAACCTTACTTCTTCCAAAATATCCTCATTCTTCGGGATGCTGCCATAAACACGTTCTCTCAGATCGTCCACTATATTTTCCAACACGTTGAATTTGCTAATCGTGACGAGGGAAAGCTTTTCCGTAGAAGGACTTACGTGAGGAGCAGCAGATTCTGTTTTATGTGAATGTGAACTGGTAGACTGTGGCGGTTTTGCTGTAACCATAATAAATTCGTAGTAAACGTTTGGGTACAATCATGATAGTTAAATGAATTATTTCTTTTATCGATTGAATTCTGTTTTAAATTACTTTAGTCAAGTTGTTTAGTTGTGTTACATAAATTAAATTAGAGAAAGAAAATAGTAAAGTAAAGAAATAACAGAAGAATACCTAGAAGAATATGACATTAACTGATTACGATCCAATGAATTATTACCTTGCGGAGTCATCTTTTTGTGTTCCTCTGAAAACAGATAAAGTAAATAAATATTCAAAAAATAACAAGAATGCGAATACTTAAATTTCTTTTTGATATTTCTTTAAGCGTCTTCCACTTACTCGACTCTGGTTTTCTGATTTCGCGTTGCACTGTAAATAAGATGAATGTATTTAAAACTGTATTCTTAAATTGTGTAAAACTGTAATCTTCGGCACATATGGAGAGGATGGGAGGGATAATCTGCTATTTTAGAGCTTATTATAAAAATACCAAATACCAACTAGAAATCTAAACAGTTCCTCATGTACTAATCAATCGAGGAGAAAATTGAGTTTTATCCCGCGATAAATTTCCAACTAAGCAAGAATAATATGGAATAGATGCGTAGAGAATAGATACTATCATGTTCATAGATATTGTTGCCCTGATAAAAGTATGATTTACAATGGGCAAAGCCCTTCCAAAAAGGCAGAGACCGATCAAATGCTGGCAAATAACTTCCTCAAAAAAAGTTTTTTAAAGATTATTCCGACAAATAATGAATGGTTGGATTATTAGTACTAAGGAACGTTGCATACATTTATGACCGTTCTTCCAACACATTCTATAAGAAAAGCAAAATTCAAGACGAATCGAAGATTGAAGAAATACAAAACTCTAAAGTGCTTATCTACTATAGCTTAGACTACACAAATTTTGATAAAATACAGGTTAAAAATTACCATAATAATTAGTTAACAAACTTTAACTATCGATAACTTGGAATGAATTTTAACATAAGAACTTAGAATGTTTAATTGCAAAACAACCATTTTAAAATGTCGTACCAGTAATATAGAAATTGGATGAAACTCTTAGATTAAGAGATTATTGCGAGGCTTTTCTTCCCTCAGACTAGTTTTACGATATATTGTTCTAATATATAAATTCAAGGAAGCTAACGGGTAATTGAATATTAAAAATTATATACCTATCAGAATACTGTCTGGTTGTGTTGAAGCCGTTGTCGCCGCGCCTGTAAAGTTATAATTTATTTTATATCTATACAGATAAATAAAATTGGAGTGTCTGTTTGTAATATTAAAATAACCGCTTTTTACTAAATGCATATGGATGTATACACGGTAAACAAACCAAAATATTTTTTACAATTTTTGTCTGTCTGTCTGTCTGTTTGTTCCGGTTAATCTCTGAAACGGCTGGAACGATTGGGACGGGACTTTCACTGGCAGATAGCTGATGTAATAAGGAGTAACTTAGGCTACTTTTATTTCAGATTTTTTTTTACTTAAAATTCCGCGAGGACTAAGTCGCGGGCACAGCTAGTTTAAAATATAAATATACTTTATGGGCTTGCATCAGAGGTGTTTAAAACAACGCGGAAATTATATAACGCAATTGCAGAAAAACGTCTTTTAGTTTTAAATGAGTTAAGCGTTCCTTTATTTATTTTTGTTTTAGTTTATATTATCACGTAATTACAATATGTTTTTATTGAATTTTAACCGACTTCGAAAAAGGAGGAGGTTTCTCAATTCGACCATACATATTTTTATTTTTTTTTATGTGTGTTTGGGGATAACTTTGTCATTTATGAACCGATTTTGATGATTCTTTTTTGTTGGAAAGGAGATATTCCAAGGGTGGTACCATGATAAGGAAACCCAGATCTGATGATGGCATCCCAGAAAAATCGAGGGCAATCCTCAAATATTATAGGCGTTGATAATGTTTTATTAGTTTCCTGTTTGAAGTCGGTTTTTTTTTTTGTTGAAAATTATATACTATTTGAATTTTAAACAAAATGTCGTTAACATGATCTATACTATGTTGTTACCTATGATGTTTAGTACCGTACGATTTCAGTTTATTATTTTAATTAAAAATTGGCTAATTCGCGAAGAATTACCGATCGATGGTTAGTAGTAATGTAAGTCTAGGTTGGTAATTAGTTCGAAGAATTCATTTGAAGACGGGGAACGTTGACATGAAAATACTTAAAAACCTATTGAGGGTTTAACAGGTAAAGCAGAAAAGAGATTAATTATGTTACCAACAGAATACTAATTCCGGTTACTTTGCATTTGTATCTCAGATTGGGCATGTCTATATTTATTTTTTCTCCTGCCCTTATCGCATTTAAGGTGGGATCATGTTGTTAATGGCACTGACTAGTTTTCTTTTACGATCGGCCGTCTGTCAGGCGTCAACCTGCATTAGGAATAAACAACCACATTCGGAACAATTATTTGTAGGTTACATAAATACTTATCCCGTGTGGGAATTGAACCCACTACCCCCGGGACCGAACTGCACCAACGACTCGTAAGTAAAATAAAATAAATACCTATTGAAATACTATCAGGTTGCGTTGAAGCCGGTATCACAGCCTCTGTAATATAATAATGAATTGATGTAATTTTTTTTTCTAAAATTGGCCTATGTCGAAGTAACGGGAGCCGACCGGGATGAAAGCAGTTTGTTTTCTCGTGTAATATAAATCAAAGCAAAGGCATTGGTATTATATAATGAAAATAAATGCACCCTATAACAGGAACGTGCACTGCGAATCGACGCCAAGGTACCGTGTAATTTTTGGCAAATATTAAGTATTCCTAAGAAAGGGGGTACGGAACATATTCAGATGAACAACAAAATAATCTTAGGCAATTAATTTTTAGGCAACAGTGTTCGAATACTACGAATGGCTAGGTCCGTCCGGGTAAATAACACGACCTCACAGAAGACCGGCGTGAAGTACAACGAAAGAAAACATTCTGATTAGCCCAGCGGGTTATTTGGTAGCGATCGGACCAACAGATTGTTTTCGGATTTAGTGCTTAGACGCCCGCGCTTAGACGGGGCGGGTGGCTCTTTATAAAAGTAAGTTATTAAATAATTTACCCAAATATAATACTCAAAACTGGGATATAAAATTTTGTCAACCCTTTTTTTTTTAATCAGTTATCGAGCAATAAAAATATAAGTAACGATTGACCTTACGGCGGTTTATTGTGCTCCTCCACAATACCAGTTCATAAGCAATAAAGGAATTTCACCATGACAATTAAAAGTGTATGATTTTAAATGCTGAAAGCATTTTATTGGTACTTACTTGGCTGCCCTATAGTTTCGCCAATCTAAAAGGTAGAACAAATATTTCATTACATCTTAAACAAATATTTTATTACAACAAGACAAATATGAACCGTATTATTAGCAATTGATTTCTGAATCTTGCAATTACTTAATGATTCTGCGATAAACTCAACATTTTAATATTAGTGACGTTTACAGATAAGTTTTATAAAGTACCTTGACTATATTCAAGGCATTTAATGTAACTTATCTGATCTAGATTTAATAGTTGGCCAGTGGGGATAACTTTATTCAAAATCCAGTAAACCGCATTATTATTTACCATTAAAGTTTGTTATGAAAATCATATTTTGGCCTTTATCATTCTTATTTAAAAACGTTATGCGCTTTGTTGTTAAAAAAATACAATGAAAAATCTTCTTCGATGCAGCGTTGGTTAATAGAAAAATAATATAATCAATCTTGAGTATCAATTTATTATTATTTTGAAGTATTAGTATCATAGTAGTAAGTGAGGAAATTAGGTTGGTTGTCAACTCTTAGGCCATCGAGATAATCATAGGGTAATATAATCTTCACTTTAACTGATGAAACATGATTTCAAGTAAACTCTCGTACCAATTTCCCTTCTGTATCCACGGGATATTCCGTTACGGTGACCGTTTGGGGGTGATCCCTTCCAACCGGCAGCGCGGCTATGTTTCCCCGGAGCTCGACGTTTTTGTTTACAACGCGAAGTTGCTGAGCCAGACAGTGCAGAAGAGTATGTAGCATTCCGAAGTCGACCACACCAATCTATTGTAGGAAAACCTTCATATTGAATGACAGAAGACACAATATCCAGACCATTTTCCTTGTCGTTACTGTCATAACAGTCGACGACGAATGATTTATGATTCAATATAATATTTATATCAGAATAACATGTAATGACAAAATACAAGAAATTATTTTGATTTTTTGTGTTATTCAGAACACTGTGCGTTATTAGAAGAAGAAATTTTAACGGTTTCTTTGCTTTTAATTTAAATTCCGCAGCGTTTCGTATACTCTGATGCATTTGTCGTCATGAGCAAGGATGGTCGTCGTGGGTCGGATTTTAACGTAACATTGTACTGGTCCTCCTATTAATAACACAGTATAGGACGTTCCCCTACAAGATGGAGAGACTACCCGAACTATGTTACGGAAAGTAGATCGATACAGATGGCTGTTCGTAATAGTTCAGCATGGGACTTCACAGACTGTAACGATGATGATGTGTCAAATAAAACATAAAAAAGCAACTAATCACCATAAATAAATCGTGAGTCTGGTATTTCAGATTAAAGGCATGGCGATTGATATAGCAGGTATATATTCTACGAACAATATACAACAGGAACGTATTCAGATTGTAAATAAACATTAAGAACCTCATATAACTTAATACTTACCTAGTTTGTAAATATTGTTATTACACTTCATTGCTCAATTAACTTAATTACGTGTCTATAAATAAAATACGTTGTTTACCTCCGGAGTGCCGATAGCCAAGTCAATCATTTCCCCAATGTTAAGTACAACAGCATCATCTGTTGCTGCAGCTGTCGGGCGATAAGTGATTAATTGCGTGGCTTATCGTTAAATTGTTGAACGAACGAAATCGTTCGATTAAAGGTCGTTTGCGTTCGAACGGATCGCATTAACTCGCTCGAACATTTGAACTTTTTGATGGCAGCGCACTCATTTAAGCGTAACTTCAGACTGTTCAGTGAGATAAGGGTTTTTGGGTACATAAACATATATGGAAGAATCGTTACTGAGTTCTGGATTTCTTGTGATATTGTATTTGTGTGCCAATGAGCAGATGATGCAAGTTAAGTCTCATTGTCCAGTCTGTTCTCACAAATCTCCCCAATAAATCAAAGCAAAATTTATTATCGTCTCGTTCACTTGATATTTGATGTTACTCTTATAAATCTAAATGATTTGCTGTCTATCAATTAAAAGTTAGAAGAATATGAGAATCTATTAAGTATATATTTCGACGGAAATGTATATAATTACCTGCCATTTTATAATTAAGTAAATATATATATGGTGTACTTTGATTCTGATTTGTACGTTCTGTAAAAGCGATTTGTATATTTAATAAAGAAATACTTCAAAATGCACGTATGTTTATATACATTATTGGCATGAAGGATTTCACTTTTTTGACAAGTATTTATTTTCGAAACGGTTTAATGGTATTACTGTAAAGTTCTCAAAGGAGATTTTATTTGTATAGTTGCATCAAGAGGGATTATAAATGTATTGTTCATTTTAACTCCCGTACATAAACAAATTCGGTGTACGAAATCTGTACTTCGCAAAAAACTTCCCCCGAACCCATTGAAAATTTATCGGGCTTCTCATAAGGTAAATGGATGGCCCTTGGTTCGAATAAAAATACCAAAAAATCTTGGAGCAAACTTCAAGGAGCAAACTGGTTGGAGCTGGGAGGCTGGTTTGCTCTGGGTGGTCGCGGCTGTCCTTTATGCTTTCACTTGCAGCTAACGAAATGGCCCATGCTTATAGTGCGGGCTTGGAACATTCTGTTGCATTTTCTATTTTTTATGAAAGGAATGAGGACAATCCACTGTGATATCAAGACGTAACGATGAATACAAGAATTAACCCTAATGTTTACGTGCTTAGCAATATTTCCTATAAATCTATGTATGCCGGTATAACTCGAATGTATATTTACTAGAAATATTTTTTTCAAATAAAATAAAAATCTGATAAAAAATTATATAATTCATATTATTCGAAAATTCCACAAACAGGTTTTATCTTTAAACTGACCCTCTAACAACTATATCTAATAGGGTATAAATATGACAAATGGACCGTTACTGCCGATTAAAAAAAAACCGCCACCAATATCTCTACAATGCAATCAAAAAGTAATTACTAAGGAGACACTAAACGTGTGTTATAAAACTAAAACTAAACCTGTGAGACGCTTTATAATACATTCTGTATATTTGATATACTCCTTCTGTTTGTCATACCTTTTGTTGCTCTTTTTATATCCCAAACACGCGTCATTAGAATTCGACGTAGCCTTCATTACTTGTGGAAAAGTCGATCGTATGCGAAAAAAGTAAACACGCCGCCGGTGAACGTAACTCGGAGTTCGCATGGTCGCCTGCACGAGGATGAGTGGGCATCTCCGACTCGGGCTTGTGTCTGCGAAGATACGCTCCGCAACACGTGACGCGGGCATCCAATTTCACGCGCGAACGTACCGAAGACAGTGAAATTCTGTGATTAAATCTCGATATTTGCTAACGTTTCGCAATACGAAAGATTTATAGCGCGCAATAACTGCGTTCTTCATGAAAAAGTGGGGGGAAAACGTACATTTTTTTAAATTTTCCTGGGAAGTCGCTTTACGGAAATTTCATTATGTATAGCGATAACATAACGAGTTAATTTGTGAAGGTTCAGATAGATAGTGAAAGTAATCTGGATTTGAAGAGCATCGCCCTTGCCACCACATTTATGGTTTGACTTATTGTATTTGCTTATTTATTTATAACGCTAGTGATTGTAATTAGTGATGTAGTCTTGTAGTAAACGCATTACCACAAGAAAAAAAAACCATTCACAATGGCCCCCGAGACCCAGACATTGTAATCGGGTGAAATACGAAATAGGACAAAAAGCTTTTCATTTGAGTGCGGTACATAGTAGTAAGGATAATAAATTGATGATACCAGATGAGCGTATACCATCGTTCGATGGTGGAACGCGAAGGTGAGCATTGGATACCTATTATATTTATTACTGATACTATAGGTTACTTGTAATCATGTCAGAATCGGCACAGTTTCATTAGTAATTGGGATGCCGTCATCTGGTTTGTCTAACCTAGTACCATCTTTATATACTATCTTTCAATAGAATCCAAACCTTTGTATAATTACTGTAAACTTCTTTAAAAAACATAAAAAGTACTTCTCCGTCAAATTTTATTACATGCGAAATGTATGTAAAAATTATAATATTATTTAAACTAGCCTAACCTGGCCAGCACAATTTTTTGTAACAAATATTTGGATATGTTATAATATAGAATATTGCACATACCTTTTTACGATCTATTTTACGACTGTTCGTGTTTTCGTCAAAAGCTCTGGTCTGGAGGATGCATACTTTTGCTATTTCCACAGTGTACATAAATGAATATAGTGTTCATAAATACCTCAAGAGCAAGCTGCATTATATATTCACCTTTTACGTCGTAACACATAGCATATTTGTTAGGTGATGTTATTTAACAATAAGCTCACTCGAGTCATTTAGAACCAACTGATTATTGATTGAACTTGTTTATCATAGAAAAATACAATATCTCGCTTGCTTAGTACGGAGTGGCGTATATTTAGAGATGCCTATGAATAGAGGTGCTCTGTGTCTGTAATAGGATTTAAGAGTGGCGAGTGGTTTGCGGGTGCTTCGACTCTATTTTAAGCTTCGGGTTGCTTGCTGAGTGCTTTGCCGTGTCTCTTGCGACGATTCCACCCCGCAAGGACATTGTTCTTGTATAAGAGAGAAAAATATTGCCGCGTTTTTTTTTTCGAAATTCTCAAGTACCTTAAAATTGGGCAGCTGATTTGGTGTTGGCGAAAATTTTGAACGATTACACTTAAGTAAGGAACGTTTGTAGGAAAGTTCGGAGTAAAAATTACGGAGAACGTTCGCACATTATAATAATAATAATAATAATAATAATAATAAAATATCTTTATTCACATAGACGCTTGCGCGTTCTTATGAAACGTCAAAATTTTACAAGAAATTAACACGTTCGTAAGTTACCACGTATATTTTATATGTAAATATCCTATCTAAGATCTAATAATATACACAATATATCCAATCACATACTTATTATATTACACACACTGGATTGGGTCTTGTAAATAGTTATAGTTTATATTAATTTTCTTATTTGTGCGTGAAATACGAATAGTTGAAATATTATTTTCCGTTAATATGAATGGGAATAAAGTTTTATCTAATATATAAAATTCTCGTGCCACGGTGTTTGTAATTAAACTCCTCCGAAACGGCTTGACCGATTTTCGTGAAATTTTGTGTGGATATCGGCCAGGGTGAAGAATCGGACAACATCTATTTTTCATCCTCCGAAATGTTAAGGGTGGTCCACCCCAGACATTTTTTCTACATAAAAATAATTTATATGTCAAAACAACGTTTGCCGGGTCAGCTAGTCTTTATATATATAATTATTCTGTACTTGTGTCACTGAACTCCTCCTAAACTTTTATTGAGAGAGACAAGATTTTACTTGATTTCAGATTCGAGAATTCGATTCACAAAGTTATTCAAAAATTAGAATTTTTTTTTTCGAATTTAAGACTTGTGTACAGGACAACATCTGTCCGGTCCGCTAGTATTACTACAATTAGTTAATCGATGAGAATGTTTATGAATAAGTAAATAATATACAAAGATAATATACATTAGTAGGTCGAATTTTTTAAATTCTTTGGAAATTAAATGCCTGCCACTAGCAATAAATGTAAATCTCAACTAATGGGACAACGCAAGGCTTTAGATTTAGAAGTTTTGATTATTATTGGAGAGAGATGGGCAATAAAACTTAGTAGTATAGAATTCAGTGTAGGTTAAAACTTTTAAATTGCAACTTTTACACACAGCTGCAGGGAAACGATCAATCACTCCAATCGAACGGTGCAGTGTAAGTTATTTGCGGGAAATATTTATACTTTCAATCTCGTCTATCCCTCATAGAGACAATTTATTAAGTTTTATTAAGACAATTATTAAGACAATTTATTAAGTTTCATATAAATGTTAAACCTTGACGAAGGCTGAACACATTAATAGATTGTACTGCATTGTACAATATGAGTTTTTAATCTTCCAAAATTGGTTATGTTCCGGATAAGAAAGGATAACGTAAAAAAAAGTTTCGAATTGAAACCAAACGACGGGTTTGCGTCGCTTGTTATCTGTCGACCGCTAAGATGCTCTCATTGTTTATACGCACGGTTATCAAGCGCTCGCTAAAGATTCTCAACTTGCTCGATCTCCATAAGTTATAGGGCAGTGCGCTCTCACCGAGCAGGGCCAATTTACAAGGTCTCGAATGATGGGTAATGTATCCAAATTATAGCTCGCGGCGTGCGAACGTCTATTCCCGATTGTCGGACGCACGGGTAGCTATGCAAGGCATCTCGGTAGTAGCTCAATCCGCCGCTATCCCACAGGGATGTCAATGGGCACGGTAAACGAAGATGCCGCGTACCTGGCCCCGTATAAAGTGCTGTTTGGTTTGGTTCACATTTCGCCGAAATGTGAGGCTTCCATTTTTTTTTTATCCGGCAGGTGACCGGTTGCGCGAGAGGGACGGACGTCTTCTCGGCTAGCGCTACGAAAGCTCGCCAGAGGTGGGCAACTCTGTGCAGTCTCGCGCCGTCTCTGGCAGGGACTTGACGCGTAGCGCGTTCCCTCCGCTTTTT